AAATACTTCTCAATTTAATCTTGTAGAAATTATTCGATTACAATTATGTTCGATCAGGGTCTCTAAAATTGGCATACGAGTTTAATTAGCCTATTAATACCCACTCGTATAGATATTAATGGGCTATATAGGTATAAAAGTCATTATAGGTATATAACTATACACAGTGATTTTAGCTTCGATGCGAAGCTGAGAAGGTATTAATTTTACTATGGTGTGTTTTAGCTTCGATGCGAAGCTGAGAAGATATTGGTTTTACTAAGATGTGTTTTTTTTTTTTTTTTTTTTTTTTCCCCTCTTTNGTTTTACTAAGATGTGTTTTTTTTTTTTTTTTTGTGTCACCACTTTTTCTCAGCTCTCAACGAACCGATTTCTTTCAATTATACGTCAAAAGATCACAAATCGTATCTAGTCGAAAACATTACCCTCAAAAGTTAAAAAAAATTCCCTCGTTCTCCGTAAATGGGGGAAACCTCTAAAAAAATTACAAATTTAAAAATCGCTAATTTTCGAAATTTTTTTTACTTAAAACTGCTATAACTTTTTTAAAAATAACCGAATCAATATAATTTTTTTTATATAGATGCATAATATCATTACCTTTCATTTGGTGTATTTTTTTTTTATATGTGACCCTTTACTTGCCCACAGGGGGGGATTTAAAATGACAACTTTTTCACAAAAAATTAATTTTTTCAACTTGATTTTTGAAAATGTTCCGGAAGGTCTGACTCTTTTATATATATCTTAAATTAAAGCTAATGTAATATACTTTATTATGGAAAAAAAAAATTTCGGACTTTATTTTGTCTTCATGGTGAAAATAGCTAACGTATGATATTTTTGTGTTAAAATTTTCGATTTTATATTTTACATTTTTAACTTTAAAATATTATAACTTTTTAAAAAATGTATGGATCAATATAATTTTTTTATATGAAATAATATTTATATACCTATTTCATTCGACATACATTTTTTTTAAATCGGACCATTTCCCTTAATACAGGGGGGGTTGAAAACATAAAAATGCATATAGAAAGTAGAACTTTTTCAACTTAATTTTTGAAAGTGTTCCGGAAATACTGACACTTTTATATATATCTTAAATTAAAGCTTATGTAATAAAATTTAATATTAAAAAAAAAAATTTCGGACTTTATTTTGTCTTCATGGGGAAAATAGCTACCGTATTCAAAAATATGCTATTTTTGTGTTAAAATTCTTGGTTTTGAAATTTATTTTATTATAAGGGGATTACACTGATTTTCATAAATATTATATCAATCTAATTTCTGAGACGGTAACTCTGTGACACTGAATTTTTTCTTAATTCTTTTTGAGTTAGAAAAAAATGTTTATCTCATTTGATTTTTATTTCATTTAGATTCAATAAATATCGTGTATACCATTACTGTAGTCTCCTCTCGTAAGAAGAAATTCATATTAATATTATTTTACTATGTGTTTTTTTTTTTGTAGCTATCATTTATTTTCTCAGCTCTCACTGTCTACAGATTTGCATCGAAGCGTTTTTTATGATAGTGATTTTAATCACTGTCAAATATCATCTATACTGGACCCAACTATGCCACGACCCCACTGTGCCGCCACCCTACTGTGCTGGGTTTTTTATCATAACCCACTCAATTACTTACAGAATAAATATAATTTAAACATTTTTTTTTTTTTGGTTACCTTTAGTTGGCAATTTTTCAAGTGAATTTCTTATACCTTGTAAGAGTGTCAACTTTAAATGGGAACATATATTTTGAATTTAATAAAATATTTCAGTTCATAATTTAATAGTAAATGGCACTCTTAACTTTATTCGTTTAATAGATATAAAATTTTAAATTTTCAAATTTTTGAGTTAATATACATATATAATACACGCGGAATTTCAAATGCAGGTAGCTGATTTGTTTTTTATGACGTCAATGTTTATAAATACGCAGCATTTATTATCAATGGCAGTAAAGCACGTTGTTGTGAGTTTATAAATACACTAACTGTCAATACAGAAAGCATGTCTATTGATAGTCATAATTGACTATCAACACTCAGTGACTGTGACACTGACGTCATAAAAGACCAATTAGCTACCTGTATTTGTAATCATTTGTGTATTATATATGTTTATTAACTCAAAAATTTTAAAAGTATTGAGTGGGTTATGATAAAAAAATCATTCTGTATATTACATACTATATAATATAACATATAATTGTAAGTATCGGATTTCACACTGATTTAAATTTGTTAAATTTAATTCTTTTAATTATTTGTTAACTAAATAAACACAATTTTAATAACGGTGAGTGATCATCAATACCCCCGATCGGTTATCAAAGTCATTAATGGTCGGTATCAATAAAATATGATATTAAGAAGTTTCTAAAAAAAATATTTCCTCAACTAGGGTTAAAATTATATCTGTCTTACTTACTTTAATTAATATTATTACTGAAAAAATGCGTCTTGTTTATAAACTTGCCAAAGAAAATATTATTCTGATCATTTAATTTTTACTCATGAATGTTTATCAAAAATTATTATCAAAATTATAAAAATTTATTAATTGTATTGATTAAGATTTATGATCGTCTCAATAAAATATTTTCTATTTAGCAAATTTATCACCTATAGCTGGCAATATTTATTCTACAACTCCTTAAAAATTATCTCTAAAATCGCCCTTATTATTAATATAAAATAAATACTCATTTGTAACTACTAAGTTATAAAGATTTTAATGTTCATTGAATATATCATTTAAATATATTATACGGTCAATTCTTTGTATACCTAACTACGCAGTTAGTTGATTTTATAGAAGAATCAAAATTATGGGTATTTTACAAAATCCTATTTTAAATACCAATATCATTTTTTAAAATTGTAAATTCAAAGTCACGAATGCCCTCCCGTGAAAATATTTTATTGCCTAGTTGACTATATTTTAAAACCTTTTTAACCTGATGTATGGCATATAATTATCAAAAAATGTCATATTATAACTAGCTAGTTACTTAAAAACAAAAATTTTAGTCGATCAGTGAAAATTCATTGTATGCAACTACTCACATTTATGATATCGAAGACCGCGAATGGCTATTTTCCTAAAATTCATTACTATTTTTTTTAAATAAAAATAAATTATTTAATATTATAATTTGTTTATTTATTTGTGTCATAAAAAAAATATTACTAATCAAGTAGCCAGAGTCTAGTTTTTAAATATTGCTATACCAATTGGTTATTCTGTATAAACATGTTAGCAACAAGTTTTGTTATATATATAAAAGATTCTTTACCAATTTGGTTGAAATGTGCATTTATTTGTTTGTACATTTTAAATAGTACAATAAGTTTTAATAAAATCCAAGCAATTAATTTTTTTTTCAAGGTCATTCAAAATTCATTTTGGTATACAGAGTGATTTTTTAATCATAACCCACTCAATTATTTGCAGAATATATATAATTTAAACTTTTTTTTGGGGGGGTTTTCTTTAGTTACACATTATTCTTGAATTATTAACTATTTAAAACTTTTTATGTTCATCTCTTATGCCTTGTAAGGGTGTCAACTTTGTTTTTTTAAATGAGAACACATATTTTTAATTTAATAAAATGTTTAGATTTTTAATTCAATAGTAAATGGCATTTGAATTTTTAGTATAACTTCATTAGTTTATTAGATATAAACATTTAAAGTTTCAAATTTTTGAGTTAATATACATGTATAATATACAAGGGATTATAAATACAGATAGCTAATTAGATTTTTATGACATTGCTGTCACAGTCACAGATTGTTTATTATCTATTATAACTATCAATAGATATACTTTCTGTATTGTTTACTTGCTAATATCGATGTCATTAAAAACCAATTAGCTACCTGTATTTGTAAACCCTTGTGTATTATACATGTATATTAACTCAAAAATTTGAAACTTTAAGTGTTTATATCTAATAAACAAATAAAGTTATACTAAAAATGCAAATGCCATTTACTATTAAATTAAAAATATGTGTTCCCATTTAAAAAAACAAAGTTGACTCCCTTACCAGGGATGAACTTAAAAAGTATTACATAGTTGATAATTCAAGAATAATGTGTAGCTAAAGATAACCAAAAAAAAAAAAATGTTTGAATTATTATTACTCTGTAAGTAATTGAGTGGGTTATGATAAAGAAATCACTCTGTATATATATTAGGGTGGTCCTTTATTTAAACTTTTTTTTTTTTTTTTAAAAATTTGATGCCAAGTGATCAGAATTTTGTTCTATACACCATATAGAAAATATTTTGAGTGTCCTAGATCAACCCCTTCTTCACGTGCCTCAAAGGGGTTGAAAATTAATAAAATGATGTAGGAATTTAGTTTTTTGTATATATCTTTTTAATTATTATAAATAGAAAAAATTCTACGGAATTAATAATGCAGTAAACAACAATGTAAAGAAAAAAGGTCTCTACGAATTTGTTATAACATTGATTATTCAACGTCTAACTAATAAAAATTATTTTATTTTATTTTTCGTGAAAACGTAGTATTTTTTTGCCTTTAATCTCTATAAATATTTTAATTTTTTTTACATAATTTATTTAATTAGTAATTCTAAAATTTTTTTTAATTTTAAACAGTTTAAAATAATTAAAAGTACAATATTATATAATAACCTAATTTTACTTTTGATTGTTATGGTTGATAATTGATAATTCAATCAATAATTATTATTTTTTGAAATTTTATGAAAATATTAGATTACAAAAGTTCTATGATAAATCTATTGTAAAACTAATAGATAATTCAACAAAATATGAGTATGACTTATATTTATTATTATAAGCAATTTAACAAAACACTTTTTTCCTATTCAGTTAACTGCTTAAGTAAACAGTACATTCATTCTAAACAATTATATATACAAATTATAAAAGGTCTGGAATATTTAAAAGGTGATTAAATAGATAATTTTAAATTCAATATATCCATATAAAAATTATATTATTCAATAATAAAAATCAACAATTATTATTTTACTTAAATGTCTAAAATTACAAATACTTCACATTTTTCTTCACTCTCGTGTATTTGCATATTGGAGAATGTAATTGCTTTGACTTCTGTACCTTGAGGATGTTTTCCAAGTGTAAATTCTTCACCAAATCCTTTTGCTTTAATTTTGAAGTTTTCTCTATCAAACTCAAGTATTTTAACTTTCTACAAATATCAAGTTTAATTTTAAAGAACCAATTATAATAGTAAAAACAAAGAAATAGATTATCAGAATGTTTACTCTAGCAATATAAAAAGGCTCAGCACTAAACATAAATAATAACTCATCAAGGAAATTGTATAAAAGTGTCATCATATCATGACCAGAAGCCTCAATTTCATAAGACTCTTTCATTTCAATATATTCTTCTTCGGTCATATAATGAAACATAGCATTTGCACATTGTTCAAAAGCTTCAATCAGATTATGACCCCATGCATGTAACCTATTAAAAGGATACAATTGAATTATACACGCATATATTTAACAAATTAAAGTTATATTAAGAGCAGTGACACTGATCCTAAAAGTCCATTAAGCAACAGCCAGACTTCCAAAAGGGGTGAGTGGTTGGTTAATGTTTGCCATGTAAATCAGTTATTATAAATTATTAAAATATTAATGATTGTATACTGAAATTTTAATAAATTTGAAGACTTGATAATCTATTTAAGTTTGAAAAATATAATTACCATACGGCATAATCTGAATAATTATTTTTATTTAATAAAATTTTCATAACAGTTGTAGAACTTTAAAAAAAAAAAGGTAAACTAAACTTTGTAAAGTTTATTAAACGCAACCAAAAAAAAAATTTATTAACGCATTTTTTATACAGCTGGACTACAAATTTGTCCTTAAATTACCAAGTAATCTAATAATAAAAAACCTAGCGAGAAAAAATATTTATGCCCCATCTAATTTTTTTACAATAATTGAAGGATAATTTTTATAACAGCAATAAAAAAGTCATACAATTTTCGAAGGGCGATTACCAGTTTTAAGATTTTTACCTTACCTCTAATTTTTGACTATGGCACTACTGATTAGAAGTCATAATTAATTATAATCTATATTTTAATCATCAATGAGAATAATAAATAATATAGATTACTTACTGAACATCTGCTGTGTGGTCCAAGTCTGAAAAATAAAAGGTTAAAATAATAATAAATTTAATAACCATAGAAAATATATATTGGATGAAGTAAGGTAATTGTAAATGCATTTTTTTTAGAAAAAAACAGACCTTTTTTCAAACTTGCATTTAATGTGATAGCAACATGTTTAAAGACTAGAACTGAAACAAAATTACTAAATATTCTATGAGAAAAAATGAATTTCAATTATCTCATTCATTTAAATTCAACAAACTTCATCATAGTTACTACATTACCCACAACATAACTTAAAAATTTAGAGATTTAATTTCAAAGAAACATTGGCAAGAATTCAAATGACTTAAGAATTTCTAATTAAAGATAATTGGGAACACATGATTAAAATTTAATATTTAGTTGTTCATTATAATTGATATTATATTGATTAACATATTAAGGCAATCTTACACTCATATTTGCACTCTGGTAAATTCCAATCTTCTTCATTTATTTCACCCATTTTACCAAAAAATCAGTACACTCATATACAAATGAATTAAATTATCATATATAACAAGACAAAATATTCTTTGTGACAAATCATATATTTTTGTTTATGTATTTAAAAGCTCAATCTAAATTGAAAGCAACCGGTATTTAGTTATTATCAAATAAATATTTCTTCTTATCATTTTCATTACGATAGTTAATAGCATGAAGTGTAATTTACACTTTACTGACTCAAATTTATTTTTTGTGGTACAGCTATCGATAACTTTAAATATCTAAAGTAGTGCATAGTTACGTTAAATTATTTTTAAAATAATTTAGAATATTTGTATCTGAAATAGTTAGCCCATTATTTTTTATTTAAATTATTTGAGTTTTAATTACAAATCAAGATCTTAGTTCGTGGTTTAAATTACGCAGTGATACTACTTAAATAATTATGTTGGTAACACTCATACAGTATGTCCCGACGCCAAGTGGGTTTTTTTTCACAACGTTGTTCTCTCTTCGTTCGCCCATCGTATTGCTTGTTCTAACGTTCAACGTAGCTAAGGCCCATTAACGGCGACTTGCAATATAATTGAATTTCTGAATTTTTATCCATTTCAATCATAAAAACATGGCCCTCAGCAAACCTGAATCAGCTTGCGTATATGCTTCCTTAATCTTGGCTGACGATGACATCAACGTTACGGTAAATATTTCTCATATTTTATTTTGACTATATTTGAAAAATAGATAAATTGATATTTCAAAAATAATGATATTTAAATCATATAGTTCTCCAATGTTCATAAATAATAAAGTTAAATTAACAATATTTCTATTACAATTGTACTTTCTTTATTCTCAATAGATGATTAGGTATTAATTTTTCTATTGCCTCGTGTTAAATTTTTGGAGTAATCCAGAAAAACATCAGTTCATGTATACGCAAAAATGAAATAACATTATCTAATATATCATTCAATAGACTTAATAAGTATTTCAAATTCTAAATTTATTAAACTTTTGTTAAACTAAATATTCTTAAACCGCTCTATTACTCGCAAAATTATTTTTTTTTAGTTTATATTTCTTGATTAATCAGCCATTAATTATTTTTTATAATCATCCCTTTTAAATTGTAGGAAGTTAAATTTATTTATTTTAAGGCAACATACATATTTATCATTTTTATAAAGTAGAAAATAATTTTATAACTATTGAACCAGTCATTTAGATATTGTTAAATATTTCTAGGCTGGTCTAAGTGTTATTATTGATCAGTCAATTTTTTTAATTGGATCATTTTCCATTTTATAAAATGGTTTAATATGTATGTGTGTTCTCATTTAAAAAATTTAAGTTCGTGCTGATAAAAGTGATAATAGATGATTTTAAAGAATAATTAATGGCTGATAAATTAAGAAATATATGTAGCTGGAAAAAAAATGTTTCTTTCATTATTGTATTTATTTTGTAAGTAATCAAGCAGCTTATAAAAAACTGATCATTCTGTATATTTTATAAAATTTAATTGAGTATTTTTTGGGTCCTTAAGCTCTATCTATAATATTTCAATAAATTAATTTGTTGAAATAGAGTAATTGCCAATGCTTAAGTTATTATTTTGAACTTGCATTTAATGTTATAGTAACATATATAAAGACAAAAAATTTTAATAAAATAAAATTTACTAAATATTTTAAAAATAATTTATAATCATCTCATTCAATTACATTTATCCCACTTTACCCTAAAAAAATGAATTAGTTTAACTTTTTAGTTAAATGTTTAAAGAAACCATTGAGCATCATTATTTCCATTTGATTTGGTTAAAATTTTGTTAATATTACAATTGTATGCATTATTTCACTTGTATTTTTATTTTATAATTGTCTTCCAGTAAGTGAATAATTTACTTTTAGTGTCAGTCAAGAGTTAATAGTTTAAAACTGTGTTCATTCAGAGTTTGCTCAATTTTTATTTGAACATGTTCTGTATATATTCTATCAATTGTGTAATAACTCAGATTTTTATATTAATTTGGAATTTTAAAAGTAGTTTTAGTTTTTATATTACTCTAATTTATTCAATTATTCTAGAGTAGTAATAATTAAATAATTTTTATGTTCATTTATAAATTTCAATTATCCAATTTATAAAAAATAAAATATTTTATCTACTCAATAGAAATTTATTTCTTATGAATTTTTAAGGCTGAGAAAATCCAAACCATTTTGAAAGCAGCTGATATTGATGTTGAGCCATATTGGCCTGGTCTTTTTGCTAAAGCATTAGAAAGTGCTGGATCTATTAAAGACTTAATCACCAATGTTGGATCCGCTGTAGGAGCTGCCCCTGCTGGAGGAGCAGGTAATTAAATAACTTTTCCTACTTTTTTTCTCTAGCTATTGAAATTTTTATAAGTTGTAATTCTCAAATAAAACATAATTTATTATTTTGTTATAGCACCTGCTGCTGCTGCTGCTGCACCAGAAGCAAAACAAGATAAGAAGGAAGAGAAAAAGAAGGAAGAAAGTGAGGATGAAGAAGATGACGACATGGGCTTCGGTAAGTTAAATCAATCTCTTATATATAAGGGATAAGGTGTTGCAGTTGCCAAACTAATTTTTAATAATCTAATAATAATAGTTTTAAGCTGTCTGGCATTGTTTGTTCTTTTGTGGAAGTCTACTTGTTTATTTTATTTATTAATAATGAAAAATTGTATTCTTAGTACAAAAGGATATAACAAATGCTGCACTTGCAGTTGACACAGAACTTAAATTGAAAATTGACTAGTGTCAAATTAACCTTCTGGTTATCCAGACGATAGTTTATAACCTGAATTGTTTCTCTTTATATATTTACTTACTAGTTTAATAAATGCATAGATTTATGAAATATTAATAATAATAAAAATTTATGTTTCAGGTCTATTTGAATAAGAATCTTGACTGACCTTTTTTTTTTATATATATATATATATATGTATATGTATGAACATTTTAAATGTTGAATAAAAAATACAAAAAAAATTTCAATTTGTTTTTTTTTTCCTTTTTAATTTTTTTTACAAACTGGAAAATTATTCAATATATTGTAATTGGTTCTAAATATAATTTAAATACTATAATTATCAAAGCGGTCACTTTACTTTAAATGTATTTAAAGTTAACTGATATATAAAAAGAAGGGTTATATTAGGGGGGTGATCATCACACCTTGGACTAGAAATATTTTTACTAAAAAAATGTAGTTGCTGCTCTCCTGAAAAAGCTCTAAATATCCACCCACTTAAATTGACCTGTGGATGCATAAATGTGTCAAACATTATTTATCTTAGATTCCAAGATATTTTTATAATTATTTTAACCATTTTAGTTTAATTTGCTAATTAAAGTTAAGTTTGGATGTCACTAACTTCAAAAGTTGAATTCACTGCTACTTCTGTAATATATGAACTCTGTTAATATTATTTCCTTCAATTATACTGCCACATCAATTTTCTTTAATTACGAAAACACTTAAAACTAATAAAATTTTTTATATTTAGGTATACATATGAGCTCTTTTAAAAATCTATCTTGTTACAATATAGTGAGTTACCCAAGCTAAGGATGCAATAATACAAACTAGGTAGGTGACAATATTGTTGGGTGAAGATTGAAAATATTTTATAAGTTTTTTTATTTCTTTACATAGTAACTGGCAATTCACAATTTTCTAAAAGAATTTTTACACCACAATATCTGTTATAACAACTATTAAAAAAATTAAGATTGAGGTAGGGTGGTGTTCAATGTTTGCTGTGTATGTATTTTAAAAATGTAATAAAATTATCCTAAAAATCCTTCTCACAAAGGCATATATTCATTAGAGTTATTAAATGGATCAAATCTTGATATTAGCTAGTAATGTTATGTATTTGTTTAACCTTTGAATTTTGTTTTTTTGTCTACAATATACTAGCAGTGTGGGAATGTTTTAAAGACATAGTGTTCATTAAGGCTTTAATTTTGCATCTGATGTTATTGCAATGCTACTAAGACTACAGTCCTTCCTATTTCTTACAGATTATAATAAGTGTTCCATACAACTATTTGATGCTAGAACTCTTTAACGTTTTTTTTTAAATATATATCCAACTAAAAATTGATGCAAAATAGCCTGAGATTTCTTGTGAGAGGACCCCTAGTATCTAAATAAAAATATTATATATTAATTTATTTACAAATATTCTACTATATTTTATTTAATTACATTTTATACAAATAAAAAACCTTGCATTTAATTTCTTTATCAACATNTACGGGCTGCTGGTTGCCGACCACTGTTTTAAAGACATAGTGTTCATTAAGGCTTTAATTTTGCATCTGATGTTATTGCAATGCTACTAAGACTACAGTCCTTCCTATTTCTTACAGATTATAATAAGTGTTCCATACAACTATTTGATGCTAGAACTCTTTAACGTTTTTTTTTAAATATATATCCAACTAAAAATTGATGCAAAATAGCCTGAGATTTCTTGTGAGAGGACCCCTAGTATCTAAATAAAAATATTATATATTAATTTATTTACAAATATTCTACTATATTTTATTTAATTACATTTTATACAAATAAAAAACCTTGCATTTAATTTCTTTATCAACATTACCTTTTACACCAATTCCTAATTAGAGAAACCCACTTAAATAAAGAAAGATTGTATTGTTTTTATATCTAAAAATATTCTCTTACTAAAATTATACAAAAAAAGACAAGCATTAATGATGAATGTAAATTTTATTTGTTAAGTTAAAGAATCAAAACATAAAATACAAAAGGTGTTAAAATAACAAAGAAATGTTCAAAATTATGAAAGTTTAGGCCATTGACAACGCTCATTAAATGATACAACATTTAAAACATTAGGTTTTTTTAAGTAAACTAAAAGAGAAGCAGTGAACCCATGTATTTGTGTATCTTCTCCGAATTCTACTTCACCAGCACATAGTACTTGATACATAGAATCATTTTCACCTAAAGGTAATGCTACATGTTGTATGTCAATTGAAAGTAGCTGGTGTGTAGTTGTTGCCATTGTTAACATAGCTTGTTGAATAGCTGAATGGCCACATATACGATTCCCAAGAACCACAAATGTACCATCTTCAGGAAACGATGAATGCATTATATGTCGTTTTTTATCATAGGTAACAAAGAAATCCTGAACAAAATTCATGACCAGAGATTCTTCCAATTCCATTTTTTTAATTTGATCATTCATTCTAAAACAGCAACATGTTCATGAAACAACATGATATTTATTCACCACAAAAAACAACTAATTCTAAAAATAATACATACATAAATATATACATATACCAAGTCTTATTGGAAAAAATCTGAACGATAATCTCACCTGATTAAGTTTATGAAATAATTTTTCCAAATTTCAACATGAATTCACATTTTCAAAGTTTTACAATGTAAACATATCTTATCGCAATTAGGTTTACCATCAAAATGCTTTTAAATAACTTATATTCATTCATAAGACAACATTGAAATCTATATGTGAGATTTGCTGAATTCTTTAAGATAACGTCTTTTGAAGTGCGATAAGAAGTATTATCACTAACCACAGATATATTTAACAAACATATATCTGTGTTACTAACCAACTACATTTCGGTTAACCATTGCGCTACCTGGCTTAGAAAAATATTATAAAGTATTATAAGACCTTCAAAGCAACTACGTAAATGATATGGACCAATGTAATTTCCTGTGTTATTACAGCAATGTGTATACAATCTTGTATGTACATTTTACATTTATATTGCACATTTGTCATTTAAGCAAACAGGATAGATAAACAATGTAGCATAATTTATGAAGATTTAAGTTAACTATGATTATGACACATATGTTATCCTTTTAATTAATTTCTATCCAGTAAGATAATTAAAACTTATTCAAAACGTAAAATATTAATAAAAATATTTTGAAACAATTTAAACAAAATTTTGCTTAAAGCTTCAAACCAGCTTGTTTTCACCAAACTTTTTAGTAAATTATTTTATTATATAACTCACCTTAATTTTTTTATACCTTGTACAATTAAATCAAATGTGACGAATCACCAAAATATGCGAAAAACATTACAATAATGATCGTAGACATTAACAGATTATCGTTATCAGCAGAGATAATTTTAGGGGTTTTGTTCACATCATCGTGAGTTTTCAATAAAAACAATTACTGTCAATTATCATATACAAATTTATTTATTATTTATTATTGTTATCAAAACATTATCTTTTCGACGTCGTTTAACAGATGAAACGTGCAATTTTATAGTTCACATCTGATCATTTAAAAGTAATAATTCATAAAGAATTCAACCAAAGAAACAAATTCACAGTTATTTTTTTTATTGTCGTCATATGTTTATTTGGTAAGTATCTTCAAAAACTAAATGTATATTTTCTTAGTAAATATGTAAATTGGGACACTATTACTATTAAAATAGCTACAAACTGTAGTACAATAAAAAAAGAATTTGTACTTATAATGTCATATTGAAATTTTGCATAAAAGACAAGTCATCAGACCGTTTTTAATTTTGTATTATATTAAACAAGCTTTAATTTGAAATGACTTAGAATGATCCAAAATTTTATTATTATTAAAAAAATGAAATCAGGAATTTTTACTGAAAATTGTATTATTTTTGGCTATAATGTCCAATAACTCCTTGAAATTAAGATTTCGAATAGTTTACTTTTTTTGTATTTAATTACATGAGTTAACTTTTACTTGATGTATGTTTGAAGGAGTCAAGTTTTTTTTGGAACATTATAAAAAATAAAAAAATTCAATATGATGATTATACTTCTCAGTATTTTGGTAAATGATACGATTTTCAAAAAATTTGTTGAAACTATAGTAGTTTTAAATATTGCAGCTAATCATTTTATATAGATCCATACATTATTGGAATAGTTTGAAATCAAATATGATTTTTAAACTCTCACAGTACCTAAATTATTTAATATTGTATTTAACACATAATGATTTATTTAATTTTAGAAATATGCCTCTTTTTGGGAAATCTCAAAAAAATCCAGTTGAAGTGGTGAAGCAACTTAAAGAAGCCATTGTTGCATTAGAAAAAGGCGATAAAAAACTAGAGAAAGTTAGTTTTTATTTTTACATAATTTTAACTCTTGTAAATTTTGTATCAAAACTTTATGTCAAAAACAAAATATTATGTAATATGATATTATACAATATGATTCTTTTAATACTATTCACTCAATTTCTTTTAAATAATAATTTTATTACAAATAATAATAAAATAGAAGAAAATGATGTAATTAAGAAAAATAAAGTCGATATGTAAATTGGGACACTATAATACTGTTAAAATAGCTACAAACAGTATTACAATAAAAAAAGAATTGGTACTTATAATTTTATGCCGTTAAATAGAAATACTTTGGATCTAATGTTTTGGTTCTATATTAAATTTAAGGTGCAAAATATCCCTGGATACATCTTAAAATATGGCAACAGTATTTATTAACTTAAGAACTCTTATGTGTAAATAATCACTCGATTTATAAAATCTCATTTATTTTGTGTTTTGAATTTATTTTGTTAAGTATTAAGATTAGGCTATCCCAATATCATGTCACATTTTCTTCAATTTTTCATGAAAACAATATTCTTATTTATAAATAAAAATATAAAATTCATATGAAAACTATTAAACAGTATTAAATTAAAGCTGACTTTTTCATATTCTATAATACAGTAACAAAATTGTTATTATTTAATAGTTGAAAATACGTTGATATATTATTATTTCAAAATAATCAATGTGTCAAAAAGTTATTGCTGAAAATCCAAAAAATTAAAAAAAATTACATAATTATGTAAAAATACAAATTAATATAATTAAAACAAATAAAGTTGATTCTCCTATAAGACAAAGGAATAAAAGTATTTTATACCAGATAATTGAAGATACATATATAACTAATAAAAGCTAAGATAAAAATCTTCAATAAACTATTATTTTAAAACAAATAGAATGGCTAGTATTAAAAACGTCACCCTGCAAAATATGTTATAAACATTTTCAATATTTAGCTTCTATGAAAATTTAAGTTACACATAATATTTTTAAAACTTTTGTACATCAGTAGAAAACTGTCAGTAGTAAATGTGATTTGAGATAGTTTACCCCTGATATAAAGATTTAAAAATATCAAAGTATTGTTTTTCAACGTATCAAAAAATGATTTTCGGGATAACATAGTCTATTAAAAAAAAGTCACTGTAAAAATATTGTTTAATGTCATTTATTTGACCATCTAGAGGATGATCTAGATATCTTTTAGAATGTCTTGAAAGAAGTTTTCAAATATTTCTTAGTTATTTACATTTTTTTGTGGAAATTCATATGTTAAATACACTCAACTCAATATAAATATTAAACATTCAATATTTTTATATTATGTATTATTATATTACTGATACTTTTTATTTGGACGCTACTTTAAATATAAAAATGTTGAATATCATAGGCACAAGAAGATGTGAGCAAAAATCTTTTGATCATCAAAAATTTGTTGTATGGTACCGCAGATACTGAGCCCCTATCTGACATAGTTGTAGCACAATTGGCACAAGAAATGTATAATAACAATTTGTTGCTCATGATGATACAAAATTTAACAAAAATAGATTTTGAAGTAAGAGATAATAGAGAAAATATATTTTATAATTAAATACTAATATTATGTATAATTTTTAGGGTAAAAAAGATGTTGCTCAAGTTTTTAATAATGTTCTTCGACGGCAATTAGGCAGCAGATCTCCTACTGTTGAACATATTTGTGCAAAATCTGAAATTTTATTCACTCTCATAGCTGGGTAAGTTAAAAATATAACAATTCTTTGGGGACTACTAATAATAGTTATTATTTTTTAAATCATATAAATTAGTAAATTTTGACATTTTTTAACACGCTTATATTAGTTTCACCTGTATGTATGTATGTATGTATGTATGTAACTCTCCAAACGTCACGCGTTATCGCATATTCCGTCGTCTAGACTAGACTGTTATATGCATTCACCCCTCCCCACGCCTCGCTCACATCACGACGGCACACTATTCCTATAAAAATTTATTTTTAGTTATCGTACCCGTACACGCGTGCTTGTCATCAATATTATATATATATAAACAAATTTTTATTTTGACTGACCAATACCGCCCGCGTCTAATGCGCCTTACGTATATATATTTATATATTCCTACCACCGTTTATACCTCAGGTATAACGTTAGTCCGACCCGCCTACCCACAAAATACGATTATACCTAGTGCATGATACGTTTACGTACTTAAGTCGCTTTACTTGTATATATATATATATATATATATATATTCTAATTACTATTAAAATTTATTTATTAACACGCTTTATTTTAATTAAGAGATATAAAGTATTCATTCCGATTACGAGGGATGATTCCCGTATCGTCATTTTTCGTCACTACCTCCATGTTCCGGGAGTGGGTAATTTACGCGCCTGCTGCTTTCCTTGGATGTGGTAGCCGTTTCTCAGACTCCCTCCCCGGAATCGAACCCTGATTTCCCGTTACCCGTAACAACCATGATATTGATAGTAACTACTATCATAACATGAAACTAAAAAGTAAAAAATAAATATAGTTTAAAAAACTAAAAAAACACGCTTTTAAAGCACATCGAACTAAAAAGTTAAAAATAATTTTTAAAATAAGTATAAAATAATTATGAAAAAAAATACTAGTATTATTGTGATAAAAGCGTGGGTGCATTGTGTCATATTTTTCGTATATTGAGCGCCCCACGCTTTTATCACAATAATACTAGTATTTTTTGTTCATAATTATTTTAAACTTATTTTAAAAATTATTTTTAACTTTTTAGTTCGACGTGCTTTAAAAGCGTGTTTTTTTAGTTTTTTTAATCTATATTTATTTCTATTAAAACTACCATAACTTATTGACAAATGAATGAAAATAATTTTTTTATTATTATTGAAACCTTAGGTGTTTCCCTTTTATTTAATATAATTTTATTGAAAATATGACCCTTTTTCTTTCCCTGTGAATAGGGGATAAGAATACTTCCACGGCCCCTCTGCCAGTTGTAAGAGGCGACTAATGAGGTTGTGTCAGGTGGACAGCCGGTGTAAAAATCTTTGTCAAAAAATTATGAGGAATCTTGAACAAAACTTAGGCGGATTGTCCCATCTCGGATGTACGTAGGCACAACAGAAAGTAGTTAAAAACGGAGAAGGCCTAAGGAATAAATTGTTTGATACCAGTCAGACAACTTGTGCGATAGCTGTTTCACCAGTCATGTGTACAGATCTACCCAATGCTTATAGTGTCAACGGTGTAGAGAGGCCACCACTTAAATCTAGGCTGGACTCGTGTATAAGGGAGAAAGATAGATACAAAGTAAGAATAGGTACTTGAAATGTTGGAATATTAACTGGTAGAAGTGGAGAATTAATAGAAGTATTGAAGAGGAAAAAAGTTAATACTTGTTGTGTGCAGGAAACTAAGTGAAACGAAGAGAAATACTGTGTCCTTTATACATATGTTAAATTAGAGCTTCTGTTAGGTACTATAAGTTGAAAAAAAAATTGTTCCGACGACCTATCTTCTATGTGAAAACGCATTTAAAGTTGAACAAAATATAGGAGTTAATTTTGCTTTTGGAATAATCTATCAATTTCTTAAAATTAAAAACTATCTACAGATTTGCATCAAAGAGTTTTTTATGATAATGATTTTAATCTTTGTCAAATATCATCTATACTAGGGTGGTCCTTATTTTTCAAACTCAATTTTTTTAAGACAATACCCTCTAGATTGGTTAAATACTATTAAAATGTAATGTAGGTAAAATTTGGAAGTTTTTATTCAACCCCTTCTGGTGCCGCATTAGGGTTGAAATATGGCACTTGATGGTTGTTTTTGCTTTTTTTGTGTTTAACTCGACAACTATTACACTTAGCGCTAAAATGAATAGAATATTAATTATAGAACTTATTATTGCCTACAAAAAAGGTAATAACAATATTTTTCATAAATTCATTATATTTTGAGAAAAATTACTTAACATAAAAATTTTTCAAAATTTAACATAAATATATTTTTTTAAATGTTTTAATATTTTTACTGAGTGGTTGAAATTTCATTAAATTTTCATGTAATCTTTTTTTATAAAATTAATATTAAAAAAAAAAAACTAAGTAAAAAATTGTATAAAATAACTATATAATAATTTCATGAATATTAACTAAGATTAAATAAAAAAAAATGTATAATCCATTAGGGTGGTCCTTAATCATATAAGAAGAAATTTTTTATTAATATTTTTTACATAGTACCCTCTAGATTGGTTAAATACTATTAAAATGTAATGTTCTGACGACCTATCTTCTATGTGAAAACGCATTTAAAGTTGAACAAAATATAGGAGTTAATTTTGCTTTTGGAATAATCTATCAATTTCTTAAAATTAAAAACTATCTACAGATTTGCATCAAAGAGTTTTTTATGATAATGATTTTAATCTCTGTCAAATATCATCTATATTATACGTGGCACGACCCTACTGTGTTACCTTTTTTTTTTACATAACAACACTTATTATTTTGTTAAAAAGGGCTAATTATAATATTAGTTGTGTAAGTTGCCTTAACCTTGCCTTGAAGCCTCACGGTAGTTCTAGGAGGGATAACATTATTTTGGCCATGAAAAAAAAAAGGTGCCTCAACCTTTCCTTATGTACCTATAACTTTGGTAATGACTACAGTAGTAATCTTCATTCATGAATAGAATATAAAAATTTTGATAAATTTTGAATAAAAGCTATTATAATCAATTATTATTAATATAGTTTTTTAAGTGGGTTCATTTCTTACAATGCACATAGAGTGCACTTATCCTAAATACCTTAAATACTAGTTAATATATTGTATATAATAAAATAATTAAAAATATATATATTACAGATATGAACATCAGGAAATTGCATTAAATTGTGGTACTATGTTGCGTGAATGTGCTAGATATGAAGCATTAGCAAAAATAATGCTGTACGCTAAAGAATTTTTTAACTTCTTTCGTTATGTAGAGGTATCTACTTTTGATATAGCTTCAGATGCATTCTCTACTTTTAAAGTTTGTATTGATATTTAATAATTAATTATTTTGTCATCATTATTAAGAATTTTCTTTTTTATTAGGAGTTATTAACTAGACATAAACCACTGTGTGCCGAATTTCTTGAAATGAATTATGATAAGGTTTTTACTCATTATCAACAACTATTAAACTCTGAAAATTATGTTACTCGGAGGCAAAGTCTTAAGTTACTTGGAGAATTACTCCTAGATCGTCATAACTTCACTGTAATGACTCGATACATATCAAATCCTGATAATTTAAAACTAATGATGAATATGTTAAAAGAAAAGTCTAGAAATATTCAATTTGAAGCTTTCCATGTTTTTAAGGTATTCTTAAATTAACTTGTAATTTAATCATTTATCAAATATTAGATGCAATAATAGCTATATTTAAAAAAATAATCTATACAATTTAAAATTACTCTAAAGGGATTTATGATTTTATAAAATTTGTTTGAACTACTCCCAAAAAATACGACTACTGTTTAGTGTTCAGAAAAACAAACATGAATATTTTTTTATTATTGATGTATTCGAGTTGACTAAAATAAACTTTACAAATGCATATAATCCAAGCCCTACTGATAATATAAACATTTGGTGATTTGAGCTCTAACTGAACTTAACTGTTTTCCGTAGAATACTCATTTAGTTAAAAGAATTTTTAAATAAAAATACGTAAGTTAAATTTTATATAAAATAATCCATCATTTTCTATCTAAATTATTTTATTAGATAGTATAAAATTATTACTATAAAATGTTCAATTAAAAAATGTTATATAATATATAGTAAACTTTCTGAAAACTATTAGTATATAATACTTATTGAGTTGCATATTTTAAATATATTGGTGTTTCAAAAGTATAAACCTTCATATTTTATCAATATTGATTGTGGACATGCTCATGTTCAGATATTGTGTGACTATGCTTGTATAATGTCCTAAACAGGCATTATTTAGGAGTAGTGAAATGTGGCAATAGCTTCCAAAAATTCATAGTTAGGGATAATTTTAATATTAAATAGTAAAACTTACAAATAATATCAATATATAGTTAATCAAAAAAAAAATATTAATTTTGATATTTGTAGTAATGATTTATATGATATTTTATGTTCTTCATTTTTATTTAAGATTGTCATCATAAGTTCGATGAAAACTCAAAAAAAATAAGTTGACTTTTCTTTTGCTCATCAATATTATTTAAAAGGTGATTTTCCTCTTGGAGAATTTGGAAGGTGAAGTTCCAGAATTCATGTAGCACCCCTGCCATAATCTTAAATACAGCCCTGCACTATACCTTACTTTAAAAAAAAAATTAGTTTATAAAATTTAATTTTGATACAATTATACTTTTGTAGCTTTGATTCAATTTCAACTAGAAAAAATGTTGATAAGAAATATAATTTCTATATTTTTATACTAGTTAGACTAAAAGTTTTAGAGTCTTAATTGAATTATAATTCACATTATCTTCATATTGAATACGCCTACCTTTTACCTATTATTTTTTAATTTTTCTATTATATTCTACTATGATTTTATTATATATTTTATTATTTTATTATTTAAGGTATTTGTTGCAAATCCAAACAAACCTAAACCTATTCTTGATATCTTACTGCGTAATCAAGATAAACTTGTTGAGTTCTTGACCCGATTTCATACAGAAAGATCTGAAGATGAGCAATTCAATGACGAAAAAGCTTATCTAATTAAACAAATAAAAGAGCTGAAGGTAGCACCATCCGATCAATGATTTATTGTTTTTCACTACATTACAGCTTTATATTTTGTAATCGTTAAGTCACATGTTAAGAAAGCTTAACATTACTTAGGGGTATGGATTAAAGTAAGATTTATAGTTAATACAATATTTTTATGTTACAAAAATAAATATATATATTTATATATATATATATATTTTTTTTTTATTAATTACAAATTTAAACAATTATAATTTTTCCTTTTAACAAAAATATTTATCCTCACATATATTTAAAAGTTTTGAACTCAAGTATCTATTAAAAATATGTATTATTTAAATACTATTTACTTACATAATTTAACTACATAATTATACTTAATTTTTCAATGAAATCTGTTAATTTAAAAATTAATGTTTAAATTTAGATTAACGAATTATTTGGCGTTGCTATTATTTGACATATTTAATGAAGTAAACAATGAAATAATTCTACTAAATTATTAAAAAATGTTATATTGTAGAATACTTGGTAGAAAATCTAAATAAATTATTTATTAACTGTTTTATACTAAAAAAATGTATATACAAAATTATATTATATACAAAACTTTGAACATTGGCTATAAATTTTAGTGTTTGTATTTGTTATATTTATTAATTATTGTATTGCATAATTAATAATTAATTATAAATGTTGGCAGTTTTTTTAACTAATTAAAAAAAATTATTTATATTTTTAAATAGTAAAGGAAAATATTGGACTATATTTTAATTTTTTCTTTATAAAATATTGTTGGGTCATAAATTTACTAGACCATAAATGATAATGTAAAAAATTTGTTCAGTTTAAGATAATTTTATTGCTATAATAAGACAACAATATTTTTTTTATAATTATGTTTTCTTTGTTATGAAATAATCATGATTGCATATTAGGATTAGACATATCCTATAATGTATTCAATTTTCTATGAAAAATTGATTTAACCTAGTACCTTCCATAGGTCATTGTCTTAATAAATAATACAAATAAACTTGTTTGTTATAAAATTTTGTAAATCTTGAAATTTTAGCTTTGGTGCGAAGCTGAAAAGGTATTAATTTTACTGTTTTATTTATTTTTTTGTGTTTGTCACCAATTTTTATCTGCTCTCGCAGACTGATTTTTTTTAATATGATATGTCAAAAGACCACAAATTGTTCCCAGTTGAAGACATAGGCCTTAAAAATTGAAAATATTTCCCTCATTCCATGTTAATAGAGAAAATTACCAAAAAGATTGCGATTTTTAAAATTGATTCCCTTTATCTGCCCACAGAAGAAATCAAAAACTTTTACAACATAACTTTTAAAAATTTAAGGAAATACTGATACACTTTATGTATCTTAATTTAAAACTTATGTAATATACTTCAATTTGAAATAAAATATTGACTATCTTCGCTAACTAAATACGCTATTTTTGTGTTAAAATTGTCTATTTTATATTTTTAACTTTATATTGTTATAACTTTTTGCGAAATGTATGAATCAATACAATTGTTTTTATGAATATTTTATACCCTTTTGTCCTACATATATATTTTTTTTAATCAAACTATTTCTCTTTATACAGAAGGGTCCAAACACGTGTATAAAAAGTAGATCTTTTTCAATTTAACTATTATTATAGTATTAAATTAACTATAATCTCCTACTGGTAATAGGAGTTATATAAAGAGTGTTCTATAAGTAAGGAAACAGGTTAATTATTACAAACAATGAGACAAAAGAAAACCTTCACCTTACTTACTGAAAACACTCTATATTTCAAATATTAAACAATATTTTGTTAACCTACAATAGCATTTTCTTAAAAAATAATATTTAACTTATTTATTGTAATAGGTTATTTTAATTTTTTTTAAGTCTGACTACTTTTTAATGAAACATTGATACAGGATTTCTTAAGATAACATCAACGTTTAGATGGCCGTTATTGATTCTTACACTTATTATAATCAGACTAGTCCGGAGCAATAAAATACCCTTTGCTGGTCTTGTGAGTTCGCCTATGCTATAAGAATTCATAAGATTTTATTATTATATTTTGTTGATAACATGCATCTTTTTTGTGCATATTTGATTTCCAAAGTTAATTAAAAAATTACATTAAAGTTATAATTAAAAAATTTTCTTGTAGCCTTTGCTTTTTCTTCCAAATATTTAGAATAAGTCACTTTAACTATTATCTTATATTTAATTTAGTTTCCTAAATCCTCTTCTTCATCCTCATATTCCTTTTTTTCTTTAATCCACAATTTTTTTCCTCTTTCCTTAAATTTCATTGTCTTTACCCTTTTTCTTATTGAAATATGACTTGGCAATTTCAATTTATTCTATTAAACTTCGTAGAATATTAATACTATATATACACTATCATTATATCTATATGTAATGGATGTATTGCATAATATATACACACATTAACCAATATAACAACAAATTAGACTCAATACTACATTTTACTACTTTTTATGTATATTTTTGTTGATGACCCTGAAAATGAATTAGTAAAAAAGGCTCTAATTTCATTAATTAGTTTGAGTTAATTGATTTGTTAACTAGCTGAAAAAATGTAAACTATTTTCATATTAAATTAAATAAAGTATAAATTTAGTTGAATTTAGCCACTTTATTTGTATATTATATCTCAATAATAGTTAAAATTGTTGTTCTATTTCATTAAGTAAATAAATAAATTGAACTAATAAAGAAACATAACTCTAGAACAATAATAAAAGTTTTATATAACATCTATACAATAAATTAAATAAAAATTAAGCTAATTCACTAACAAAATTATAATGCAACTTTTATATTAAGTAAAACATACATATATTCTATAAAATCTATGTTATAATATGAAATACCTATCTGATTGGTATTTCATTTCAAAATTTTCAACAAATATTTTTAAATTTAGATAAAGTTTAATACAAACCATTTATTAAACATATCAATAATACTTGCAATTTAACAGAGATTTTTAAAATACAAATTATAGTTACAAAACATAAGAATATGTTATAATATATTTAAACAGTACATGTATAATCAGTTATTCACAAAACAAAAATAAAATGTGTAACAAATTAATATGAAAAGTTTTATTAATGTATATATATATATATATATTGAACATTTAATAATAATTATGATAAACATTAGATGCAATATCAATTTCTTGATGCCAATTAAGTATGATGGCAACTCACTATTATATTGAAGCTTGTTATACATTTTTTCAAAAATAACGGAATTCTCCTTTTTTACCAATTCTCTCTTTACGTACCCAATCAGCTGGTGCTGGACCTGATTGTGGTACAGAATTACCACTCCTAGATTGTTCTGAACTTATGCTCTGATCAACAAACTCACTTTTCATTGACTCCTAAAAAGAAATTTGTTTAAAAAGTTGTTTGAAATAAATTCTTTCTACTAAACAAATTAGTTATGTAGTTATAGTTTTTATTTTTTGTGTGTAATGGTATTAGGCAAAATGGAACATAATGAAGCGCTCCATTTCAAACAATTTTCAAGAGTGATTTACTATATGGGGACAACAGATTATTTTATAAAGAAAAAAGTAACCAACACCATTTTATTTACTTTAAATATAAATAGTATTTAGTTCTTCTCAAATTTTATTACTTTTGTTTAAAATTTAAATAATTAAATGCAAATTTTAACTTTAAAAATGTTATTGTTTTAATAAAGAATATAATAAAAATGTTGATATTTTACCTAATTACCATAACATTTATAAAAATTTCATTTTTTTAGTAATAGAAGTTTTACAGGCGTTATATTTTTTAATTTATCTTTCATATCATTATGTATAATATGTCTGAATGTAACCCATATTATGGTATTAAGTTCAAAGCATAAAAAATTTAGATATTAATAAATTATATTGAGTGTAGTATACTATAAATGTTATTTATGTCTTAAATAAAATAAAATAGTCAATTAAAATATATATTATGATTATAATACTTATATTGTAAAACCAAAAATTTAATTTTTAAGTTTTCACTTATTATATAATAGCTGTAGTGTTAAAAACTGTTAGTTATACCAAATTTTTAATAGATAAATATTTAAATACTCTGACAATATTTCATTAGGAAATATTGTTAAAATCCACTCGAATTTATATGGGAGCTTTAAATCTCATTTGTCTCATTGTGTCCTTTACATTTAAATTTATAGAAAAAAATTGTTTAAAAATAAAATAATGAACTTGCCTGTACAGAATAATTGTGAGATTGTGAAGCTGATCTTTTGTCATATCCTTTTGTATAAACTGGATTAGTAAATACATCACTAGAATCTAACATTGGGTTAAATGGTGTAACTATGGTATGAGGCACATGAGCAACTTGTGAACGGCTATTGCGAGCTTTCCACCACTTTCTGCTATCATCCAGAATCTACAATAAAAAAACAATTATATATATTCTTTGAATTAAAATTGAGTAAAATAAATTCATAATTAGTAGGAAAATTAATCAAATTAATAAAATAATACTAAGGTAATAAATGTATCAATTTAGTTAGTAGCTTACTTCTAATAATTCACCACGAATGACTGAGAGTTCTTTATCATTGTTAGCAGTTCTTGGGTAAGTGACTTGAACAATCTTGACACCACGATTTCTCATATCTTCTAACCATCTAGCTTGGGCTCTTTCAAATCGTTCACTACTAGGTCCACCAGCTGTCATGTTGCGTTCAATAGAATCAGCAGATATATCACTACGAGCTGCTACATCGACTCGCTCTTTTTCCATTCTAGGTGGACTATGTAAAGATAATGTGTTGAAATCTGGCTCTGATTCTCCTTCTAAACTGTGTGAATCATCTCTAAAATTTATACAATGTTGAAATAATTAACCAAATGCAATATACTTTTTCTGGATAGCAGAAAAATGTTTATTATTATATAGTGTTGGGGGGCGTGGTAGAAACCCCCAAGTGGTATTTCTGGAAATTAGCATACATCAATATTCCAACGGAAAACTTACAAAATGCTAAATTCACTGACTAATTCTAATACCTGCGGTCAAGTGGTAAAACGACCTCTTTCAAGGCCAAGTTTGACATTGGTATCAATTAATATTGAAAATTTGATACCGTAAAAAGAAATTGATGTTTGAGGTGTACAGGAAAATAGAATGTAACGTGTTATACGTATAAGAAACACACAGATCTAACCAACAAAACCGACCTAACGTAAAAGGAATAAGACTAGTGGTTAAATTGGTCAAACTCAAAATACGGGAGCGTAATATTTATACATCCAAGTATTAATTTGATATCCACAGAGATTATCAATAATTAAGATGTGGAAATATTAACAGTCGATATCGAAAAGTGTACAGTAATATCTATATATAAGGCTCCCAGCATAAATTTTGAATTTAATGAATTATAATTACACAGCAATGGAAATACAATTTGTAATCAGTGATTTCAACAGCCATAGCACTAACTGGAGATACAGATACCTACGAAAATAAAAATACGGTTGCAAAATGGGCTGAACGAACTATTTGTCTTTAATACACAGCGCAAGCTCCCAGCATCCTTTGGAGGCATCGCTTCCTTTTAATATTTACACAAATGATCAACTAAAAAGCCCCGCAACGAGAAATTTTCTGTACACTGTAGATCTTGAAAAAGCCGCACAAAATGGTAATTTTGAAGTGACATTAACCGAATACTATGAACGAAATTATTTAAGACCAAATCCCCACAAGACAAATGTGTGTGCATATCATCTTAGAAATCATGAATCAAAGATGAAATTGAACATTGAATGATAAGGAGATAAAATAGACCATGTAGACAATCCTAAATGCTTAGAAGTAAAAGTGAACCGTGCTCTAACACATAAAGTACATAACGAAGATATTGGGAAAAAATTACAACAAGAAATAATGTACTCAAAAAAATGAGCAAGGACAAAATGAGGTGTTTTTCCAAAGGTACTTCGAACGTCTGATCTAGACCTTTGTTATTTAGCCGGAGATTATGCCAGTTTAGTATAACGTCTTTAGCACACGTTGAAAAAGTAGACGTAGTCTTGAATAACACAATTAGAATAATTATTGGATGTCTGAATCCACATCTGTAGGAAAATTCATATTTTAAGTGAGATTGCTTCTTCAGATATAAGAAAAGAAGTATGGTAGAAAGGAAGATACTGATAAGCAGCCACCGACACTCTATGTTTGGCGAAATTAAAATCAATAGTCGATTAAAATCTAGAAAACCATTTATAGAAACTAGTGAACCCACTACAGAAATACCAACAGTGACAAGATTAAAAAAGGAGCAAGAATGAGTCAATGATAATGACAAATGCACCATTTGAGGACATCCGACAGAATTCCATCCCAGGGTACAATTTACTTTGGCATAAATAGAAAATCATTAACAGAATATGCTAGGAAGAAGGAAGAACTAAAGAAAATATGTGCAAATAGGGTCTAACCACAAACGCGGACTGTGATTGCGGGAACATTTAAAGGATAAGAAATTTAATGGAAAGCCCAATACTACCTGTAAGAGAAAAGACCGTGGATTTTATAGGACAATAATTAAAAGACAATGCAATTGAAATTGTTAATTTCTGGGAGAAGGTAATTTAGAAATCTACCACTGACCGACACATGAAAAAGAAGATAGTGTCAGCTATTTAAAGGTATTAAATACTATTTTTTTTAAATTACCTATCTTCTGAATTAAACTGTTCAGGGTGACCAGAATTATAGGTGTAGTGTGGTCTTATACCCTGCATAATACCAGTTGGTTGTTCATGTTCATATTCAAAATAATCGCTACTATCATCACCAACTCCATGTTGTCGGTCCCTGTGATGGTATGGACCATCACGAAACTCTCCCTATAAATTAAAAATATTTATATTATTTATAACAAAAATCATAATTTAATCTTTTGGCCATAGAAATAAATTGTTTTAAAATATATGCTACCTCAGGGTGGATATTTTTTATTTCTTCTCTCGACTTTTTGTGTTCTACAGGACCAACAAGAGCTTCAGAAGATGACACTGGAATCGGATATTCAGGTGACCAACCATCCATAAATATTGGGTGGTAAGGAGCTACATAGCCTTTCCATTGTTCTCTAAAAAAAATAGTATGTTAAACAATTTAAAAACTATTCACAACTTTTAACAATGTAAAAGTATTAAGTCAAAAACTTACCGGGGTATAAGCCAAGCATCCCCAAGGGAGTGCCACAGTTCAGTTTCTTTACTGGTCACACAATTCATTAATAAGTTAATGGCATCTCGGGTGAGTAAAGGCGAAACTACCCTAGACGGTATGTTCGGTTTGTAATGGGTATCATGCGAGGCGTCCACAATTAATGCCAATGGTGTAAACAGGAAATGAACGAGTTCTGGTGCATTAGGATCATGAATATGAGCTTTTAATTTTGCCTTGAAAATTTTTAACACGAGGTAAGCTATTGGTGTATTTAGTATTACATTATAGTAAAATTAAAACTCACTAAGAGGTTGAATGACAGCTTGAACTTTTGAAAAATATCAACAAATTCAATTTCTGGAGGAGGCTTAGCTCGCATTGTTAGCATACCATCTCCAATGTCCTTCTTTTTCGATTTTCTATTCCTTAAAATAAAAGGTTATTTAATTTTAAAGTTTGCAAATTTTCTATCAAATATCACACTACATTACATATTTATAAATAGTCAAAACAGAATATTAATCTGCATGTGAATTATGAAAATGAATTTTCTTTAAGAAATCAAATAGTTTATTTTTGACGTTAAATTCAAAATCAATTACACAAATACTTCATATTAGATGTTTATGTTCAAAGTCTAATTCTTCAACCTACAGTTGAAAACGTTGGTGAAAATTAGAAAGGGGTTTGATTGAGACTCTATTTTATTTTGTTTCCACAAAAATTAAATAACATAGCGAATCATTTCATAGCTTACAAATGGTTAGTTTAAACAGTTTGAACACAGTTTATATGTTTTTAGAAAAGTCCGTTCTTTTAACGGACGAAAGAAAATTATAACCAATATCCATTTTGAAATTTCGAGCAGTGTTATATATAAGACTGTTTCCTTAACTACGCCTCACAAAAAATCACTTTTACTTCATCAGTATTTCTCTGGCTACTCAACATAACCTAGAGATATCGTACCAAATTCTTCGACCAATTCATATGTGCAACTGGAAGATATAGTTGGTAAAAAAAATTATATATACCTTCTTCGACGTTCAAGTTCACGAGATGCAGCTGCCGCATGTTGTAATCTAGCAATAAATTTCTCAATATCATCAAAGCAATGGTTAAGTACAATTACATCTCTTTCATATTTTTCACTCGAAGTTGAACTTGTTTCATCGTCTACTCTGGCAGTACTGTCAGAATCTAAATAAATAAAATATACATGTATACATAAAATGCATAAGAAAATATATGAACAAAATAGAAACAGAATTTTTTGTTAAATTAATCTATTGTTTGATAATTTGGGAAAAATTATTAGTTTATTCATAAATACAACTAAGGGAGACTAAACTTCCTTCAGCCTCCTAATTTAAGAATTGCCCACAAGCATTTTTTTTTTTTAATAATACTTATTATTTAATAAAAATATTTTTAAGATAGGGAAAAATTAGTTTAGGTCCCCCAAATAATGTTATTTTTGTTGCACCAATGAGCTTGTCTTATACTTTACTCTCCAAAACAAAAATTATTGTTTTATTTAAAAAAATCAAGACATAAATATATACTGATAAATAAATATGAAATAGGCTCTCTCACTTTTCAAATTTCGGAATCATCGTTAAAAATAATAAAGTAACCAATAAAAACATAATAAACAAGAAAGGCACTTACGGTGAGCAACTGCATTAAATACGGATACTTGTTCACGAACGCTTACGCCGTTTAAGGGAGGTGGATTTGAAGGAGGTGGAGGTGGCATGTGTCTAGTCTTCCTACTAATACCTTTGCCAGATCTTAACAGCTTCAAATCTTCGACTAGCTCCTGAGCTGGTATACTTTGGCACTGAACAATACAATTGAAAATTACAGTATTATTTTACTACATTAAACCTATACAGGTACATTACATTCGAAGCCTATTAGATTTACTTACTTGAAATATGTGCATTTCTGATCGGGAATCAACCTGACCAACAACAAAAACCAAAATGTTGTTATAGATTTCCATGGGGTCGTTACTTGTGAACGCAGTTGGTTCTTTTACTAATGAAATGGGGAATCTTTCCATTACCACCTGTGTAAAATATATTTGACTTAAATTCTTCTATAAGTATCAATAATAAATTAATCCAAAAAACTGTTATAACTTACACCCGTTTCAAAATCCATTATCATCACCCATTGTTGGTCGAGTCGAAGTTGCATCTTTTGCGACCAAATACCATTGGACTTTTCCAATTGCAATAATCGTCGCATACCATCAGCCGGATAAACTATACCCGTATTTTTAGATACAGTAAAAGTCGCCAAATGTTCGATGACATAGGTCGGAGCAATGCTATCATCACCACCGCCCGCTTCATTTCTTTCTTCAACATGAATGATACTCTGTTGATCTAAAAATAAAGTCAAAAAAGAAAAATTAACGACATTTTATAATTGTATCACTTTAGAGAAAAAATCAGAGTAATTTCAGGAGGGATATATTTGAGTCCGGCACATAATTTTGCTTTTCGTAATAAGCAAAATCTATAAAAAAAATTGTGCACTAGTCATAAAAGATCTTTAGATAATTTTTTCAAGGATGGAAAACATAAGATACTCCTCAGGGAGTGTTCAATACAAATATACATCAGAAGGGCCTAGCTCTCTTGACTATTTCAAGATTACAATAACAATATACCTATTTTCGAAAATTGACGCAATGTTTCATTTAATATTGAGTTAAAAACACTTTTTTTCCTTGTAACAATATTATGAAAATAAAACATATATATTTTTTTTTTTGCTCGTACCGATGCTTAGAACCCTCCTCGAAAAATTAATGAATTCAACACTGTTCTTAGAGACAAAATCTTAAATACATTCCGAACAAATTGATATAAAAATAATAAAATTTTATAAATGATAAAACCAAAAACTATAATGTAAAAAATTGATTGAGAAAAATAATACAAACAAATATATAGGCACATAGAATAAAGTACCTCTAAATATACGTATTTTTAATATTTTAATAAAAAACAATATATTCTAATCATTGTCAACTATTTATAATATTTAAAATATGTTGATTTTTAAATATATAAAATTATAAAATGACATTATCAAATATTAGATAACATAAGTATGTATACAATTAATAAATATACTTGCAAGTTAAGATGAAACAAGGAAATCTTTTAAATTTTACAAATAGAAATCTAATTATATTTCTTACATGAAAAATGTAACAATTTTTTTTAATTACCTGTAGAGTATCCGTTTGAATTCACGCTGTTTCGATGGTAAGGCATTATTGGTTTTTCATTTACTTCTCTAAAAACAAAACATTAACTTATAAAACAATTCTTTATTAATCAATTAATCAAACGTTTTGTTTTTAACCAAACTACGTGACGGTTCGAGATTCTCTAAAAACATACTTGAATTTTAATGATTTTACTATAACACAATTATCAAGATAATATGTGCATAATGAATCATTGTATAATTTATGTAGAAGATATTTTATAGTAATATAAAATATACGTTAATTCATACCTTTTATTTGTTCCTTGGTGATGCATCGACATATCTTTCAATCCAGGCATTTCTTACAATAAAAAGTTTTGGCAACATCTATTCCTAAAAAAATACAATGCCACGATTAAAATATTTGATTTTTCTTAAACAGCAATAAATAATCACTTTATTAAGTACTATTTTATTTTTAAAAAACAAATATGTTATTATATTAAAATATAGATCACTTTTTATTCATAAAATTTAATTTGAATAAATTAATTAAAAATTCAATAGTATATGTTTAAAACTAAGTTAACTATAGAAAATTTATTGTAAGAATACACAGCTGACAACAGTTCAAAAAACAGTTAATTACTGTAGGTACAATGCGATAAATTTTTAAATGATATACACGTACTTAAGTTTTTGCAAACGGTTACACGCGTGTGACTGAATATTAATCAATTGAATTGCGTTAACAAACTTTGGAATTTATAAGACACAAAATCAACGACTGTATAAAGAATTCGTTTGTCAATGAAAAGCTAAATACCAATTTCTTAGCTACCTTCTCATAGGTGGGTCACATAGTTTTAAATTATAAGTTATTTATTAATATTATCAATAGCAGACACGGTCAATAGTCTTTAGAATGAAATATGTTAACAATATTAAAATACAGAAAGAATAATTGTGATACTAATTGTTCAGTTTAAAACTGACTGTGCATGTAAAAATACTAATAAAAAATCTCACTTAAAACCTTAAGCAAGAGGTTCTCAGAAGTTATTAACTAGTGTTAAATATATTCAGCCAGTTAAAAATATCCTCATATTCTCTTTAATTGTTCGCGTGATAAAAAAATACTTAATAAATATCAAGATAAAATATTTTCTTAAGTACACTAATCGTAGCTACATGGACATGATCAGTAATAAAACAATATATAATTGTTAAAATACACAAAATGAACAAGTGGAAAAAACTTAGAATATCTTGCTTAATAAATTAGACTAATAATGTAAACTATTTCTACATACCCTGCAGCAGCTAAACGGATTACCCAATTTCGAAATTCAATGGAATCCAATTGCAACACATTTTACATTTCCTATGGATATTTAAATGAAATATATGCAATTTCAAAGGTACAAGAAGATTAAAACATAAGTCACGCTTAGGTTACTTAATGAAAGCTCAAAATTTCAACTTAACTAATAAAAAAAACTAATAAGACTAGATAAAATTTTAAGCGTGTTCAAATAATAAAAATTTTCAAATAACAATAAAAAAATTCTTTTTAACAGTTGTTAGATAATTCTTCGTATGAATCAAGTTTTTAATCAGTAAATTAAAATTAAGTTGTTTAAATTTAAAAAAATTGAGGATTATTTAGGGTGAAATCCTAAGGAGTTAAACTACATTATATTATTTTGTATAACTTCACGCATATAAGAACATATATTAAAGATATGAATAATTTAGTAATAAGACTAATCTATTTAGATCCGCGACAGACAAGTAATTTTTTCACAGAGAAAAAATCTCAATTTTAAGTTAATACTTTTACATAAATACACGCAAACGCTTATTAAGAGATCTCTTAAAACTTGCAATATTTAAAATCAAACTTATAAACTGACTGACTGAAAAATTATTTACTCAACATAATAGTGTTAATAGTACAACATTATGGAAATTAAAGTATGTTTGATTTAACATTAAATGTTATATAAAATATTTAATTAGTAATACTTAGCTAATTAAGGCTATATATGCTACCGTAAGGAATAAACCATTAAATATTTAAGTCGTGAAATATGATAATATTTAGCATTCATATTTTTGTTAATTTAATTTTTTGAAAAATATTAAATGAAAAAGCTCTTAATATAATGTCAAAAAAAACTATTTTAATGCATTATTGCAAAGAAAAAGTCGTATTTAATAAAATATCTTATGTCAATTTGGTTAATAACATCATATCAAGTCATAAATGACTAATGTTCAAATACATTAAAGCTTTGTTACAAAAAAAAAAAAAGTAGTTATGAATATTTTTTAACCAATTATTCTTCTTTGTTAATTATTTTTCGTAATTATTGGAGATTATAAACAAATCGTTTTCTGACAACAAACACGAGCAGTCTAAATATGTCCAAAGAGGTTACAAGCCTATTTCAGTGTTCACTAGGGCGTGGAAACTAGTAATCATTCGATTCTTGTAAATTTCTTTTTCGCACAGTGTCTAAATAACTTGACCAACGAGTTTCACGGAAAAAAAACATTACACGCAAGTCATCGACGTAATATTAATACTATCCTCGTCAAATTCCCTACCAAATTAATTGAAACTCGTTAGAATGCTAACTGTTTTTTATATTTAAACTAAAAGTACAAAACATTCGATTTTAAAACTTTTCTCCGGTGAACGAACTTGACGTTTGACACACAAACCGAGTCAATAAAATGAGAAGGTAACACGTCTTATAACTAATGCACGCCTATACCTACACGTATTGGATTCATCGTTAATAATAATAATATGAATGAGTCTTATGGTACACACATATGGCCATACACGACATTACATATGCTTAATGCTGTCTGGAAAACAATAGAAACAATATGCAGTCTTCAACTATAGATAGAAAAAAATCCATGGCATACAAACATCCCTAGGTTAATTCGTGTAGGTTTAATTGTTTAAAATACTAAACGAGAAGACATTTACAACCAACAGTTTAATTTATGTTAACAATTAATGAACTTTTAACGACAATGCCGCTAGGAACCTCAAGTACCAGACAAATATCTATACGGTATAATTTTACACAAAGAACAAAGTAATACGAACGCAGTACTTATAACTTATTTATTCAAAACCGAAACTTTAAACGGACGTTTTTAATTATACAAGAATAATACACACGCTAGTATTTTATTATCTAACGTTGGGCCTAGTTGCATGCTAAACGAAATCATCACTACACACTTTGAATGAGGTGCAGTATAAGCGTTTTAATATTGACATGCTCAATTCTTGCGAAGAGAAGAGAAATCGTTGTTCTTGACGAAATCATTCCGCCTCTTAACTTCCACTTGCGTTTATGGTCATCAACACTTTGATGGTATCTAACATAAGAGTAAGTTATATCAGATTATGAGTTCACGGTTGACAAGGTGTATGTATTGTTATGAATTATTGTTTATACATTGCAAACGGTATATTAACGGTAAGGGGATAAGTGTATAATTACACTAGAATGTAAGCGTTAAATATTGTTTTCACTTTTATCATGAATAAATACATATAATAAACCGTCTATTATAGTATTAAAAAATTCACTTCTTTTTCAAGGACTTTCCGCCGAAGAATTTTCGAATAAATTATTATTTGTTATCTATCCCATTCAACTTTTATCTCTTTAGAATTTTTACTCGTGTTATGATTAGTTTAATTGTAATGGTAACGGCAATTGAGTTTCTACTGAAACTTCTATTTTCAAATAGTATTTTTAAGTCAAAAAAATTTTTTAACCAAATGAAAATCGTAAGAAAAAAATCGAAGGGAAAAATAGTTATTGATTGAATAATATACTAATATTTACCTTCGGCTTTTGAAGATTAAATCTTAATAAAAAATGTTAAGTAAACGTTTAAAACATGCTTTTAATTCTCGTTGCAGTTTATGAATACTTTAAGACTTTAAGTTTATGAATGCGGGTAGCCGTTACATCAATTTTATAAGTATAAAGCAAAAAATTTCTCTGTTAGTGGCTGTATACCAACATTTTTTTAATAGTGTCAAAGCAACTTATTCTTATAATAGTTAATGCATAATGACAAAGACTTGTTAAACATACACAAACTCTATAAAAATATTATACTTTATATATTATTATAATATATAATTTTCTTGTTAACAACCATTATATAAATTTATATTAAATGAATATACGAAAACATTTAAATATTTAGAGTTTTTCAATAAAATGAAAGTCATCACATTTTTTTGTAATCTATATAATATTACTATTTCAACTTAGTATCACAATAGTAATAAAAAAAATTATTTAATTCGAATAAACTCATAAACTTTCATATATCTTCAAAACTGCCGAATGACTACTTAAAAACAAATTTTACCTATAGATGGAAGTGTACAAAAAAAATGTTTTCTATGCCTATAAATTAAAAAAAATTATATTTTTGACAATAATTTCACTCATTTTACATTATGTAATACCAGCACCCGATATAATGATAATTCATTATTATTATTATTATTATTAGTCTACTATAATATAATAAACAAGGGCCATCAAACCTTATCGTTACGTTAATAGTTATAAAATATTTTAATAGCCAGTTAATTAAAATACATTTACAATCACACATTAAATTAGCTTTTTTAAATGATATCGATAATAAACAATATTGACATTTTTTATCGGTATTATCGACATTATCCGATTATAATTTGCAACATTGCGATAAATAAAGTCATAGAATCTTAGAAATTTAGATACCCATAATTCATTAAAATTCATGAAAGATTATCCATGTTGTATTCTCTATATCGATGTTGGTATCTATAGAACAAAATTATTTGTATGCTCATAAATTAAATTTTATTATAAAAATAGGTCAATAAGATATATTGTAAATACTTTTAGTTTGACAAATAAATTTCTTTCTTCTTATATTTATTTCTAATTTTATGAACAAATGGTTTTTTAATACTTAGGTACTTTGTTGTACAATCTAACCAACTAGTAACAAATAGGAATGTGTTAATTCAATAAATCAAGATTTACTACGAACTTACAATGCAAACATGGGTACTTAAAAAACTCGTTTTAGTATTAACTAGAGAATTATGTATTTATAAACCACAAACTAAGATTTATAACAATATTTAATTGTATTCATTTTGGTATTTTTATAAACTTATTCGTTACATTTTTTAACCAATCTATATAAGAATTGCTGTTCTTACCGAAAAATAATTATTGAACACTTCCTATTCACACTTATTAGGTAATACAAATCTGTGACATATTCAGGGGGTAGGGGGCCTTATTAACAGCATATTCATCTCTAAAATTTATATTTGAAAGGTCATGTAAGAAAATATTTTTGGAAGTTAATAACATTTTTATTAAAAATGTTATTAACTTTCAAAGTATTGGTCCAAAAAATTTTATCAACTACTCATTTTCTTAAATAAATCATTTTTTATTTTATAACCTAGTTAAACATGTATGTCACCATTTACAAAAATAAAGTTGATATACTAATAAGGTATAAAGATGAATTCAAAAACTACAAAATAATTGATTAATCAAAAAATATATGAAACTAAAGTATACCAAAATAATTTTCTTAAAGTAATAATTATTTTAAGAGAAACCGAGTGGCTAGTGTCATAAGAATCACCCTGTTGTATTATATATATATATATATATCGAAATGAAAGTTTCAAGAAAATTAATGTAATTGTAATAAATAATCAATGGCAAAACGATAAAATGTGCTAAGTTATTCCTAATGTTAATAAAGTGGTTTAATATAGTTTTAATTAGATAAAAGTAGAAATATTAAGTTGTTTTGAATTAACTAATACGGAGAAAGAAAAGTAAACGTAATAAGTACTGTTAATTCTTAAATAAACTATATTCTATAAAAATGGCTAAACATGAAATGGATTCAATTGGAATGTAACTATACTAACACGGTAATTAGAAACGCATGTTGTTTAGAGGAGAAAAAAAGTTCAAGAAATGTATTTATTTATATCATAAGTTAAGTGCAAAAAATATCAAACATGATACTTAAAACATTTCCATATGTGTTTTTTCTCTTATATAAACGTAGATTAAATGAATTATATTTTGTAAAGACATTTGCTTAGCTTGGAATGAAATCGCAGAAGTAATGTTTTGGTGATCTCTTAATCATATTGCAATTGAATAGTTCATAAACAATTAAAACCAAAATAATTAATATACAACTGAACAACAACTTATTTTTCAAAATAAACGTATCACACGTATTCTTAGATGGTGAAGATTATAACAATACATATTTTAAAAAAGATTTTCCGACGAAAATGTTCATTAGCTTTAAACGATTTAGTTTCAAATTTTCTCTTGACAAGGCAAACTATTTTAGGATTATTATTCTTAGTTTATTAAAAATGTAAAGACTCCAAAACTTGCATATAACTAACAATAGTATGACAAAATACAAGTTATGACACTTATTATTTTTTAATACAATATATGTGATTCATTATTGTTATGGTACGCGGAATGATAGTGGATAATAACAAAATATGTACATTTTGTAATGGTACTCTCATACACACAAACATTGAAGGTCACCAATACGCCACACCTAGCGCTGTGTGGATCGCTTTAACATTCCAGAACATTTTTCACTAGATACGCACACCACATATATACCCACTATTAAGGTTATCATATATACATGATATTATGGAGACTAGAATCTTGTAAAGAATAATTTTTTACTATGTTAGCGGCGATGCAAACAATTACTTACACCTTACAGGTGATATAATTACATTTACGAATGTTTTTTTTATGTTTATGGAACCTCTAAATTTCTGGATTAACTAACTTATTAGTCAACAGACAATGATGACTACTTTGACCAGCCTACCAATACATTCCAAGACTCCACTAAAATACCTGTATAGGGCGATACGTGTAATTATTAACTACGCATTAACCAACTTCTATTACATATACTACCTATGTGTACACAACATACCAACGCAATGAAAAAATAGTATTAAAAAATGATCAAATATTTTTAGAATGTCTTATAAAAGAGAATCCGAGAAAAAATATCTTGGTGTCCTTTCAATAGTTTGACTATTCATTTATATAATGGTTAAGTATTTAGATATAATAAAATTATATTCGAGTACGAAAATTTGAAACGTTAAATTTAAAGTGAATTACGTAGCAAAGTACATAGGAACTACGATACAACATAATTATAAGCTGCGATACTAACAGATCTACTTGATCAATGGAGTGAAAGGACTCAGTGACTATCAAGCGAATATTTCGCAATTTGATATTATGAGATAGTCGTCTTGATGGCGTGTACACGATTCAAATAAATTTTGAGTACTTTTAAACTCAAGAAAATTACATAAAAGTATTGGAGTATTATTTAGAAATGAAAAAAAAAAACAATTTGATATCCCAGATGCATTGGCGCAAGGATAAACTTAAGCCTTAATGTATTAGTTTTTACAAGTTAATCTCGTGATAAGAAATTTAATGGTTTCAATGATAAATAGCTTACCTTAAGATTTATGAAGTATCGAAGAAGCAATATAACAATGAAGAACGGTCGAGTAGTATCGTTATCTCCTCCGCATTCGACGATGCCACTGCAGCATCCAACGTCACTGATAATGTGATAATGTTTATATCAATGGATACACGGTAATAATTTCAACTATACACGACGAATAAAATTCGTGAAAATAAAATATATATTGAAAACGATATTTTACATTAAAAATAATGTTTACACGAAGAAATCGTGTGAATGCAAAAAGTGAAACGTCAATGGAGAACGCGTGTGAAAGCGACGGCAGTAGTTTTGGTTCTGACCACGGGCTAAGCGGCACAAGCGGTCGCCGTACCTCCACCGACACAGGTGCTACAACGTTTTAATGTATCTGATATCGTGGTACCTGTTACCAATGGTATCTATACCCAGTGGCACAGCGACAGCGGTGTGGCTGCTGCCTATTGTTGGCGGGCACGTCCTGCCAGCTGAAGAGATGGCAGTGAGCAGCCGACGGGGTCATGACTGGTTACCGCAGGCAGTCGTACACGGTCCGCCGCCGCCGGTAAGCCTGGCGTTTTGAGCAGCCTGCACGGCAATTATGCGTTCAGCAATCAGCTGCTACTATGCATATATTACTTTGTGCGTACACACCATAGCACTGGACACTCGATGTAGTGTTAATCGCGTAACTTCACGGATTAATATTTCATTATTTTTTTGCTAGGTATGTTGTACAATTGATTTTTTACTATTTTCAAACTTGTAGGTTATCACACATTATCGCCCGAGAAACAAACGCACAATTCGTGTAGAATAGTAACTGAAATCTACATCTATTTAAATGTCCTAGAAATAAATTTAATTTCTAAACAATAGTACTCCCATTAATTATTTTGCATTTGTACTATTTAAATGACTTTTCTTTAGCAAATTAACTAGTTATTAGCCTAAAAATATATAGAATTAGTGTGCCGTCAAATGGGCGTTGGTTAAATATCTATTATAATTTTAGTAGTAACAACCTTTAGCATTAGTAAAATGTTTACAAGTATTGTTAAGAAACACAAAATGATTGTTCACAAAAATTAAGTGATGAAATCTGTATAATATTTAGCCTCCTTCCCAAATTTCACAATGGTTCGATAAAGATTTTACTAGAAAATTGTAAGAAGTTATAGAAATAAATTAATAAGTTTAATAAACCGGTAATCATTATAATTTATTTTATCATAAATTTTATTTCAATTTTACTTCAATTGACTAGTATGATAATTATTACCGATTATTATTTTAAAGTTAAATTATTAGTACCAAATTTATAGATTAAATTGTATTTTAGTATCACGATTTTTAGATTTAGAGAGATTATAGATTTTTGGAGGAGTTTTAAAGAATTAATAAGATATCTCTATATAAGTATTAAAAGTGTTTGCAGAATGTACTGTGTTTACAAGGCATAACAATGCTTTTTAAGAGACTTCAATAGCCGCATATATACAAAAAAATTTGATAATTTAAAATTTTTAAATAGACACGTATCAAACTTTATTTAATGGGTTACGAAGGTAAGAGGGTATTATCTAAAGATATTTTCTCGACTGCATATTTAGAATTAATAAATGTATTTTTATTGATATATAACGATTCAAATGAATTACCATTAAAAATGATAAAAATTATCTCATTGCTATTAGATAATACTTATGGTTGTTTTAAAGATATAAGAAAAGTCAGAATTTTGTATGACAATTTTTAAACAAAATACATTGACATTTAAAATTGATTTAACACTATTAAACATAAACTCACATTTAACACTAATTTATTGGATTCTGAAAATAAGTGAAGTACTTAAAAACTAAAATCACGTTAATTCTAGTTATGTTCATTTTTATCGATATTTAAAAAAAAAATTTAATTTAATTGTAAACTAGATTTTTATCGTAAAATTCTTCAAAAAGTTTGTTATACCTAAAATTTTTAAGGAAAATCTATTTTTTTATTAGAAATAAAGAAAGAGACGTATTTAGGAATTTATGCCTTAAATAACAGTAAAAACGCTCTCCTTTTTACCATTTTCTTTGGCAAAATATTTGTAAAAATATATCTTATGGTAAGACCAATGAATAAAAATGCATTCACTAATAAACATAAGTGTAATCATTTTGTTAAAATATTAAACATAATAAAAGTTAATATTTTTTAACTTATATACTTGAATTATCACCAATAAAATTATTGCTTATTTCATAGACATGTTCAGATTTCTTCAGGTTATGTCAAACAGACTTTTGTATGGTATTTATAGATTTGGAGAAAGCGTGGTACACGAGGTAGGTGAAATAAGAAGACCAGTGACAATAGGCGAGGACGTGATTGAAGAGGTGGAAAATTTCAAGTATTTAGGATCAGTTGTGCAAAAAATCGGTGTTATTGACGAGGATGCAAGACACAGGATTAAGTGCGAGTGGTTGAAGTGGAGAGAAGAGTCTGGTGTCTTATTCAAAAAAAGAATTCCAACGAGGCTGAATGGTAAATTCTACAAGACTGTAATGAGACCAGCTATGATGTATGGTTCAGAGTGTTGGGCGGTTGATAAGAAAGTATAGCAGACAATAAGTGTAGCAGAGATGAGAATGCTTAGATAGATGAGTGGAGTGACTAAAGAAAATAGTATTAAGAATGAACATATAAGAGGGAGTATAGGTGTAGCGTCAATCGTAGATAAGATGAGAGAAAATAGACTTAGATGATTTGATCATGTTATGAGTAGAAAAGAATCGGAAGCTGTAAGAACAGTTGTAGAAATGAATGTTGAAGGAAGACCAAAGAAGAGGTGGAGGGATGCTCTTTGAGGACAGCTAATGTGAGTGTAGAGGTTGTGGAGATCGTGTCAACTGGAGGTTTAGGATAAGGGTGGCCGATCCCAAGTAGTTGGGATTAAGGCGAGGAGAAGAAGAAGATGTCAGACAGACCTCTTTTCTCCTCCTTAATCAATCACAAAAAAATAAAATTGTATATTTAATATTTTAAAAAAAATATATGAAATATTTTTTTTAATAAGAGAGAAATAAAAAATATATTTTCCGATTTTTTTTTAATGTTCGTAGTGCATGCCATACAGGACCCATAGACATACCTATGGGTTACATATTTTTATACTTAATGTTTTTATTATGAACCATGGTAATTACTCTTGTAATCATGGAAAATTAAAAATGATATAATTTAAACAAAACCGATGTAGAACACTAAAATAATTAAAATTAAAAATTTTAGTTGACTACTTATGTGTAACAACTATGTAAATGAGGGCTAAGCTTTTAGAATTAGCTTTTCCAAAATTGTAGAAAAATATTTATATTGTTATACTGTTAAACATTAGTATTTTTAAGAGTGGGGAAAAATACAATTAACTAGCACATTTAGAAGTCTTATTATAATTGTGTCTATGGACGACTAGAGTACAAACAGTTTTAACTAGAGCCGTATTGGATTGAGTAAGACAGATATTACAATCTAAAGTTTTTTAACCAAGAAACACGACCTTCATGGAAGTCTTAAACTAAGCCACGATAGCCAAATTTTAAAAGATATTGTAGTACGAATTATTCTGTTTAATCCACTGTAGTGCATGATAATAGAAAATACTGTATCCTTCTAGCCATTGGTATCTCAATACACATGTAACACTATTATACATAACAGTATAATTTAATAACACAATGAAAATTAAATCACAAATAATTTGAGGAATTAAAACTAAATAAAATTGAACTTTATTTTAAAATTCTTTATTACGTTTATTAATACATGCATATTTTTATTTGTACACTTAAAAACTTTTCTAAAAAATCATTTAGTTATAGGTATTCTGTACAATACAATTATTAAAAAAAGATATACTTTATGACTTGCAACAGTTATTGTAAAACAATAATATCAATGAAAAGTTGATTTTTAGTACAATATAATATAAATATGAAATATGCTACTTAATAATTTTATAAAAACAAAATTAGTTTATATTATCATAGGTATGGAGCAAATAAGTATTTAGATATACTCATAAATATAAGTATTTTATACATTTTACTACCAATTAGCACATAAATAGAGTAATAGTAATAGTTATAAATTATGCTCAGGTAAGAAATCATGTATTTTTAAAAACTCTAAACTTAAGAATTACAAATATTTATTCGTATTAAAATTAGTAACACCATAATTTTTATAAAGAACTGCTAAAAAAAATTAAAATTTGTGTTTACAATGAAATGTAAATAATATTGTGATGTAACAACACAACTTTTATTCAATATTTTTTTTTACAATTAAGTGAATATAAAAAACACAGTAATTGTTTCTACATATGTATAAATTACCATTATTATTTATTAAGTAGTCATAAAAAACATCAATAAAAGACTGTAACAAATTTTATGAAGAAAGCTAAAACTTTATATTAATTTGAAATATAATATTACAAAAAAAATTTTGTTTAATTTGTTTATTTGTTAACACAAACATATAAAGTTTATTTCAATTAAAAAACCTTTGTCTTTATATTCAAATTATTTTTCAAAAAAAAAAATAATAATAATAATAATAAATAATAATTTAAAAAGTATTATAAAATGTTAAAATAAAAAACTTATGTTCAATTATCAAAAAAATAATAATAATTATAATAGTTCTTAATTTTAATAATGATTTTATTACTCCATACTGCATATATTTAACAAAATATCAAAAAAGAATGTACTGTGTTTTTAAATGTTCATATTTTTAGACAATTTAAGTTTTGGTAAAAATTTACAAAAGAATTTTTCTAATATTTAACACAAAACAAAGGAAGTTTATACAAAAATAAATAAAATATATATTTAAATAGAGACTAGTAAATTTTTTAAATATATAAAAATGGTACAATTATGTGCGTTTTATTTTTTATGAGTAGTATTTAACAATAGCTTTAAAAATATTTTTATTATTCAATAAAAATTTGTTAAAATTATACAAACTTGATAGTACTAAAAAATTAAAAAAAAAGATTATTGTTTAATTAATATGTCTAACTTAAAACATAAAAAATCAGTTTATATTCATAAAATTAATGAATTATTCAGATTCAATTAATAATTTGTGTCTAAAATATTTAACTTGAAATTCCCAGAAAAATTTAACTTTTATACCCATAGCTCTCCCTAAATACAATGTGCATCCAGTCTTCTATCTCTAAGTTTTCTTTTCATAAAAAAATAAAGCTTGTGCTAATAGTGAATTTACATAAAAACTTAGTGGGAGACAAATAATTCTGAAAAACGTCAATACCTATAAACACACACCGTGATACATCTCAACACGGTGTGAATTCATTATTAATTTATATACAAATAAAAAAACTACTCATTAAACATTAAAATGCTCATATTGTTTGCATTATTAGCTATTAGTGTAAAACTGATACTGACTAGTATTTATCTAATGTATAATACATGTGATAATTATAAACTTAAGCGCACTAAATTAAAATTTTATACATAATTATAAATAGATAATTAATTAACTTATGTATGGTAAATAAAATTTACAACGGATATTACGACCAATATTTTTATACATGAAAATACTTAATACTATCTAAATTTTAAATATGTAAAAAAAAGTGTAATTACCAATCAATTGTTAATAAAGTTTCAATCAATACCACTATTTATAAAATAAAAATTGGTCAGAAATATTGGTAACTTACAATTTACCATGAACAGTTTAATTATTGGCACAAGAAATACTCAAAAATTATCCTCTTACGAAATAACTCGTGATGTTTATTATTAACTAAATTAAATCAAACTTTACAGTAATTTTTAGAGTATATTTTTAACTATAAAATAATCCAAATGTAGAATTTGTATCTTAATTATGGTAAATACAAAATTTTGATTCATGGCACTTTATATGGATTAATTTTTAAACCATTAGGAACCACATTTTAAACAATATTTTTTGTCAACTAGTTTATAATAATTTATCTGTGATGGAAAATATAAAAAAAAAAAAATGAAATTATAATTATATCATGTTTAGAATAATTGCACATTATTCTAGGAAATGAAGTAAAATGTATTATAATAGTTGTTTTAAAAAAGTTCATTTACATCGGAGTGAGAATAATATAAAAATATACGGAATAAATAAAATGTACATATTTTATATATATATATGTTTTTAATTTCATAAATAAATAAAATTAAAATATGTTGTCATCATAATGAATTTGAAAATTAGAGATAAAAATGTTGGTTTATTATGAAGTAATGATATAACCATTATTTTTAATAAAGTTGTTATTAAATATTTATTAATTTTACTTAAAGTCTATCAATTCTATAATGACTAAGTTGTACACAAAATTTATTACCTTTAATTAAAAAATATAAGTTATTATAACAAATAATAATAACTATGGTATACTATTAATAACTGATGCTACAGCAACATAAACTTGCATGGATATATAAATATCTCTAAATATATAATCCATAAATTAAATTTGTTATGGCAGTTATATCATGATTTAATTAATAATAATTCAGTAAAATTTTGATTTTTATCAAACAAATTAAGTTTAATTTTTCTGTAAATAATTAATTAGTTTAACTAATAATGAGTTATCATAGAAATTTTCGAAATAATTTAATTGCTAAATAAATGAAAAAAAATAACAGAATTTATTGATTTATTTTAAAAAACAGTTAAAATACTATTTTAAAACAAAGTGTAACCAGGTATTTATAAATAAATATTAATGCACAGATAAATTAAATTATTGAAATTGTTGTACTTTAATTTTAAATAACATCAATTAATTTCTTTTAAGAACTGTTATTTTAGGAAAATTAAATTTTACCTATTTTATTTTATACCATGAAAACTAAAGTTCTATTCAAATTCATCATCAACATTAATATAGTCAATTCTATTATTACCTAAAACATTTAAGTTTGTTCAATAAAATTATTTTTCAAATTAATATGTAAATTATTAGATCTAGATTGGAAATTTAAATACAATTATGTTAGATAAAAAGTTAACATAGACAATGCATCATATTTCCCTTAAATTCAAAGAACATTTTAAGATTTAAAAAATAATTTTTAAAATAATATTAACTATGATTTTATTTTAGTAATATTTTCTTACCTCATGTAGTTAAACAAAATATAACTTATGTGTTGTTTATAGATTGATAGACTTTATAGCAAAATAGGAAACTTATATTCAAAAAAATAATCAATTAAGATTAGCAACAGAATATGAGCATTGAGCAAATAATTAAAGAAAATTTTTTTATAAAAAGTCAAATCTAAGTATTAAATTTTCTACACTAATGAGTAATAAATAATTAAATTTATTGTTAAAAAATTTGAACTATTGTCTAAAAATTATAAATGTTGAAAAAGCAGACAAACAATTATTGCTTTATAAAATAGTTAAAAAATTGAAATAAAATATTTTTGTAAGGATCACAAAAATGTCCAAGTAAAATTTACAGTAAAAAAATTGCACAATTTTATGCGAGGTAAATTTACAGATGGCATAATAAATAATTAAATTACCAATTTTTTGTTATAAATTGTTATTTTTTAGTTGTGACAACATATTTTAGTTATTATTGTGAAATTAAAATCCCATTCTGTTTATTAGGCGAGAGAGCATTTCCATTTGAAAGGCTTAGTGAATTATGGCTATTATTGGTTACATTATTTATATTTGTAATTGCACTTGGTGGCAATACTGAGAAACAACTACCACCAGACATAAGTTCTAAAGCACGGTACAGCAATAGATAGTTTTCCTAAAAAGACAATAATAAATTAAAACCCATATTTTTATGCAAAAAATATTGGAAAATATTTATATGTAATAAAATATATAAAAAAATAAGAAAATAAAAATTAAACATCTTAAAATATAAAATAAAAATTAATTAATTAAAAAACAGTTCAATTTTTCATACATAGTTGGCCTATTACTTATAATTAATTAATAATAATGTAAAAATGAATAAAACCCAAACCCAATTATATTAAAATTCTGCCAATAAAAGTTTTTGATAAGAAAAATATGATGAATATAGGATGTTTTAATAATTTGATTAAAATATACCCATTAAAAATTTCTGAAAAAAAGGTTTTAATACATTTTTTTTTTTTATTTTAAATTTGTAACTTAACACAAAATTTAAAAAAATGTCTTTAATATTGTCAAAAGTGCAATTAGTACGTAATTACACATAAACATACAATTTAATGAAATATATAAAAATAATTATAACCAGATTCTACACTTTTCAAAACATAATTTTTAACCAAAATTATTCTAGTTAGGTTATTGAAGTATATACATTTAGTTAAAAATCCAGTCTTTAATAATAATATTAGATGTTTTTGGAAATAGATGTTTAGCAATTATAGTGTTGTGTAACTATTTCTGACACCAAAGGGTAAATATATATATATATAAACAACTCTTATTACTTTGGAATTATGATTTCGCTACAACTTTGGTTTCTTATAGACTATGTTAAAATTATATTTTTTATATGTTTTTAATAATAATAAATCTATGGTTTTATTCTAATAAAAAACCTTCAGATAGATTCTATACAGAAACCTAGTGTTTTTGCTCAATTACTCAGTTTTATTTATGAATTTATGCTTAACTTTTATTAAATAATTTTTCGATTAAAATTTGTGAATCCAACAGATTTTTTTTTCTAAATTATCATGACAAGTATTATTAGTTGTGATTATTATAGATACCATAATAATTAATAAATCAGAAACAGTGTCATTTTGTGAATTATTTATATACTTTTCATATAAATTGTAATGACTTAATGCAACAGAACTGAAATGTATTCAACAAACTACAAATAAGGAAACTTCAATTTTTTTTTAAAAAAGTGCTAAGGGGACTGGTTAAATAATTGCCTTCATTCAAATTTTTTATTAAAGATTTAAGAAATTATATACAAATCATTAAGATAGATATTAACAACATAATACATAATCAACTAAATGAAACCCTAATCAATTATCATGCTGATGACATTAATGAAATTTCACAAGGACAAGAAAAAGCATAAAACATTATTCCATGTTATTTTAGAAACAATAAAAAATATTTGTAAAAGAAATAATTGTTTGATTTACAAAACTGCAATAATGTGTAGTTATATCATTTTTTTCATCCTTTAAAATTTGAAAAATCCTAAAATGTAATTTTCTTTAAAAGGATCCTCTATTTTTAGTTTAATGATGCTTTTTTAATTTAATTATCCGTTTTTTGATTCATCATCCTATTTTCTACACACCACTACATTAGGTGGATGATAATAATTTTCTGGCTACGTACTTGCACAAATAATAACATACAAAATACAAATTTACCATATCTTAGAATCAGATGATTAGTAAATGATCTAATATTCTTTTACAAATTTATTAATGGAATTGTTGAAGAACCCAATATTCTAAGGCATTTAAGCTATATACCTCTTCCAGAACAACAAGATAGAATCAATTTTACATGTTACAAATTAATAAAATTTTAAAAGAGGTAAAAAAATTACTTCTAGGAATTGATGTTTTTAATTAACACTACATAATTTAAAGTATAAAATTTTAAATATAATATTTATACATTTATACTACTTAAATATATTATCTATATTAAGAAGGGCCAAACGGTCCATCGCGGATAATTTTAAAGTTAATCATGCTAAAATTTATTTTTAGGGCCACGCGCATGAAAATTAATCGAGGTTGTAATGAAAAAATTGTTGATAAGTTTTATCTGTACAATTTTTATCTTTTATTCTCGTTTCATATGTCAAATGTTTATCGTTCACACACGTTCATTTCACTGTAGTCATTCGGTGTCTGTTGTATTAAATTTATAATAGCGTATTTAAGTTCTTTAAAATTAATAGTATGAGTGCACATAAGAAAAAAAAAACGTATCGTTTTCATCAAGAATAGATTTTTTTTTTACAATGCAGAAAGACAAGTGCATATGTTTGATATGTCGAATAACAATATCCACATCAAAAAAAGTTAATCTAGAAAAATATTTTAGAACTACACATTAAAAATTTGATAAAGATTTCAAAAGCAAAATTATTAACTAGAATACCTATGAAAAGTATGACACAAGGAGAGGATATTTATCAAGCTTTCATTAATTTTGTTAGTAAATCAAATTTACCTTTGTATAAATTAGTTTGTATTATGACTGATGGAGCTATAGCTATGATAGGTAAAAATAATGGTTTTATTGCTTTGTGTAAGAATGATAATAATTTTCCAAATTTTATATTGTTTTATTGTGTGGAAAAATATTAAATATGAGCAGTATACTGGACATTGCTTTTAAAATAGTCAATTCTTTACGTTCATGAAGCTTGCAAAAACGACTTTTTAAATTACAATTAGAAGAAAACAATTCTCAGTGTTGTGATTTATTACTGCTTACAGATGTGAGATGTTGAGCTGTGGTAAATTTCTAGAAAGGTTTCAGTGTTTACTTCCTGAAATAATAGAGTTTTTCAGAGGCAATAATTATGTTTAACAAACAATACATGGCTTCAAAACTTAGGTTTTTTAACAGATATAAAGACTCATTTAAATACTTTAAATGTTGAACTTCAAGGAAAAGGTGGGACAATAATTGAGTTATTGAATTCTATAAATGGTTTTAAATCAAAATTGATATTACTCAAGTCACAACAATTAAAAGCAAATAATTTGAATAATTTTCTAAACTTAAAAAAATTTGTTGAAAAGCAGAAGTGTACAGTGGGAGTGGAAATATAATGCTCTGAGATTGAAACAGTATAAAATGAATCTGAAAGACGATTTAAAGATATTCAAAAATTAGACCCGATTATTACATTTATGTCTTTTTCATTCTCCGAAAAAACCAACATTGAAAATATGTCTACACAAATAAGCAATTTGTTTAACATGGATTCTATAATATTTGAATCTAAAACTATAAAAATTAAATCAGATATATTCCTCAAAGTTTGAAGATCTGAAACCAATTTTTGAAATTTACTGAGTGAAGAAAAATATCCGTGTTTGCATAATGCAGTTACATACTTATTTTGGATCTACATATTTGTGCGAAACAGCATTTTCTCACATGAAAATGATAAAAACAGAATACCAAGCTACACTCTCTGATGACCATTGGAGCAGTGTCTTCGATTAGCACTTAGCAACTATTTGCCAGATTATGATCAATTGGTCAAATGCAATGTCACATTTCATCAATGCCCAGGTCAACAAAATAATATGTTAATTAGATTTTAAAAATTATTATTTACTACAGTATTATTTTTATTAGTATTTAAATTACTAATTAGTAATTAGTTAATAATACTAATTTTATGCAAGTATGTTTCTTAATAATTATAGTTATTCAATAATAAAAAAATTTCTACGGAAGTCGATCCTCAAAGGTGAAGTATATTTTTTGTAGATTGTGACCAAAAAAAGTTTGGTCACCACCGATCTATATATTATATTATAAAAATTTGTTAATCCTATATTTTAAAATAAAATGAAATTTCAAAATAGCTATTTTTTAGAAGTTTTTCTTTCTAAAAATTTAATGGATTGATAACAATTTTGTGACAGGTATTAAATGAGTTACAAGCATTTTAATACATAGAATTGATATGTAGCAGAGATCAATTAGGACTGGCTAGCCCAATCCTATCCATACTGCTATTCACCTGATCAGGCTGTAATATTGATTACACATTTTAGACTAGGCTGCTAAGATTGAGCCGTAATATTTAATTTCAAGTTTTGGACTGGATAAGGTCAATCAAACATTTATATTAAATCATGTATGTTTGTGTGAATTATAAAAAATATCAAAAAAACAATTATTTTCTTTGAAAATGTAACTTATAAATAAAGATTAAAACCTTTTTATTACAATTATATTGATTTTTGAATAAATCAAATCGGATTGGCTTTGATTCATTTTTAAAATTTTTATAGATCTTAATTGGATCTAACATTTTATATATTAATATTCGAGTCAGGTTGGGTTGGATTAGGCTTCTGAAAAAAATATTTAGATCAGATTGAGTTATATTTTTATGTCCAAATTGAGCTCAGGTATGTAACACAGGTAGACACAACTCATACTGGTGTATATTTACAATACATGCTTCACCAAAACTATAATCTGTTACATATATAAAAATGCTTGTAATATAATAAGTACTTGTCTTAAAATTATTATTGATCCATTCAATTTTTTGTAAGAATAACTTTAAAAATGAAATTTTTATATTTTTAATATTAAAAACAATTAATAGAAATTTGACTTTAACATAGTCTAAGAGTACATAAGTTATTTTTTTTATTTTATTATAACCACTCAAATTCTCTTAAAATAATAATTATGTTAAAAAAATTGTTTTTGATATTTTTTAGTTTCATGTTTTTCTTGATTTATCAGTTATTAATTACTTTTTTAATTCATTCCTTATAGCTTATAAGAGTATCAACTTTATTATGTAAATAGTGACATACATGTTTGACTAGCTTATAAAATAAAAAAATTATCTATAAACCTTTAACCAATTGTCGACTTATATCCCTTTAAATTAATATATAAAATTTTTATTAGAAAATTAAAAAAAATATCACACGTGGAAATATTACTGATTATAAGTCAAAAAACTATGATCATATTATACTTACAATGTTTTTCCATATCCCAGGTCGTTGATTATGGTAAAGCTTAGCATACAATGTAACATCAGCTAAATTTTCATGTTGTAATTGTTTCCCAATAGTTGTCAAACAACAAAATATGGCAGACTCTGTCCCACCATACCTAAATAAGCATTTTTAAAAATTTAATTATACAATATGTAGTTTATATGAAAGTAATTTTTATTTCTAGGTTGATTGGAAAATTATCTTGAATTAAATTTATTATTAAATTTAATTATAATACTTTTAATTATTACCTAAAAATTTATTTATATGATTTATATACACTTGACTTTCATTCTTATAAAAATAATTTCATCAAATAGAATAAAGTACTAACTTTTGGTGATTTTTCAAGAAAGATTAATATAATATCTTTATAAATAGAAAAAATGTTTATAGTGATGTTCATAAATCCAACCAACCATTTTCTAATTAATTAATTTTAAAATTAAACTAGTATAATCAAATATTCATGCTAAATTTGTTGTATTATGACATAAAAAAGTTAAAAATAGAAAATCAAGAATTTTAACACAAAAATAGCAAGTTTTTAAATATAATAGCCATTTATAGCACTAAGACAAATCCTGAAAACAAAGTTTTTTTTTAAAAGTTTTATTTAAAAAAAGACATTACATAAGTTTTAATGTAAAACATATATATAATGTCAGGATCTCCAGAATATTTTCAAAAGTTAACTTTTCTTGCAAAAGTCCTGATTTTGAATCCCTTTAGTGGACAGGTAAAAAGTCAGAATTCCAAAAAAAATATATTAAATAAAAAGAAAATACCTAAGGTATCTATTAAAAATACTTGATTTGTTTTATTTATTTTTCAAAAAGATATATTAGTTTTAAGTAAAAACAGTTTAAAAAATGTCAAAATTTACCAAATCTAGAAAACAATATTTTATTTATTTTGATAGTAATCGAGTGTTATGTGATAAACCGATCACCCCATATACATTCTTGTTACTTAACTTAGTATCATACTAAGTTATTAACACTTTATTACATAGTGAATAAATGTTGTAGAATATTATTTTAAACTCACTTGTCGACAACAACAATTGGACCATTCTGATACTCCAAATGCCACATCTGTACAATTTCTAATAATTTAATCAAAGAAGATAATTCTCTGATGGAATATTTGCTATGAATTAATCGAACTGGTAGCATGAAATCATCTTGAATAGACTGAATTACAAGATCTCTTGTTTCATATTCATTTCCAATTTTATCTTCTTGAACACTTTTCACTTTAAAATTATCACTATCTAATGTAGTATTGGAATCAACTGGCCAGAATGTTACTAATGACTCCTAAATTTTAATCAAAAAAATGTTGGTATTATTATTATTAAAATATTTTATTATATTTTACTACATAATCAACTAAAATTATTTAATAGTATTTTAATTTTATGATAGATAAATTTTTCAATGTCAAATTTTATCATTTATAACCAAACTGTAAGAAACATACTTAAAATTAACCCATCAACGCCTGGCGTCCCCATATGGTGACATTCGTATTGCTATTTTTATCGCGCGTTCTTAGAATAATAATTTAATAGGTAAAAGCCGAGTGTACCCATATGGTGACACTCAATATCTCAGAAATCGTATTTTCAAAAAATTTAAAAATAATTTTTTTTTATGTTTGTGTTGTATATTAATCTGTTTTTAGTAAAAAAAATAGAAAGTTTGAAAAAAAATAATTCTCGGCGTTGATGGGTTAACTAAAAAATATAATTAAATTTAAAGTTCTATTTAACTAAAAAAAATTGTTTTAAACAAAAATTGATTTATATTAAAATATTTTATTACAAGACTTAATTAAATATAATCAAGAGTTAACTTAACGTTAAAAATCTAAGAAATAGGAAAAATGTCTTGAAATAGTAAAAAATTCCTTGATTTTGTTCAAAAATCTTAAAAAAACTTTAACAATTTCAGGTTTTCAACAACCCTGATATTAGTCTCACTAAATATCTAACATTTAGTCTTGTAACAAAATACACATTAATTATACTGGCTTTATTCTTTGTTTATTAATAATAACAAATAATTTTTAAATATTATATGATTTAAACTTCAATTTAGAATTTGGGGTAAGTTTTAAATTCTTTTGAAATTACTAAAAAACAGACAACTTAAAGTTTATAAACATATTTTAAGAACTTTTTATTATACTATTATTAACTACTTGATCATTATCAAAATAATGAATATAAAATATATTTTGTGAACAAATGGGATAGAATATAATTTATTTACTAATTATTTAGTATAGGTTTATTTTTTATATTTCGTTAAAAAATTTTTTTACAATTTAAGTAAAACATTAAATGCACTTGATAAATTTAAAGTTAAAATAAATTCCATGAAAACCAAAATAATGCTTATAAGTAGAATGCACTTAAATCTAAACCTTAATATACAAATGAACAATACACTAATACAGGTCCAAGAATTTAGCTACCTTGGAAATATCAAATAACAAATGAACTCCAGGCATCAGAAGAAGAATAGCATTGACATCACATTTTACAAATATTTTATTCAATATAATATATTAAAAATAAGGATGAGTCATTTTGGAAATATATGTATATTTTTTAATGTACAATAAAATACAATTAAATTAATTTAACAATTCTAAATTTGATTTAAAATTAGAAGCATCATTTCCATTTGAAGTCATCACCATTTTATAATCAAAGAAAAATTTTAGATTTATTATAGTTAGTGTAATTAATTGATTTTGAAAAACTTCTAAAATAAGTACTATCAACTCAAATGTTAAGACACCCAAAGGAACTACAAATCTGCATTGAAAAAGTCTAAAAGAGAAAGCTGGAAGAAGTTCTGTAGGGAAATACAACAACTCACTATAGCAACTAGACTTCCGCGATCACTATGGAATGGACCAAACAAAACTGTCGAGGCAACACTACTACCAGACAACATGTTCATCAATAATGATAATGAAACATTATCACATTTGATGAACACACATTTTTCTGGCTCTGACATTAACAACAGAGAACAGTCAAATGATACACAGGACAAACGAGTGACCTGCGCTGATTGGAAACTAACCAGGAAAGTGATAACTCCAAGTGGAATAAGATGAGCAGTGAAAGCTTTTGTCAATATTAAAGCTGCAGGCTGTGACGAAATTTTCCCTGCACTTCTGCAAGAAGAGTCAGAGCTAATCATCCCCATCCCTGTAAAATATTTAAAGCATGCCTTGCCTATGGTTATCAACCAGAAAGCTGGCAAAAGATCAGGTTGGTGTTTATACCCAAACCTAACCGAACTAACTATTATGAAGCAAAATATTACAGACCAATATGTCTCACTTCATTTCTTCTTAAGTCTATGAAGAAACTTATCGATAAATACATCAAGGAAAGGCCTCTAAAGGAGAACCCTTTACATGAAAATCAATATGCGTATCAAAAGGGTAAATCTACTGATACAGCTCTACACTGCCTAGCCACTAAGATAGAGAAAGCTGTGGAGAATAAAATGTATGCAGTTGGTATTTTCCTGGACATCGAAGCTGCTTTCGACAATACTCCCTTTGATGCTATGTGTGAATTTGCACAACAGCATGGAATAGAACCACTTATTACTAAGTAGATAGAAACCATGCTTAAGGAATGCTCTATTACGGGAAAGCTCAATGAAACCAGACTAATCAAGAGTGTTAAACAGGGATGCCCATAAGGCGGGGTCCTATCTCCCTTGCTATGGTGTCTAGTATTGGACTCGCTTATTAAAGAGTTCAACAAATACTGTTATACACAACCCTATGCGAATGACTTAGTTATAGCATTGGTGGATAAATTCCCAGACATTATTAGAGGCTTAGCACAACAGAGACTAAACACATACATATATGGTGCAGTAAATATGGTCTATCTGTTAATCCAAATAAAGCAGAGGTTGTTATGTTCACTAGAAGGAGAATAGGACTAGATAGTCTTGACATTCTTACTCTAAATGGACAAGAAATTAGCTTAAAATTGGAAGTAAAATATTTAGGTATTATCTTAGATAGTAATCTAAAATGGAAATCACATGTTGAATCAAGAATCAAAAAAGCAATGACCACATTGTGGACTTGCAGTAGAGCCTTGGGAAAGACATGGGGTCTTAAACCAAGAGTTATGTATTGGCTGTACAGTGTACACTTCAGTGATTAAACCTATAATACTGTATGGTACCCTGGTCTGGTGGACCAGAACAGCACTCTTTACAGCTAGGAAAGAACTTTGTCGCATATAGAGAATGGCTGCTATAGCCATCACTGGTGCATTAAAAACTACACCAAAGGTTGCATTAAAAGCACTAATCGGATTACCTCCTATGCATCTAGAGATTAAAGCTCACGCCAAAGCTATAGCACTAAGATTCCACAACTTAGGTACTTGGACTTTGGAGAGCGACAAAGCAGAATACGGTAAAAAAATAAAAGAGATAGACCCAGGCTTTATGGATACCCCTTGGACTATATCAAACCAATTCTTAAGAATAATATTCCCCACAAAGTGGAAATCACTACACGTAGAGAATAGAATATTAACCACCTGACTAAGAAAGGAATGATTTGTAATATATACAGATAGATCCAAAAAATCAGGAAAGGTAGGTGCTGGCATTTGGGGTCTAAAACCTCGAATAAATGTCAGCATGTCAATGGGCACAACACCCTCTGTTTGAAAAACAGAGGTGTGGCGATACTGAAAGGGGCTCAGAACCTGCTGGTATACAAGAAAAGGCAAATAACTATCTTAAGTGATAGTCAAGCAGCTCTGAAAGCACTCTGTAATGACCAGGTGAATTCAAAGCTTATCCATGAATAAGGGAAACTTTAGAATCACTATCGAAGTACAATAAAGTTACACAAGCATGGATACCAGGACACAACAATGTCACTGGAAATGAAAAAGCTGACTTTCTAGCTAGGAAAGGAGCATAGAACACCTATGTTGGACCAGAACCAGTGGTAAAACTCACTGAACAATCGCTCAAAGTGCTACCCCAGAATTGGTGCAGAGAACAACACAGAAAAATTTGGAAATATTTGGTAGTACCTAGACAATTTAAAACGTTTATCAAGACCACTGTTCTAATGCTGGGTGATCTTAATAACATGACTAGACATCAAATAAGCAATTTTACGGGTCTACTAACAGAACATGTTCACTTATTTAAATATTTTTACACAATGGAGTATCGGAATCACCAATGTGCAGGAAGTGTGGAATAGAAGAGGAAAAGTATTTTCACATGATGTACGAATGTAAAGCCTTGTTCACACTAAGATCAAACTACTTGAGTAAACCTTCTGAAAAAGAAGACATTAAAAACCTAAGACCCAGAGAGATACTTAATTTCGTCAGAAAGAGAGGACTTTTTTGGTCATCTACAGGGGGTGACTTGATAGTCCACTCTTATACAATGATAGGTATAATGTACCTTATAATAACACTTCGGTGATAACACTTAAGTGTGTAAACCGAATCAAGACAATTCTACCTCACTAATAACTAAAACTAACTCAAATGTTACATACTGGGTCTTCATTCATATCAGTTAAAATAACCACTGTTTGTGCATTATGGTCCCATAACATTTGCCAAAAATCTAATATTGTATTTTTTAGAGGATGCTGAGTCACTATGAATTCTCCTAGTCGTTTAAAACCTAAAATGAAACGTTTTTCAANCTAAAACGTTTATCAAGACCACTGTTCTAATGCTGGGTGATCTTAATAACATGACTAGACATCAAATAAGCAATTTGACGGGTCTACTAACAGAACATGTTCACTTATTTAAATATTTTTACACAATGGAGTATCGGAATCACCAATGTGCAGGAAGTGTGGAATAGAAGAGGAAAAGTATTTTCACATGATGTACGAATGTAAAGCCTTGTTCACACTAAGATCAAACTACTTGAGTAAACCTTCTGAAAAAGAAGACATTAAAAACCTAAGACCCAGAGAGATACTTAATTTCGTCAGAAAGAGAGGACTTTTTTGGTCATCTACAGGGGGTGACTTGATAGTCCACTCTTATACAATGATAGGTATAATGTACCTTATAATAACACTTCGGTGATAACACTTAAGTGTGTAAACCGAATCAAGACAATTCTACCTCACTAATAACTAAAACTAACTCAAATGTTACATACTGGGTCTTCATTCATATCAGTTAAAATAACCACTGTTTGTGCATTATGGTCCCATAACATTTGCCAAAAATCTAATATTGTATTTTTTAGAGGATGCTGAGTCACTATGAATTCTCCTAGTCGTTTAAAACCTAAAATGAAACGTTTTTCAATATAATACAATTTATCGTATTAATGATAAAAAAATGTCTGATTATAAAAAGTTGTTTGCTCCATTATATTTTACCTATTATCCATGAAGCATTAATATAGTCACTCCCTTCAACACCAGGTTTAGGAGTTAAATGAACACGAGAATATTCTACGGGCACAAATTCTTGAGATCTATTTTTTATTCTATTGAAAGCTTTATTGGCAGATAATAATAAATAATCTTGAGGAACAAAAGATGTTATCATCTAACAAATAAAAATAGAATAAACATGTTTAATTATTAAGAATATAAAACTTTTAAAAATACAAACTTTATAATGTTTTTCAAAATCAGTTGTGAATGATACTATTTTGCTATCTTGAATATCTGTTTGAAGGTAACTAGCTAATGTTTTTTCATTTATACTAGCATGCATGCAATTTATTGCTTCTAATAAAGCATCATGAATAAAAATATATTGTTCTTCTGTTTGAACGAGGAAATTTCTCTGTTGCCTAATATGCTTAAGAAAACCAAATATGTTAACTTCTCTTTCACTTCTAATTTGTTTTAGCATGGTATCTAATACAATGTACGTGCCAGTTCTCCCTACACCAGCGCTACAAATATATGTTTTTTTAGTAAATGAAACATTAAAATGTTTTAACTATAACGAACCTGCAATGGACAACAATTGGGCCAGCTTCAGAAGGGTTAGCTCCTGATGACTTATTAATAAAACTTAAAATTGGTAGTGCATGATCTGGTGTACCATGATCAGGCCAATTAGTATAATGATATTGGTATATAGTTCTTCCAGATGCTAAATTTTTTTTCTTTTTGGTCTAAAAATAATTTAAAAAATCATTTTAAATTATAATATAACATAAATCTAGAAGTACTTTTGATCTAGGATAGCAGATCCATATGTAGTTAAACCTTTATACAATCAACAAAAGTCCAATGACCATTCATACAAGTTTGTTATAGTAATAAATCAATGAACCATAAATATTATTCACTGATTTTTCAATATTTTATGTATAAATATTTAGTGTACTTAAAAAGTATGTTTGTTTCATTTTGGAAAATCATATAGTTATTGGATAGTAAAATCATTGCCTTTAAAGAACCAAAAATAAATTTGATCTAAAACCTAACTGGACTAAATTTATTATTGTACAAAAAATTCAACCAAATTCTTTGTTTTAAAAAAGTCTAATTCAGAATAAAAACTATAGGTTTTAATCAATTTTAGCTTCGATGCGAAGCTGAGAAGGTATTAATTTTATATGATGTGTTTTTTTTTTATGTCTGTTGCCACTTTTTCTCAGCTCTCACTGGACCGATTTCTTTCAAAAGTACGTCAAAAGATCACAAATTGTATCTAGTTGGAAACATTACCCTTAAAAATTGAAAAAAATTCCCTCGTTCCCCGAAATGGGGGAAATATCCAAAAAAATTACAAATTTAAAAATCGGTAAATTTTGTCATTTTTTTCACTTTTTTTTCTTAAAACTGCCATAAATTTTTCAAAAATGAACAAAAAAAAAAAATATTTTTTTGTATTGAAACCTTAGATATTTCCCTTTCATTTGATATAATTTTTTTTGAAAATCTAACACTTAACCTGCTCATGGGGGGGGGATTTAAAATAGCAACTTTTTTACAAAAACTAACTTTTTCAACTTAATTTTTGAAAATGTTCCGGAAATACTGCGTCCTTTAAACATATATCAAATTAAAGCTTATTTTATGTACTATAAAATGAAAAAAAAAATTTGTCCTGACGACTTATCTTCTATGTGCAAATGGCTACCATATTCAAAAATATGCTATTTTAACAAATTTTTTTTTTTTTAATTAAACACTATCTACAGATTTGCATCGAAGCGTTTTTTATGATAGTGATTTTAATCACTGTCAGATATCATCTATACTGAACCCAACTATGCCACGACCCCACTTTGCCGCCACCCCACTGTGCTGGGTGTAATTATTTTATGTTATAAATGTAGTTTTAATTACAAAAATATTATTACTGAGATTTAATCTTCATTTTAATAAAAGATTTTTTTTTATTATTATTATATGCATAAAACTTACTCGAGTATGATTAATTTGAAAAGTACGAACTGTATACATAGCCATCATTTCTTCTTTTAATAATTTTACTTGAATAAAACCATATGTTTCTACACTTTCATTTGGCCAATATAAATCACATTTTCTCTAAAGTAAACATATTTTTAAAAAATCAATTGTGTAAATTTTAATAAATATTACACAAAACATGTATGCTTACTCTGCCTCGTTCAACTAAATTTGTGATCATAATTATAACATAAACATGCTGTTCCCAAATCATTTGCCAAAAATCATTTATTGTTGATGGAAGTGGTCCCTGGGTACCAATATATGCATTGGCTTTTTCAAAACCATCAATGTAATTTGCATTTATATAATCAGAATGGCTGCTACCCGGAATATTGTTAACAATTAGTTTAACTCTACTATGGTCATCTAAAATAAAATTTTAAAAAGATTATAAATTAATAAATAAAGCAAATTAAAATTGTGGCATGTACTTATATTAGAGAATATTTTAGATGTATTAATGATATTTTTATTATTATATTTAAACTAATTTATTAGTTTAAGTTTTATTAAACTATTTAGTAATTGAATTGTTAGATTACCTAGAGTACTTTTTTTAAATAAAAATAACTAAATCAATTAATTTGATTACTTTGTAAAATTGTGAAAATCCCCAAAAAAATTATAACTTTTAAAATTTATATATTTTGACATTTCTTAAACCCATTTTACTTCAAACCTATAATTATTTAAAAAATGGAAATACAAAAAAAATTTTTTTGTTAATACCTTGGTAATTTCTTTTTTATTAAATATATTTTTTTTTCGAAAATATAACCATTTATCTGCTCACAAGAAGGATTCAAAGTAACAACTTTTGCATAAAAAGTTAACTTTTTAAAATGTTTTAGAAATTTTTAAGCTTCAAACATATATTAAATCAAAAATACTATAAGTTATAATGATATACTATAAGTTGAAAAAAAAAACTTGTACCATCGACTTGTTCTCTATATTTAAGCAATCCCCGAAATTAAACAAAAAATGAAGCAAAATATTACANCTCTATATTTAAGCAATCCCCGAAATTAAACAAAAAATTACTGCAATAATAATTAACTTAAGAAGGTAAGAATTATCAAATTAAGAAAGATAAGTATATAAAGATAATATATATATATATATATATACATTATTTTTGATAAATATATATTTACAATTTTGGTACATATTTGCAATAAAGGATACAAAATATATAGCAATGAATAAATATTTATAATTTCTCCATAAAACTAGAAATAAGGATATAAGTAAATAAATAGAAGTTGATTTTGCTTTAGGAATAATCCAACAATTTCTTCCGAACATTAAAAACAATCGACTAATTTGCATCAAAACATTTTTTATGATAGTATTTTTAATTACTGTTAGATATTATCTATACCTATCTCAACTATGCCGCGACTACACTGTGCTGGGATTTTTTATGTTAACATTATATTTTACTAGTTAACTAAATTAATTTTAATAATAAAAATTATTTTTTTAATACTATAATGAATAAGGTTATAAATATTTAAAAAAATTGTTATAGTTTATTTTTAAAACTTCTAATAATTTAAAATGTTAATTTTAAGTCTCAAATTTTAAATTGTGTGAAAAAAAAATAGTTTTTTTAGTTAACTTAAAAAAAGTTAGAAAAATTAACTAAAAATTTATAAACTATAATATTTATACAGTAATACCATATAACATTCTATACTACATAATATAATATTGTACTTACAAGGAACTATGTTAAGATATCGATTTTTCGATTTGTTTTCTGGTAATTGTGATGCATCTGTAGAAAATTCAAAGTTTATAGATTCTTCTTGTATAATTTCATACTCTTTACTAAAACCAATATCTCCATCTACATGTAAATTTGTCACATGTTTGCCAAATTCATCTACAGTTATAATCTGAGACTCTTCTTTATGCTTCCACCATTCAGAATTTGGTAAAGTTGGTAAAGTATTAATAACACAAGGTGGATCCTCCAAATAATAATATGCAGCATGAAAGTATACCCTGCACACATTATGGCATCTACTGTACAAAAGAGTGATTTTATATGTTACATGTTAAAGTTTCACACAAACTTTAGCTAATGTGAAATTATTTTGATGTAAACTAATGTTAATTAAAAATTATTTTTTATTTGTAATACTCTAAGATGAATATTTCAAGTAATGTTTTAAGATTAAAAATTTTAAATAAAGCTTAAAGTTTTATTTTTACTGAATAAAGTTTTTAGAGGGATGGTGTGTCTAAGTCGGTAACAGCGCTTGATGTACACTGTCTAAGGTACGAAATTTGATTGGGTGGCTCTATTTGCTGAGCGAGAGACCAGTTTGATAATTGAAGTTGCCATCCCTCTCTCCAGCGATGGACTAACCACCCATCCAAGAAAATCAATAATTAAGAAGCCTCCTACAGAAAAAGCCACTATGACTCTTATTGAGCTTAAAAAAGCAAAAAAAAATAAAGTTTTTAACACCTATAACATTTAACTTGTTAATTAGATTAAAATAATGACATTTGAACAACAATGCTAAAAGTTTTAGCTTCAATACAAAGCAAGAGTAAGAGAAAGTAATGGTTTTGTGATGGTGTGAGCTTTTTTTTTTTTGTTTGTCCATGAAAATTCTTAACTCTCACTTCTCTAAGCCACCATCCCACAGTGATAGATTTTTTGTATTAGTCTTATTAGTAAATTATAGTGCCATTTGATCATAAAAACATTTTAAAAGAATACATTGATACTTCACTCTTTTAAAAGCAATTTAATTGAGAGCATTACTAGTTGATAGATTCTATTTAAATTTGTTCATAACATTTTTTTTTTTTAATGCTAATGAATATTATTCATATTACAAAATACTGTTAAAAATAATGAAAAAATACAATTTTAAGCTAAATGAGAAAATTTTTTTAAAATAATTATTAAATTATGCTACAAAATCCAGACGGATTTGATTAAGAAGTAAATCAGTAAACTTCATGAATGCTTTTATTCTTTATTTTATTTTCAAATTTTAGATTAGCTAACACTAACTAATAGTGATAACTGAACTAGTGTACCCTAGTATATGTATAAATATATAATTTAAAATTTAACTAACCCTTTCATTAAAATTAATAAAATCTGATTTTTTCATCATAACAATGAAAATTTTATTTTAAAAATAATATTTCAAAACTAATAAAAATAATAATTGATTGGATTAATAAAAATAAAAAATTGTTAATTATTACCAGATATTAAATATAAATAATTTTTACTAAAACAATGTAATACAAGTAAAACAAAGTTGATTATGTATGATTTAATTAAGTAGAATCTATGACAAATTATACAAAAATATTGACTTCCTAACTTGTCTTATATAAATTTAGAAAGAAGATTAAATATTGTCATGAATCTAATTAATATTCTTATATGTACCTTAAAAAATACCTACTAAAATTTTATATCAAAATAAAATAATTACTCACTTCCAAAATAGTACAGTTGCAATAATAAAAAGTAATCCAAAAACACAACATAAACCAATTAAAATTGACTTCGTATTTTCAATTGAAGGATTATTCTTCCAACTATTATGATCACAGTCCCTATGCAAATAAACTGTTCTAGCATCTGATGGTTGACCTTCAATTAAATTTTTTGTGAGGTAACTATTTGTTGCTCCATTTATTTTCAACTCATATTTTGTGTTTTCTGTTAAATTTTGGACGACATACTAAAATGAAACAATTTGCTTAAAAATTTATTATAACTTTTAAATTAATTCAAATGAATTAATAATTGAATGTAATTTTTTTACTAATAAATGTATATAATTAAAATTTATTATTTATTAATATAGCTTCAACATACATTCAAGCTATCTTTTGGTGCTGACACTTTAATTTTAATGTTCTCATTAGTTTCTTTTGTAATAGATATAAAATATTCATCAACAGATTTGTAGAAATGTTCTGGCTGAGACCACTGCAAGTAAATTGAAGTACCACTTGTTCCAGGTACACATGTGGCATTCATAATAATAGGTGGTCCCGGACCATCAACATCAGTAAATTGGCTTATTGTATCTGAAACTTCGCCTTCTCTTCTTTTTTCACCAACAGCTATTATATACATTTTGTATTCAGTGAAAGGTTCTAAAATGTATATTTATAAATATTATTAATGTATTAACAAGTAAAAAGATATACATATTTTTATAAAATTTTTACTTAAAAGAAACTTTATTGGAATATTCTTAAATATTTTATCCATTTATAATTTTTATATTATAATAATATTTTTATAAAAAAGCTTTAATTCTAAAGTTCAATATATTTTAAATTTAATATGTGACACAATCTTATATAGATTTAACACTTAAAATGATTTAATTAGATTTTATGTATCATCATTATTTGTTAAATTATATAAGTATAAAACCCAATTAATACTTAAAATTCATTTTTTTTCTCTTTCTTTGATAGATAACTCATGTAAAATGTCTATATGAGTTTTTCACTGGAACTTTAACTTTTAAGAAGAACTTTTTCATCACTACTTCAAATAATGTTTCTAATATAATAATGTTTTAACTATTAACTATTTTTCTAATTAACTCTTTAAATAACTAGTTTAATTTACCATTAAAATAACTTAGCTTTTTTTAATTTATTAGATAATCATGATTTAGCTAAATTTAAAATTTCTTAATAAATTTTTGTCTATATACTTCGTATGTGGTAGAATTAAAAAAAATACAAATACTTATCAATTAAACTTAAAATTAAGTAGAATTGTCAACTTAACTAAGCTAGTTAACTACAAATTAAAAATTTGTAATTTGTTAACTTTTAACTGTTGACTTATTAAGAATTTTTCTACTTAACTTAATTTTAATTAATCATTTTTATTAAATTGCTTATCTTTTCTTATGTATAACTAAATTGGCCAGAACTATTTTTACAAGGGAGGAGAACAAATCTAATACCTAAAAATCAGTTTGCCATACATAAATAATTAGGATTGGGAATGGACAAGTGAGATTGAAGAAGAAACTTGGATGTTCAGTACCCCTAAATAAATTTATATTATTAGTTGATATTTACTAAGTTAAATATTGATTATATAAAATAAATTTCATTCTCTAAAAAAACCTCGACTATTTACTTGAAAGAAAAAATAAAGACAACTTAAACAATTTGTAAACAAAATTTTTCTATAAAAGTAAGCAATCAAATACAGAAATTGTAAAAATAACTTACTGAGATCAATTATTGTGTGCTGATGTATATTAGGTAAATTTTTTGCATATGTATTATTATCATGTGTATAATACAAGCTGTAACCAGTTACTGTATCAGCACCATCTTGGGGTGCTTCCCATGTTAACTGAATTGAACGACTAGTTACATTAACAACAGTTAAATTCTGAGGTTTGCTTACAAGAACAACTGTAATATTTAAGAAAAAATAATATTATCAATATTATATAAAATTATGCTAACACAGTTTCAAATAGTAAAAGACCTTATCATGCAAATTTTATTTTATTGAATATATATATGACAAATAACTAATAAATTATATACAACAAGGATAGTCTGAAAGTAAAAAAATACCAAAGAAACAGGTAGTCTGGATTTTAAACTTAAAAATAACTATTTAAAAAGTTCAATGAATTGTAAATATAATATAATACATTTAGTATAAAGAAAAGATTTTAAACTTACTTGGCCGTTCAGAGCTGGTCAACTGTGCTATGGCATTTCCAACAACGTACACTGGACCAGCAGGGTACGATGAGAAAAGTGCAATACCCAAATACCATGTTGCTATCCACATTTCCTGAAAAATGATTTCAGTCGATGCTACAGGTAAAAATTTTTTTATAAAGGGTAGATGTCGTCTCAGATAATTCGATTGTTAGTAGTACCGGCTGGTGATCGCGGAAAAGCTGCGATCGTCATTTCTGATATAGAGGACTCCAAAAGGATGTCCTCCTTGATTAATTGTAACTAATATAACAACTATTGCCGGCTTAACGTTCTGAAAACGGCGCGGTCAATATTAAAACAGCGCAGACCAAAACCGCATAATCTTGTAATGATAATATTAATTTAGGCGATTCGCTAGTAAAACTTTAACTATAGAAAACGGGGGTGAGAGGAATCAAATAGAGCCGCCGTTGTTGCCGAGTGTTTACGATAGCTTATCAACTTATCAAAAACCGTCGCAGCCGACAACAACAATGTAGCACCACGGTCCACGAATTATAATACCGTCTTCCAGATCCACCGCAAATATTTTTTATCTCTACTTGTTCGAATGTTCCAATACACCGCCTCAATACTTCCTGATGTTTTTCTGTCGCCATATGTCTGTCTCATATTCAATATTATTCATGGTGCAGCTTATGGTCCACGTCGTGAAATGAACTAATTTCATTATGATGTTCCAGACATTGAACATAGTTCATATATGATGTATATACATAATAATTCTTATAACACTAGTCACTCCATTTCTCTTAAAATAATAATTTTTTCGTGAATTTATCTATTATAAAATATTTTTTTATGTTCATCCCTTATGTCTTATAAGGGATGTAAATTTATTAATTTTTAATAGAAACACACATATTTAACTAGCTTATAAAATAGAAAATTGTGTAATTAAGGAAATGTCTAGTCGATAACATTTTTTAAACTAGTATTTCAAAAGTTATTTACAATTTAAAGTAAAGCATGGAATTGAAGAATAGGAGCCATTATTTTTATCATTAGACATTTATAGGCCTCACTTTTTCTATTGTCAATGGATAATAATGTGTTATAACTTTTAAAATACTGATCCAAAAATTGTTATCGATCTGTCATATTCTATTTTATAAGCTGATTATATATATATGTTTCTATTTAAAAAATTAATATCACACCCCTATAAGGGATAAATATAAAAAAATAAAAAATATTTTATAACAGATAAATAGAAATACATATGTAATTAACAAAAGCCAAAAAGAAATTCACACAAAAGTTATTATTTCAAGAAAAATTGTGTAGCTAGCATTAAAAGAATCAACTTATATATACAAAGTGATTGATTTACTGTTAACCACAAATTTTCTCTAAAATAATAATAATTTTAAGAACTTTTTCTTGGTTTGTATTTTCATTTTTCGATTCATTGGTTATTAAATATTTTATAGGTCTATCCCTTGTTCCTTATTAATGTAAAACTTAATTTTTTAAATGGCCACACACATTTTATAGCTTATATGATTCTAAATCACTGAACAATGACAACTTTTAAACAAGTATTTTGGATATTATTAACACTAATACATAGTATATAGTATAGTATAATAATGTATAGTCTGGGAGCAAGATGTAGATTAGATCTACTTTACTATTCATCCCATCCAATTATTATAATAATTGTAACTTCTAAATTACTTGCTCAAAAGTTATCAATTAGGCATTTTCATAAATAGACCATTTCCTAACGTTTTAGACATATATAAATCACAGTTCTTAAGTTATTTTTACTTAAATTTGACACATAACTTTGTTGAAATAGTATCAAAGTGCATCATTTCATTAAACATCATAGTAATCATTTCTTTGAAATTCTTGATGTTTAAATAAATGCTACAATTAAAATGTTCAGAATTATAATCCTATAGGATTGTATTATATACTGATATTCAGAAATATTCTGGGTCTAGTTTCACCTATAATTTTGTCCGCTGATGTTGAATTTCACTTTTATCCAGATTTTTTTTTTTTATGTAAATATTTGTTTTTTTAATAATTAGTAATAATTTCAAAAATTACAGGTGTCAGAAAAAATTTATTTGTAGATTTGAAATCGGCGCAAATATGAATTTACGAAAGTATATTCTAGTCTCTGATGTTTATTATCTTTTATAATTCTCCATTAAAATTACAATATTAAATAACTGAATATTAATTTATGGTTTGTATTTATTCGTATATTATACTTATAAATCAAAAAACTAGTAATCAGAATATAATTAAGGAAATAGGATTTGATGTTACTTTTGAAATAATCCATCAATTTTTTAAAACTAAACACTATGTACTGATTTACATTGAAACATTTTTTATGATAGTGATTTTAATCACTATCTTGTATTATATATAACTTGTTACAACTATACCACGTCCCCACAAGACCGTGGCACCACTTTGCTACCGTTTTTTTATCAGTAGATGGTATTATTTGAATTCCAAAATAATAAAACATTTTTAAAATATTATGAAAATTATGTATGTTACCGTTGGAAAAACAAAATTGACATCTTTATAATGTTTATTAATTTTTTATATTCATCCATTATGAATATATGAATGAAAAAAAAAATAATTCATAATATACAGCTTTCTGTTTTCATGTTGTTAAATACATCTAACAAGTAACCAATATGAATGTGTTAAAGCTTTCATGGATTGTCTTGTTGCTTGAAGTGCTTGAGGATATATCCACGTTTGCAGTTGAGTTCTGACGTTTCGGACTCATTGCAGAGTCCATCTTCAGAGTGATGGTTGCTAGTCGGTGGCTGCAACTATACTATAATTCTACTATACTATAGTACACTTCAAGCAAAAAGTAACCAATAGTTAAAACAAAACCATGTCTGTTTAAATAACTTTTCAATAAAAATATAACATAAATAATTTGAAAAACTAATGTTTATTAAAATAAAATAGTAGGTAAACTTGAAAAGTAAAATTTACTGTATAACTTATTTTATAATAGTACATTACAATATTTTAATTAAATTATACTCTTTTAGTACATTATCTTTGAGCAGATTTAGCTATTTGCTCTTTTAAAACCAAAATACTTTGACGTTGTTCAGCTGGCAACATAGCAATCTGTTCATCAGTCAATTGTAATACTTGCATAATTAATGCAGCCTGAAACATTTAAGCATAATTTAATATAAAAATAAAAGGTTATCATTTAACATGGTCTATTATTCAGCTTTCCATATAAAATGCTAAAAGTAAAATAACATTAAATTTAATATAATTTCTTATGAGAGGTCAATATTTTAGAGCAATTTTTTTTCATAGCCTTAAATAAAATAATAATCAGCTCAAGAATTATAAAAAAAAGTAAGAAGTATAATAGTAACAATACTATGTTATAACGGTACAACAAATACGACAATAATTGATAGTAAACTCAAAATAGAGAAATTAAACATTATTTTGAATTATTGTTAATAAAGCTTTTAATGTACAAACTAAAAAATGATTAAATTAAAATTTTTATTGAAAGAAAGGAAGAAGAGAAAAAATAAATAAATAAACAAAAAAAATTATAAAATAATTAGAGATTAAATGACAAAGTCGGAACTCCTCAGGAAAGATATGATAGAAATAATTACAATGAAAGAATGGGAATTAAAAGTATTACCTATGGAAGGGGGATTAATATTGTGGGTGGCTAAGAAGCTAAATAGTTTATTTCTGCTGTTAAATAGGGCAGGATAATCAGAGACAGATCGGAAAAATCGCAAAGAGCTTTACTATCATGTAGGGGACAGAGGGGAACGGAATATTTAACGAAAGATAGAATGCATGGTAGGGAAGAAGATTATGACCTAATCTAAGTCTTAAGTACTGCGAAATGATATTTCTGGTTAAGTCAAGGTTATGAAACCATAGAAAATTAATAATAAAAAGAGATATAGAACAATACCAATTTTTTTGCAGCCGGAGGCGGAGTATGTCAGAAGCGGGAATTTTATGGCTAGAAGTTGCAAGGTGGTCAGCAACTACGTTACCTAATATACCAGGGTATGATCTGGCACCTAATAAAATAAAATAGATTTATTCTAGGATCAAATTAAAGAGGCAAGTAATCTAATAAGAATGTAGAGAGAAAGATGCTTAATAAACCAGAGGATCTATATTTTTTAAAAGCTTTAGTGTGCTCATTGACAGGGTATGTGCAGAAGGGAGATCACCATATTAGAAAGGAGAGAAAGGACTTTTTGGTTTTTTTAATTAAAGGAATGGACAATTCAGCGGCTATAATATGGCTCTGGTTTGTAGATACAAACCAGTTGTAGTCCTCAATGAGAGAGGAGGAGGAGGAGGAGGAGAAGAAATTAGAGCTGAAAATGGTCATGTAATTTTGAAAAGATGACCAATCAGCTTTTGAATAAATAAATCTATTAACTGTGATTTATGAGGATGAGGGTGAGGGAGTGAGACTTTTTATAATTGGAGATAATAATTTGAAAATGATAAATACCATGAAAGCAGTTTAAGACAGACCATGACAATAACCATGAGAAAGAGGGAGATGAAATGGTAAGGTCAATTTCAGAATCCATTTAGGTAAGGTGTATAAGGAGGGTAGGAAGCCATGTATTGAGAATACAAAGATTGTATGCAGAAGTTGCAGATAAATTAATGTTACCACGATGATTGGAGATTAGTGAACCCAGGGAGGGGTGGTGACTATTAAAGTCACTGCCTATAATAGAATTACAAGAAACTAAAGAATAAATGTTGCCAAATAGTATAGAAGGAGGGTTGGAAGAGGGCGAATTAAATAGACAGAATTTGAGGATGTGACCAAACCGTAAACACTTTCGACATTGGACAGGAGAATGGATACTCGGAAAAACATAAAAAATAACTTTATATATTGATAATTGTAAATAAAGTATTGCTGACAAAAATTTACGTTCAACTAAATTTAAACAAACGAGGTTGCTATCCTTTTTTTATATTAATATGTCTAAATCAAACAATTTTGACTGAAAATACATGACCGTCTCAAAAGTCTTCTTTAGAGATACTTTTGTCTAGACGTATGATTCCAAAACTATATAGTGAAGTGATAGAAATATTCGCAAAGTAGCTGTGTTCAGTAAGAGAGGGGGAAATGAGGCAATTGTTGGTGTTATTAACCAACTGGTTATTGACTGGGTGAAAATTGCCTAAGTTATTATCGCCAGAAGCAGAAACATTGGATCAACTGACTATTGATATATTAGAAGAATCAACATAAAGCGATATTATGTTTGAAGTTAGCAAACTGGGTGATGTCACAACAATGTATTCAGATGAGTTGCAATCCATGCTGCTAGTTTGAGATTGGGGGTCATTAGAAACTAATTTACTATCGGATTTAGGTTTATTGTATAAAGGGCTAGTTGGAGATTCGAACCTTGATTGCTCTTACCAAAATTATACAAATTATCTGTGGATATTTGTGGGTTGGAAGTTTGCAAAGTGCCTCTATGGCATTGTGGAGAGTGGTGCCGATCACCTTCTCCCGGATTAGGACTGGATTGCATCCAGAGCTTTGGTGATCACTGTAAATGTGAAATGATGAAACACTGGTTTCAAAACTGAATAAAAACACTGAATAAACACTCAAACAGAATAGTACTCTAAAAATAGGCGGATACTATAAACGTAGGCGAGATAAACAAGACCATCCAATACAACCAATAAATCGTAATTGAATTTGTCTTATAAAGTTTCTTTTTTAGGATACAGTCCTATTAAACTCACAGTGCGATAGATTATTTAATGTACAGTTTACCTTTTCAGTATCAGTTGAAGAAGCTGGTTTAGATTGCTGTTGAGTGGGTTGTGGTCGTGAAGATGGCAATTGTTGAGAAGGGATTTGTGGCATTATAACTGCTGGTGGGGCAATATTATTATTTGATCTAGGATCCCTTATAGTAAATTGACGTATATCTGAGTCCATATTTGCAGCTCGTGGATCTCTTGAAATACTGAATTATTAAAAACATTTTTGAAATATGAAAAAGTTTTCCTATCATATTATTTGAAAAAATATTAATATAAAAACACTTACGGAATATTTTGTGAAGGAATTGGTTCAATAGGCATTGAAGATATTGATTGTGAAATGGGTATCTGTGGAGGAGGTTGCCTTAAATCTTGATCCATCACTCGAACACGATTCATTTGTCTTAGATCCATATCCTCAACTGTACAAAATAATTAACATTTATTTTACTTTAAAATTCGAGTGTAGTAATAAAAATGAATTTAATTCCAACTAATAGTAATTTACAATAAAATGTAAAAAAATTATACCAGGAAAAGAATGTTGTTGAATATTTGGTACAGAAGGCTTTGGTTGGGTCCACACATCATTAATTGGCATTCGTGGTACAGTATTGACAGGTGCTGTTGTAACAGTAGTATTTGGTATCAATGGTGGAGGTACTTTATGTGCTGAGTGTAACATACTCTAAAAAATTTCAAAACCCTAATTTTTATTGTTTCATTTTTGTAGTTTGTTATAAATATAGGAGAAATATATAATATTGATATTTGTGTATCAAAATTATTAATTTTTATGAGATTCATGTAATTTTGGTTAATGTTTTGAACAATTTTTCTTATGTAAGTATAATAATCATGCCTATGTATATATATATACACATTTATTATGATATATTGTACCATAATTTTATTATCATGAGTTAACTATTTTCCAATAGGAATAATGGACTCTATTGACCCCCTAGGATATCCTTGTACAGTAGCTAATACTTACAACAGCTATTTGTGGATCCACAATTTTCATAATGACTTGAGCTTGTAGTAATGCATATCCAAGTTGTGGATTTTGAAGCAACATATTTCTAGCTTCTGCTGGATTATTCTAAAAATATATTCTAAAATTACTTTTGTTTAATATTTTAATAGCAAATTATTAGTAGTAACTTTTATTTACATTTATTCATAATTAGATTAACTGATATACTTTTTTAAAGTAAAATAAATGTATTTTAATTATTTAAGATATCATATTCAGTTTTTTGTTTTTATAACATATAAAATTTGATCAATCCCTCAAAAAAGAAAAACTTGAAATCTTTTCAACTCAATCAAGTCATAGATTTAAAACCCAACTTAAATCCCGGACATAATTAAAATAAGAAAATACATGAAATTAAATGTAAAAATTAGTATTAAAATAGTAGTACTAGTATAAAATAATCAATATGAATTAAACGTTAGTTTTTGGCTTTTATGTTTAGTCAATTAAAAAAAAAAATTAATAACACTCAGTAATATGGTTTTAAGTAAGTATTTTTATATAGAATTATATTGGTTTAAAGTACTATAAAGTAAGCTTATTGTTTGTCACAACTATGTATTGGATATTTCTTAAATAACTGATTCAATTCTTAGGTTACTAAAATAATTTACTTTTTTGATTGTAACATGATATTGTTATATTATAGAACAATACATTATAGTTTACATAAAATTATTTTATACAATTGAAATTTTTATTTGTAAATTAACCAATAAAATATACAACTGAAAATTAAACTGTGTTATACCTGTATACAAACTTTCATTTGTTTCATGAGTTCAAACATTTGTTCAGGTGGCAAAGATGCTACTGCACTACTTATATGTTCTGGTGCTTTTTCTGCACTAACTGCTTCTCCATAATGATTTTCTGATGTAGGCATTCCCATCATTAAAGCTAATGATATAAAACATATTAATGAATAATATTAATCAAATTTATAAATTTAACTACTTTGTTAGCATATTACATTGGTTAAATAAAAAAAAAAATTACAAATGAAAATCTTTTTTGTTTTTTAAATTTAGGTTTTTTTAAACTTTTTGGATATAAAATATTGATTTCCAAAAGCTAAATAATAGGCAAAAGAAACAATTTTATATTTACAAGAATTTATAAATATAATTTTTCCATATTTGTTAGTTGAATGAACACATATATCATATAACAGAATTTTTTCTATATCTTATTCAGTATAACAAGGTTACTATGATTTAGAAGAAAAAACAAAAAACAAAATTACTAATTATTAATATTAAATTTGTAACACTAATAAAATAAGACTTACAACAAACTATTTAATAGCAATAAAACATATTTATATAGAATTGTATTTTGTTAAAGATTGTGAACAAATTAATCTATGAGATTGTAGAAAACATTTTTCTATTTAGGCTCAAGGTTTAAACAATTATTGTGTAATTTGATTTAATACTTTAGAATAAGAAATAACAATTTTAAACACTTAGAATTAATGAAAATAATCCCTGTAAAATATATTTATTTAATAGATATAGGTCTACTAATTATAATCTTAATTACTTTCCACTTTAAATGACCTAAATAGTTGAAGTTGGCTTTAACGAAAGTATCTCTAAAATTATTTTATTAAATTATTGTATCTTATCTATATAGATATTCAGAACTTTTAGAGCCACATAGAGCTGGAAATGTTGGGTTTAAACAAAGATTATTTAATAAACAGATACTTAAAAATATTTATTTTTTTTTCAAACAATAAAGCCAAAGGAAGTATCTCCATGAATATTGTTTATTAGTAACTTCATTAAAAAGTAGTGAACTTAAAAATTTTGCTAATAGTACAATGTACTGTAGTTTATGATTTTCATGAAATTTGTATTGGTCTACAAGTTATGGTTTGTTTAGAATTAAAAATAAATTTATTACATACATTGCATTTCAAGTCTTGATTTTTCTGTACAAGCATTATCTACTCGAAGTGTACGGCCACCAATTTCATAGCCATTAAGGTTACGCATAGCACTTAATGCAGTTTCTTGATCTTTGTACTCACAAAATCCATAGCCCTTTGGTTTTCCTGTTTCTCTATCATACACTAGCCTAGAAACACATTATTTTAAATGGCATATAAAATTAAATTTTGTATATTTAACTTACTTAAAAGATATAACAGGACCTACTTCATTGAATATATCTTTAAGTTTTTCTTCTGTGGCTTCATAAGGAATGTTTCCAACTAAAAAGATAAATATTATTTCATACTTATCTAATAAACAATTTTATGTAGGCATATTAACTTGATGGACCACTTACATAAATTTTTATTAGTAAGTTTTTTTTAACTATACTATTATATTTAGAAATAAGTAATGTAAAAGTTTAGGATAAGGGTAGCGGACCCCTAGTAGTTGGGATAAAGGCGAGGAAAAAGAAGAAGACATCAGTTAAGTAAAAATTAATACATGAAATGATGATGAGTTAAATAAGTAAATAATAAATATTATAACACTAAATATTAGTTATGAGCAATATTGACGATAGTATTCTTACCAAAAACGCTTCTCATAGACTTATCCAAAATATTTTGGTCAGACATGATTCTAGGATTTTAGACACTTGTAAACTAATTTAGTGAAGTATATTTCATAAAATCGGAGTCTTTACAACTTAATATATCAACATTTATTCTTTATCAACACTTATATTTTTTTGATAAGCAAATTATGGCGGTTAACACGTTTGTAACATTGTCACTGGCATTAAATCTTAGATTCGCCAATTATAACAGATTGATCTTAAGTTATCGTCTCTAAAAAATTATATTTTATAAGTCAGAATCATATTTAAGGGGTGTATAAGTGTTATTATATTAAAATTTTTTACCACAGTGTAAATATGCTAATATTATAAATGTGATAAAAATAATTACAGTATAAAAATAGTAAAGATTGCTACACTTTAATCAGAAATTTAAATTCTTTAATGAATGACTGAAGCAAAAAGTTATATTGAAAATCACTGAATTAAAAAAAAATGATTCACAACCCACTCATAAAAATGATTACAGTTTTTTATGATTATAGTTTTATGGACACTGGAAAATAGCAATGACTGCTGTTTGTAACACCACTACACAGTGATTGTTTGAGGAGTTTCTCTCCTGAATCGACTCTTTCCATATTATATAAAACTTATATTTGTCTAAATACCTTTTATTTTATTTATCATTACTTGGTTTTTTGGATATTTTTATCAGAAAATTTTTTTTTAGTTTGCCGGTTCACTATAATAAATCAACTTTATTAAAAAAAAATCTAAATGTGTTCCTGTCATAAGTTTACACAAACTACTATATTTTCATATAGCCTGTGGATTAATAAATTAAAAATGTCTAATATTATTATATTTCTCTAAACTTAGGATTTACTAAATTAATATTATTAGAGTGAGAATATTTAGTGTCTAATCAATATATCTTTAATTGGAATGTAAAATTAAAAATATTTTAGTAATCCATTTCTTTGTAATTTAAAAAAAAATTCGATTTTTTGATTAATTTTATTTATTTTATGTTTTCTTTTTGAACCTGTAGGATTATAAAATGAGTACCGTTAAGTTGGCTTAAGTTGATCAATTCCAGATTGAATTTTAAAAAATTTTTTAACTCAAAAATATAAAATTCAATATTTGATCAACTATTATTCAAAGTAAGCTAGGTCTCCAATTTTATTTATTTGAGTTATCTGAAGCTTAAAAGGTAAATTTTAAAGTGGCCAACTTTATGCTTCATGCTTACTAAAGCTAATTTTACGATATCAAATAAGAAAAGGAGCTTGTATAGAATTCTATACATAGAAAGGAATACTTATTATAAATGGATAATATTAAAGCAAAAAACCATATCTTATTACCAATCTAGAATATTTTTTTTTTGGCATTTAAGAAAGATATAAAATAAATCATAATTTTTATGATAAAAAAAATTTATCAATATGATTTTATTCTTTACAAGCCTGTTTAATAATGTGCTCTTTAATATTTTGTTATGTTTTATTTATTATGGTTAATCGTTTAAGCCATACTTATTGTATACCTATATTTTAGCATATAATCAATCATATGTTATAATATTGCTCAATATAAGCAATATCTTATTCTAACCAATGATTTTATTGGCAATTTATGTTCTTTTTACTGTACACAGTATCCAAAATAAAGTAACAGAAAAAATACAGTAAGTTATGAGGAAAAAAATGTTCAACATAAAATTACAACAAAACATTTATTATAATATTTAAACATTAAAAAAAACTCAATATAACCAAGGCTACATTTATTTTTTTGATTTTTTAACATAGGTTTCATGACCTTTTAAAAATTTAGCTGGAATTTGGTACAGATCTGAAAAAAAAAATACTCATATGTAATTAAATAAAATGTATTCATAAAAACAATATAAGAAAAATTGAAGCAGATTGATGATAAAAGTTAAACACTTAAAATATTTTTTATTTTTGTAATTGGTAGGTTTAACCATTCCTAATACTAATATTGCAACCATAACATTTAACATTATTTTATTCACTCGTTATTGTTATTATTAATAATAAATGACTTGACATTTATAAGGTACTTTATTCAAAAAAAATTATTTTAATTAATTAATCACTTTTTGAAATTCAAAGAAAATTATAAAAATATTTGTTGATAAAAATTTAAAACCCTTAAAAAGCTTACAACTGCTCATTAAAAAATATTTACATTTGATCCATTTATTTTTCCCATTATTTATTGATATATATATTTTAATTTCAATGTGAAGCTCATAATGTATTAATTTTGTGATGGTGTGTTTTTTTAAGTCTGTCAATAAAAATTCTTAGCTCTCACTAGACCAGTTTTAATAATTAATATATCAAAATAAAATTTTAATCTAAAATCTTTTGAACCAAACTACACCCAAAAATATTAAAAAACTACATAGTTTTTATCATACATCATTTTAAATGAAAGAATAATTTTTATAGACTTATATTGTCATGTTTGAACTCTTCTAGTTTTAAAGGCAAATGATTGAGTTCCATTAAAAGTATACAAAAATTAAATGTTTAAAGTTTGTTTTTATTTATAATAAAAATTTGTATCAACCAGAGCTTTTTAAAAATTTTATAATAAATTTCAAATAAATTTAAAAAAAATTTAATTGTTCAATTTTTAAATTTAATTTTTTTGGGACTATTATATTTTACTCATTAAAAAAAACGCCATCTCTTGAGCGTTGTATGTAGATTATTTTTACTTGATCGCTCTCTAAATTCTACTCAAATATTTTTTAAATTTAATTCACCTGTCAATAATTTAAACACAAATAGAACTTGACAACCTTGTATTTGAACTTGTCTATTTTGAGCGTTTGGAACATTGTTAATGGTTGTACTAGCTGCCACACCATGTTGACATTCTTTGCTAAATTTTACAAGATCAATTCCATACATTTCTAAATTATTTACCAAAGTAACCTAAGAATATTAACATAGGTAAATTTAAAGTACAGATTTTTTGCAAATTTATAATATCATACCTTCTTGTTTCCACTACGATTATTTACAGTAATATCAATGGTATTTAATTTCTTCTTTAATGCTTTTTTAGTGTCTGTATTTAAAGTAGAAATTTCTGTATGATGCATCAATTTTATTATTTCTTCATTTAAGTCCTTAAATGATATATATAGCTTATCTTTTCTCTGAGATAATATTTTTTGAAGAACTTCATTTGGTTTAATCATACTAAAAATTAGAGAAAAATAATATTACATCTATATAACAGAAATACTAGTTAACAATAAAATTTTCACTAGCAAATTAGATTTATTATACTAACGATGGATCAGAAATATCTTGAAGTTCATACTTTTTGACGTATTCAGTTATATATCTACGAATAGAAGCAACGGATAGCTCGTCTCCTTTCCTGAAATAAGATTTTTCATTTTTCAAAAAATTCAAAATTGTTTTTTCTTTGTGATTATATGAGTGAGTTATGATAAAAAAATCACTGTAAAATTTTTATACAATTTCAAATGTTATATTAATTCTTCAATTTAAATTATAAAATTATTTTATGTCATACTATTTTTCAAATGGTTACGCATGTGATTTATTATTTATTTTTCTATGATTTTTTTATTAATACTTAACACAAATTTTTTAGTATAAATAAAAGAGTAATACAGAATCTTTCAAAATCTTAAAACACTAATTTACAATATTGATATTCAAACATTTATTTAGACGTTTAAGTCTTTGTTTCAAATAAATAATTTATCAATTTAATAAGATAAAAATTAAAAATAGAAATAGAAATAACTATATAATTAGAATACCTGCAAAGAAATTCAGAAAAAAGAGGAAGTAATCCAGAAGTCACTATATATGTTTCTTTAACTGGTGGTAAATAATCATTAGAACTTTCTTTTGACAGTGAATCAATATTTAAAAGCTTGTCATTATTAAAATTAATGTGAGTTATCACAGCAATTCCATCTTTTTCAACTTGGAACTTTATTATTCCATCTTTATCTAGGATTTGGAGAAATGAAGATAATTTCTTATAAGAGGTTTTTTTAATATCTATTTCTAGATCTTTAGGACTTAATGGCATAACATATTTTTTATAAAATGTACTAGCTAAAAGAGGCAACATATCTTTAGTAATTGAGTTTTTGAGTGCCTTTAGAGAACATTCTAACATTAAATCATCCATATTTTCTGTTAAAGATTTATTACTTTCAGGAACATTTGTTAAATTTTCACTTATATTAAATGTACTCTTAAATTGTTCTTCCATAATTTTAATAGTATCAGGAATAATTTTTTGAACATATAATTTAAACAGGAAATCATCACAATGGTGTAGTATATTAAGACATTTGGAACTTTCTTCAAGTTCGTTTATTGTATTACCATCAAATGTTATATAGCCAATACCAACTATCTTTTTGCCATAAGTAGAATAGACAGAAACACAACTTTCAGAAGGTAGAAAGCTTAAAATTTTAATGTTATCTACAGATTTAATGTTATTTACTTTGAGCTCATTTTGTATATTTAAGTTAGGTTTTGTATTTTCATTAATTTTTAGTGTAGGAATTATCTGAGGGAATTTCCAAACCATGTATAATGATGGATACAATTTTCCTTTAAATTCAAATAAAGCTGCAACATCTTGAATACAAAATAATTTTATGATATTATTATTATGGGTAATAATTTTGAATAGACTAATTTGTTTGCTTAGTAAATCATCTAACATAGTTTCTTGTACATTTAATGACTTTAAGATTTGTGTTTTTAATTTTTTCCTGAAACAAAATTAAAGTAAAATTTTTTAAATAATTTATTCACATTATAATATATTTTTAAAACTTTTCATAGTAGCAAAATAAAATCTTTAGTTATCATAAAAAACGCTTCGATACAAATCTGTAGATAGTGATTAATTTTAAAAAATTGATGGATTATTCCAAAAGCACGAATGAAAGAAATATATAAATAGTATTTATCATAAAAAAATTGTATTGATCCATATATTTTTCAAAAAGTTATAGCATTATAAAATTAAAACTATAAAAAAGAATTTTTTTTACAAAAATCTTATTGTTTTATTAAATTTGATGTTAGTTTTCACCATGAAAACCAACTAAAGTCTGAAATTTTTCTTTTTCATATTAAAGTTTATTACATAAGCTTTAATTTAATATACATACATAAGTGTCAGTATTTCCGGAAACATAAAAAAATTAAGTTGAAAAAGTTCATTTTTCTATATACATTTTTAAGTTTTGAACCCCTCCTGTATAAAGGATAATGGTCCGATTTGAATGACAAGTATGTCGCATAAAAGAAGAAAATAAATAGTACTTAACATAAAAAATTATAATGATTCATACATTTTTCAAAAAGTTATAGTGTTATAAAGTTACAATTATAAAAAAGAATTTTTTTTACAAAAATCGTATTTTAGTTTCGATGCGAAGCTGAGAATGTAATAGTTTTACTATGATGAGTTCTTTTTTGTGTCTATTACCACATTTTCTCAGTTCTCACCGAACCGATTTCTTTCAACGATACTTCAAAAGATCACAAATCGTATCTTGTCGAAAACATTACCTTCAAAAATTAAAAAAATTTCCTTCGTTCCCCATAAATGGGAGAATCCTCCAAAAAATTAAAATTTAAAATCGGTAATAATTATATTCGACATTTTTAAATTTTTTTTTACCTAAAACTACCATAGCTTTATCAAAAATTACCAAATCAATATAACTTTTTTTTATAGATGCAAGATGTCTTTACCTATCATTTGATATATTTTTTTTTATAAATCCGACCTTGTACCTGCACACGGAAGAGAATTCAAAATAACAACTTTTTCAACTTAACTTTTGAAAGTATTCCGGAAATACTGACACTTATGTAATATACTATATTATGGAAAAAAAAATTCGGACTTTATTTTGTCTTCACGGTGAAAATGGCTACCATATGCTATTTTTGTGTTAAAATTCTCGATTTTATATTTTAAATTCTTATCTTTAAAATACTATAACTTTTTGAAAAATGTATGGATCAATAGAATTTTTTTATGATAAAACTATTTATATACCTCTTTCTTTCGAAATACTTATTTTTTAATAAAACCATTTCCCTTTAAATATATATATATATATTCATATATTACACTTATAAATCATAAAACTTCTATAAAATCTATAAAAAAAAAAATTATATTGATTTGGTCATTTTTGAAAAAGTTATGGCAGTTTTAAGTAAAAATTTTAAAAAAATGTCGAAAATTAATGATTTTTTAAATTAAAATTTTTTGGGGGATATTCCCCATTTACGGGGAACAAGGGAATTTTTTTCAATTTTTGAGAGTAATGTCTTCTATTAGATACAATTTTTGATCTTTTGACGTATCGTTAAAAGAAATCGGTTCGATGAGAGCTGAGAAAATGTGGTAACAGACACAAAAAAAAAACACATCATAATAAAATTAATACCTTCTCAGCTTCACATCGAAGCTAAAACTGGAATTATTTTGGTTCCTAGTCTTTGTATGAACTTAATTTTTTTTAATGACAATATACATATTTAACTAGCTTATAAAATAGAAATGATCTTAATAAGAAAATAATGATCAATAACAATTTTTGGATCAATACTTCAAAATATATTAGCATTTCAATAATTGTTTGGTGATATGACTATTTTTTTTATAAGACATTTCATGGTAGCATTTATCCTAACTAAAAAACACAAAAATAAAATTTTATTTTGTTAGTAAATAAGTGGTTTATAATAAATTGGTTAGTCAGTATTACATCTATGAGTACATTAATTGAAGCAAGGTTATCCATTCAACTTCATGAACACCAAAAATCGTAAAAAAGTTTTTTTAGATTAGTACAATTATGTACAGGGTGATTTTTTTATCATAACCCACTCAATTACTTGCAGAATAATAATAATTTAAACATTTTTTTTTTTCATTATCTTTACACATTATTCTTGAATTTTTAACTATGTAATACTTTTTAAGTTCATCCCTTATGCCTTGGAGGGGGGTCAACTTTGTTTTTTTAAATGGTAACACATATTTTTAATTTAATAAAATGTTTGAGTTTTTAATTTAATAGTAAATGGCATTTGAATTTTTAATATAACTTTATTAGCTTATTAGATATAAACATTTAAAGTTTCAAAATTTTGAGNTTAGATATAAACATTTAAAGTTTCAAATTTTTGAATTAATATACAGGTATAATACACAATGGATAACAAATATAGGTAGCTAATTGGTTTTTTATAACATTGATATTAGCAGGTACACAGCATTGTTATTATCAATTGTAGTAAGGCACATTGTTATGAGTTTATAAATACACTAACTGACAATACAGAAAGTATATCTATTGATAATCATAATTGATAATAAACAATCCGTGACTGAGACAGCAATGTCATAAAAATCCAATTAGCTACCTGTATTTACAATCCCATGTGTATTATACATGTATATTAACTCAAAATTTTGAAACTTTAAATGTTTATATCTAATAAGCTAATAAAGTTATATTAAAAATTCAAATGCCATTTACTATTAAATTAAAAACTCAAACATTTTATTAAATTAAAAATATGTGTTACCATTTAAAAAAACAAAGTTGACCCTCCTCCAAGGCATAAGGGATGAACTTAAAAAGTATTACATAGTTAAAAATTCAAGAATAATGTGTAACTAAAGATAATGAAAAAAAAAAATGTTTAAATTATTATTATTCTGCAAGTAATTGAGTGGGTTATGATAAAAAAATCACCCTGTATAGCTATTTTTTTTTCTATGATTTTTTATTCAAAAAATTATTTTTATTATTCATGAGTTTTTTATTTTACTGTAATGTTATTTTCTATAGCAGGCAACAGTAACACATGGACTGCAGAATATATTTCTACGACCTTCTTTAAAACCAAATAATGTAACTTAATTTCAATTTTTTTTTGGCAATATATATGCTAATATTATATACATAATTTTTTGTGGCCCTCCATAAAAAATATGACCAGTGTATGTCAAATGGTCGCTGACTCTTGTTCTATAAGGGATATGTTCACTTACGTTATCAATTTTAATCTCTGTATTAAGATAGTCAATATTAAAAGATTTAACATCAATGGTGATATTGTAATTAATGTAAAATAGTACATCTACCAAATATGATAACGATTCTTTTATCTATTTTTTTTTTAATAAGCCATGAATATAACTTATTTTGTAGATTAATTTTATTTTTATGAGAATATTTAAAGGCAATTTTCATTATCTATACTTTAGAGAGATTTATTCATTGTTTTTATTAAATCGAAGCATTTATAATTTGTCCAAAAATATCAAACAGCCTCTGAATATGCCATAGTCATTTTATTTGTATAAATAGTATTATAGAAAATATTAACTGCTGGCAAACCTGTGGATAGGGGATAAGAATACTTCCACGGCCCCTCTGGCAGTCGTAAGAGGCGATTAATGAGGTTGTGTCAGGTTGAAAGCCGGCATAAAATTTTTGTCAAATAGTATGAGGTGTCCTGAACAAAACTTAGGCGAATTGTTCCATCTCGGATTTACGCGGAGACAACAGGCGTGAGGGAATAAAGTAATTAAAAACGTAGAAGGCCTAAGGAGTAAAGTGTTTGTTACCAGCCGAACAACTTGTTCGGTAGCTATTTCATCAGTCATGTGTACAGGTCTATCCCCCAACGCCTGTAGTGTCAACGGTGTAGGGACATCACTACTTAAATCTAGACTGGACTCGTGTATAAGGGAGAAAGACAGATACAAAGAAATAATAGGTACTTGGAAAGTTGGAACATTAACTGGTAGAAGTGGAGAATTAGTAGAAGTATTGAAGAGGAGAAAAGTTAATACTTTTTTGGTACAGGAAACTAAGTGAATTGAGGGAAATAGGTGAGGGTTATAAAATAATATACTCAGGTAAGTCTAGTACAAAGAATGGTGTAGGGATAATAATGGATGAGGAGATGAAAAATAAAGTAGTAGAAGTAGCTAGGAAAAGTGATAGAATTAAGGTCGTAAAATTGATACTCGAGGAAAAAGTGTTAAATGTAATAAGTGTCTATGCACCACAAGTAGGATGTTATGAAATTGACAAGGAAGTGTTTTGGAGAGAGATGGATGAGGTACCTGCAAAAAAGCGGTGGTATTGACGAAGATGTAAGACACAGAATTAAGTGTGGGTGGTTGAAGTGGAGAGAAGAATTTGATGTCTTATGCGATAAAAGAATTCCAATAAGGCTGAAAGGTAAATTCTACAAGACAGTAGTGAGACCAGCTATGATGTATGGTTCAGAGTGTTGGGCGGGTGATAAGAAAGTAGAGCAGAGAATGAGTGTAGCAGAGATGAGAATGCTTAAATGGATGAGTGGAGTGACTAGGAAAGATAGAATAAGGAATGAACATATAAGAGGGAGTATAGGTGTAGTGTCAATCGTGGATAAGATGAGAGAAAATAGACTTAGATGATTTGATCATGTTATGAGGAGAGAAAAATTGGAAGCTGTAAGAACAGTTATAGAAATGAATGTTGAAGGTAGGAGAGGTAGAGGAAGATCAAAAAAGAGATGAAGGGATGCTATTGAATGCAATATGAGGACAGCTGATGTGAGCATAGAGGATGTGAGCGATTGTGTCAAGTGGAAGTTTAGGTAAGGGTGGCCGACCCCAAGTATTTGAGATTAAGGTGAGGAAGAAGAAGAAGTACTGCTGGCAAACCAAATCCAATGGTGGTAAATTTTTGGAATAAGAAGATATAAAAATACTTTGTGTACTGAAGACATGGCTTCACAATTAGGACAAACTTAAACACATTATAAACTGATATTTTTTACTTAATATTTTCATAGTCTTAAGTTGATAATCTTAATACATTTCTCCACCATAAAAAAACACAAGCAATACAAGCATTTTCAAAACTAGCTTCTTGAAAATTTTTTAAAAAATCTATGTGATCATAATTCAAATCACAATAATATATAAAATATTGTGGCATCTGAGAATTAATAAATATGGTCAATAATTCTTGTTATGTGGTTGCTTATAGAACAATTCATATTCTCCCTGTATTCTTTACTACATTCAGTAGTGAAATTTATAGAAAACCATTAATGTTCCTATATTACTACATTGAGCATCTATTTTTATTGTCTTTATTAGGCTGCCTAGCTTCATCTGAATAAATTTTAAGACTTTTGTTTGTTTCCTATAATCCTTGCTACATTGATCAGGTTTTAGTGTCTCAAATTTTTCAGAGGTTTCCTGTTCATTTTCAATATTTGTAGCTGACTATAGAAAAAGAGAAATTTTCTCTTTCCATATTTGCTAATTCAACTGATTAATTGCATACTATTTGAGAGGTATAAATGATTTGTTGGTTAAATGTAAATTGATTAATTTTTTTGTTAAAATTTAATTTAATAAAATAATCTTAGTGTGTAAATATTTTCACCATCTAAGTTTTATTGCAAATACGTTTAACAAATTATGTGATAAATTCGTTTTTCAAATGCTTATGACGTATTTTTTTTTTGTTTAATACACATTCAAACTTTGTTAAGAAACTGCTTCAAAAATGATAAATTATATATGAGATACCTAGAGCTGAAGGGATCAAAGAAATAAAAAATTGATTCCAATATAATTAAATTTAAAAAATGATAAATGTTACTTTTTAATGCAGTCTGTTTAAGAAATCAATGATAAATATTAGCATATTAAAAAAATTCACTGTGATCTTTAATACTATTGAACGAGTGATTATTTTATGTTTTAGTATTTAATTATCTGATTTTTTCCCAAAATTTCACTTTGATCAATCCGTTTTGGGTACCTCACATACTATTAAATAAATAAAGAGTCACTCACAGTTCAGTGCCTTTAAGAGAAACATTTGACTTTATCCGGAATTCTTTCTGGAACATGTTTTTCAATCCCAGAATATAACTATATTATACTATCAAGAAAATATTTTCAAATAAAATTTTTTTGAAACCTATTATATAAAAAAATAATTCCAAACCTTTGAATATATATAAGATTGCTTCACTCAATTATTATTAAAATAAATCTAATAAATAAACTTAGATTCCTATTATTATGATAATATTATCACACAATAAAATGTATGTGTTAATATCATTAAACTTATCTAAGATTACAATGACTGATAATATCGGTATTTAAAATTTATTTTTTTTAATAAATAACAAATGATAAGTTAAAACAACAAATTTAATATAATAAAATTAGTGTAACATCTTAGAATTCCATTCAAAAATGTCCGAATTCAAAGTTCCATATAAGGTAATTCTATATGTTCACAACAATACAAAAAAGAGCTATTTTTTATAAAAAAAATTAAATCTTACACCAGAAATTAAGTTATTTTAATTATTATTATTTTTTTATCAAAATTTAAACTCCCTTTGTACTTGGATTAATATTTGGATTTTCAAAAAAAGTATATTATCAGCAATGTCTAAAATATTGTCAATTAAGATTTTGTAACATGTCTAGTTTTCAATGAAATATTTCAATATAAATGAATTCTACAAATATTTACATTGATCATTTTATAATATTTTGGAACATTTTTTTTTATTGAGGTGAATTTTTCTAAATATTGATATTGATAGCTTCAACTATTAGCTACAATTAGTGATTTTTTGATGCATTATTGAGCCAGTAAGAATAGAGTTCATAATGATAGATGCACAAAACAAAAATAAATGAGGTAGTAAAACCAATACCTTCATAGCTGTTCATCAAAGCTATATATAATATATTTCACTATATTTTTACATTCATATATATATATATATATATATATGTGTGTATTATATTTTTTCTCCAGGCATGTCCATACCACTTTAACCTTCTTTTTGCAGTATTCCTTGATATGCACAGTTTTTGAAACACAATTTGAAGCTCCTCATTGGTTTGTATTCATTCTCTGATTTGTGGGTTGTGGCACTCTGTAGAAAATGTGTCCTTCCATTTTCACATGTTGATACAATTTATCTCTTCTACTAAGTTTCATATATTCCATCTTTTTGTCATTTATTATGAGACCAACTTTACTTACAGCATCCATTACTTTCTTACAATGTTTCTTTATCATCTCCATGTTGTCTCCTATGATGACAGTATCATCTACATATGCTAGCAGGTCTATCTTTGACTAATCTAGTGTTAAACCTTCTGATATGTTCATATTTTTAACTACCTTTTCCAGTACTAAATTAAAAAAAACGGTGAGAGTGTATCTCCTTGTCTCAAATCAATGGTTACTTTAAACAATTGAGATGTAAAACTTGCTATTTTAATTTTTATTTCAGAATTTTCCATGCTGGTTTTAGTGAGATTAATGACTTTTTTTGGGAAATTAAAGTCTTTTAATATATTTAATAGACCCGGCCTATGTAAAGAGTCGTGTGCTTTTTTAAAATCTACAAACAATGTATATACTTCCTTTTTGTACTCCTACATTTTTTGGAATACATGTTTTCTAATAAAGATTTGGTCTGTGGTTTACCTGCTTAGTTTGAATCTTTCTTGATAATTTCCCAAGATTTCTTCAGAGTTCGTTTAATTTTTCTAGGGTGCAATACAATAACATTTTGTTAATCATGTTGAGTAAAGCAATAATATAATTATTGCTCTAGAGGATCGTCCTTTTTATGTATCGGGCATACTAATTTGATTCACCAATTCCCCGTAATCCTTTTTTCTTTCCAGATCTATTAGGTTTTGTAAATATAATATGGTTTCTTCATCTAAACTCTTTAAAATTGAATTCTGGATCGCATTAATTTATAACCTCTTAGTTTGTTGTGCTATCTCAATTATAGGGGGTATTCATCTTCATTGGGTTCTATATCAGTCCAAGCAAATGAATCTATGGCATCCTCACAGTTAAAGAGATTCTGTCGCTATTTTTAAGAAACTTTACTTGTTTCATAAATCCTTTTCTAATGACATTGATATTTTGTAATAGCTGACGTGGCCTATTCATTTGGTACTCTTCTATTTATTTTAACATGATCTTGGTATATCTTCTTTTTTCGTATCTGATTATGTTATTTAATGTTTTTTTGTATACTTTATAGTTTTTTTGGCATGTTCTTGGTCATTTAGCCATTAATTTCTAAATTCTTTTTTCCATTTTAACGGTTTCATACATGTCTCGTTGATCCATAGTTTTCTAGTTTTTCTTTTTTTCCATTACAACCTCAGCTACATTATTTATGATGCCCTTTACTTTTTCCACCTTTCATCTGATGAATCTGTTCTATTAGCATTACTGTTATTGAAAAATTGATGTATCTTATGTCTGAAAGTATAATGACAGTTTGGATTATCCATCCAAGTTATATAAAAACTTAGTTACATTTAAAAAATAATAAAAATATGCTAAAATTCTTATACTAAAAAAATCATTGAAAATACTTAATTACCAGACATGTATATCTATAGACTATTGAATAGTTAAAAATTTCAATGGTAGTATTGATAATTATTCATATAAATAATATTATTTATTTGAAAATTTTTTTATGGAATATTCAAATTTTATTGCAGCGATATCGTAGAGATGACCAAGAGTCAAATTCAGAAGATGAAGAAGATTATACACCATACGTACCTGTTAGAGAAAGAAAAAAACAAGAGTTATTAAAATTGGGTAGACTATCTAAAGTAATACAATAAATTATTTTATTATTAGTAATATGAAAAATTAATGTTATTTTTAATAACACAAATATTTGTCAAAATTAAATTAAATATGTTAAAAGTTATTGATGTACATGATTGTACTACGTGATTTGAATTGCTTCATCTTCATCTAGTTGCCAATAACTTTTTAACATTTTTTGGCTTTGTTTTCACAAGATATTTTTATTATTAATTAAAGTGTCATATTTTTTTACATAAAATTATATTTAATAGTTAAAACAAGAAACTAACAAAAAATCATCTAGTGATGAATTTGATGAAGAAGATGGAGAAGGGCAAGTATGGGGTCGAAAGTCTAATATAAGTCTTTTAGATCAACATACAGAACTTAAAAAACTTGCTGAAGGTAAAAGTATATTATTATTATATTGAATAAAATATTATTCATTTTTCATATATATTTTATTATAACAATTAATGTGTTAATGAGTGTTTTTTCCAAATTTTACTAGTTAATAAAGTTTTCTCTCTCAATAAAAATTATATTTGTTACTGTTCTATTTGACTCAAATTAATACTATATTTTTAATATTAATTCCATGAAACTCGCATAGTCCACCTCAATCAAAATGTTGTTTTTTTCGATTTATATATTCTCTTTTTTTAAATTATTTAATGCAGCTCTATATAATTTGTTTTTATTTTTATTCTTATATTATTAAACTCTCCCTCATAATATTATCATGGTAATTGAAAAAAATAATGCATTTATTATACCTTAACATTTTGATTCCTACTATGAAGTATACATGAACAGTAGGAGTCAAACGATTTAGAACATTATTCATTGAATGATTGTATGTTAATTTATTTTCTATAGCTAAAAAGGAGAGTGAAATGGAAAAACAGCTAAAAGAAGAAGAAAAAATTTTAGAGAGTGTAGCAGAAAAAAAGGCTCTTATGGGTGTTGCTGAATTGGCCAAAGGGATTCAGTATGATGATCCTATTAAAACCAGGTATTTTCATGAAATAATTGAATTATACAGAGTGATTCCTTAACTACACCTCACAAAATATCTTCAAAAACATTAAAACTAACTAATCAAAGTTTTTTTTTAAAATAGTGGTAGCAGAAAATAAATTTTTTGTGTAAAGAATCTCAATAAAAAACCATTATTGTTATAAATTGACGGTGTAGCCGAATCAGAACGGGGCAGTGCTTGACGTGCACTGCCTCACTGAAACTTGGTCACGGGTGGCTTCATTTGCCAAACAAGAGATCACTTCAGTAATTGGAGTAACCATCCTACTCTCCGGCGACAGACCAACCACCCTTCCCGGAGTATAAATGGTTGAGAAACCTCCTCCTTTAGAGGAGGCCGCTATGACCCTTAATGGATTAATAAGAGCGTTTAAAAAAAAAATTGTTATAAATTATGATTAGCTCTAATATTTTCAAAAATATTTGTGAGATGTAGGAATGACCCTGTATAAAAAATTATCTTGTAGTTAATATCAATAAGAATATTTTAGAATTAATAAAGTTACTGATTTATATTTATAAATTATGTTTTCTTTCTATAATTAGTTGGAAACCTCCTCGGTACATTTTAAATATGACAGAAGATTTTCATGAAGAAATACGCCGTAAACTTCATATATTAGTTGAAGGCGAAGAAATCCCACCACCAGTTAAATCATTTAGAGAAATGAAATTTAATAGGGGTATATTAGTAGGCTTAGCACAAAAAGGAATTAAAAAACCAACACCTATTCAAATACAAGGAATTCCAACTGTGTATGTTACGTTATTTAAAATATTTAATATTATTAAATTATATTTATGACACTTTTTACTTTTAAGCTACATTCTAGATCCATAATACTTGCTTCATCAAATAGGCTTTTTATTTCTTCTTTTTTCTAATTTTAAATTGATTAAGTTATGTGCAGTTAAATTACCAAGTAACTAAATTATTTTTAATTTTATAGATTATCGGGTAGAGACATGATTGGTATAGCATTTACAGGTAGTGGTAAAACATTAGTTTTTGTTTTACCACTTCTTATGTTTTGCCTTGAACAAGAAGTCAAACTACCATTCAAATCAAATGAAGGACCATATGGTAATTTTAAAACAAATACTTAGTAAAAATTTAATATTACATTTATTAACTAAATATTTACCTAGGACTTATTATATGCCCATCAAGAGAATTAGCTAAACAAACTTTTGATATTATTAATCATTATATCACATACATACAACGAGCTAATTATCCAAAATTGAGATCATGTTTAGCAATTGGAGGAGTTCCTGTTTTTGAATCATTAGATGTGATTAAAAGGTAAAATTGATGGTATATTTTTATTATTTAAAACTATATGTATGTATATTTAATTTATGAATACAGAGGAGTACATATAATGGTTGCAACAACTGGTCGACTTATGGATATGTTGGATAAGAAAATGATAAATTTGGATGTATGTAGGTATGTTTATAAAAACTTCTGAAATAATAAATTCATTAAATAACTATTTTTATAACAATAATTTTAGTAATTTGTTGTTTTATTAATCTATATTTTCAATATGTATCATTATAATGATTATATTAGATATCTGTGCATGGATGAAGCTGATCGTATGATTGATATGGGTTTTGAAGAAGATGTGAGAACAATATTTTCATTCTTTCAGGTACAATAACTATAGTTTTTTTAAATTTATATAAAAAAAAACCCAGCACAGGGGGGTCGCGGCACAGTGGTGACGTGGCATAGTTGGATCAAGTATAATGATATCTGATAGTGATTAAAATCACTATCAAAAATAAACGCTTCGATGCAAATCTTTAGATAGTGTTTAATTTTAAAAAAATTGGTGTTTTATTCCAAAAGCTACTTGATCTGCTGGTTCCTTATTAATATCTCGATTAAGATAAAGTATGTCGAATGAAAAAGGGTTTATTAAAAAATATTATTTCTCATAAAAAAATTGTGTGGATCCATAAACTTTTCAATAAGTTATAGCATTATAAAGTTAAATATAATATAAATAATAAAATCGAGAATTTTCACACGAAAATAGCATTCGGTAGCCATTTTCGCCGTGAAGACAAGTCCAGAGGTCAAATTTTTTTTTTTCAAATTAAAGTATATTACATTAGCTTTAATTTAAGATATATATAAAAGTGTCAGACCTTCCGGAACATTTTCAAAAGTTATTTTGAAAAAATAAATTTATTGTGAAAAAGTTGTCATTTTAAATCCCCCCCTGTGGGCAGGTTAAGTGTCAGATTTACAAAAAAAAAATACCAAATGATAAGTAAAGACATCAAGCATCTATATAAAAAAAAATTATATTGATACGTTCATTTTTGAAAAAGTTACGGCATATTTTAATAAAAAAAATTGAAAAAATTTCGAAAATTAGCGATTTTTAAATTTGTAATTTTTTTGGAGGTTTCCCCCATTTACGGGGAACGAGGGAACTTTTTTCAATTTTTAAGGGTAATGTCTTCGACTAGATACGATTTGTGATCTTTTGACGTATCGTTGAAAGAAATCCGTTCGGTGAGAGCTGAGAAAAAGTGGTAACAGACACGAAAAAAAAAAAAAAACTCATCTTAGTAAAATCAATACCTTCTCAGCTTCGCATCGAAGCTAAAATGTGATAAAATTTTTACTTTTTATAATAATTTTAAGTTATTTAGTAATAAATCTAAAATAAGAATTAATGAAGAATATAACTGTGGACCATACTCAATTAGTAGGATTGGATACATTCACTATTAATCATTCAGCCAGTCATTTTCAATTTTTGGGACTAATAGGCATGAGTATACCTGCTTGCAAACAGTAAATAGCTCCCCATACTGAGTAAGAAAGACGTGTAAATTGTGTAGTATACCGAAAGGAGAAGTTAATATTTGGTGACCTTTATGGCACAGGGCTTATCATAGTATATAACCTTACAATAGTGCCAAGCTCTACTATGATTAGCCTTTATCAGCTTCTTGTAGGAACAGAATGGAAATACCATAAGAAGGGATAGTCTTGTGAAAATCAAGGATCTAATTAAAGAAAACCTGTAAGAACAAGAGTGAAAACAACGAGGCTCATTAGAAGATGGTTGGATAATTTAAAACAGTAATGCTAGGAATGAGGTATCTAATGATGAACCTTGATAGTAGTGGGACCTTTGATGGTGAATTATAAACTAGCAAAAAGACAAAAGAAAATTCAACATATAGATTCCAGAAGTGATAAGATCAACTGGCATTATTACGGACTAAATTAAAAAGATATAGAATTATCTTGTGAAAGCAGTGATCTAACTAAATAAATGTCCAAGAGTAAAAACAGTGAAGCTCCATAAAGCTAAATATACGTAACGTGGTGAATCGGTTAAAGGATTAAAATAAACCTTTCAATAATAAAATGAGTAATTAGAAACTCTGATTGTTTATTTTATTAACACGGCTAATACATGAACACTATAATATGAAATTAAATAATTAATACAATTTAAATGCACATGGTTTAGGCTGGCTGGCTTAGACTGAAAAAGTTAAGTTAGCAAATTCCATAGTGTTTGACCGAGGCCAACACCTATAACCTAATGCTGCTATAACTTACAAAATTTTATACACATGTAAAAAAAACAAAGTATAAAATAATACAGTAATTCAGGGTATTGTAACACATCTTAAATTTTGGTGATAAATCAATTTTTATCGTAATATTCGGAATGGGGTGCACACAATGGGCTACAAAATCTGAGTGTATGGCAGTGACTATGTCCATCCTTTTAAAAACTAAAATTAAGAGTTAACTCTCAATTGTTCAAACATAGTCCAAGCTAACTTTATGTGTTTATACATTTTTCTAGGGTCAAAGGCAAACTTTATTGTTCTCTGCTACTATGCCAAAAAAAATCCAAAATTTTGCCAGATCAGCCCTTGTTAAACCAATTACCATTAATGTTGGGCGTGCTGGTGCTGCATCTATGAATGTTATTCAAGTAATTTTTTTTTTTAATTTACTTAATGATATTAACATCTAAATTATTGGTTTGTAAAATTTTCATTTTGGTTCATATTAATATTAATTAGAGTTGTTACATTTTAAACATGCAATGTTGAAAACACCAAAAATTAAAAAATTTAAATTGTTAATGGGACGTTTTAAACTGTTTACTTATGTTTTTTATAGGATATAAAAAAAACTTGTTTTTTTAACAACCTTGGTATTAATATATATGTTTTGAAATTTCAGGAAGTTGAGTATGTTAAGCAAGAAGCAAAAGTTGTTTATTTATTAGAATGCTTAAAAAAAACAATGCCTCCGGTTTTGATATTTGCTGAAAAAAAACAAGATGTTGATGCTATTCATGAATATTTGTTACTTAAAGGAGTTGAAGCTGTAGCTATACACGGAGGAAAAGGTAATAAAAAATTATCCTGATATACTTTATAATTAAAATACACATAATTGATAATTAATCTATACTAGTAACACATTTATGAATTTTTTTTTATTATATTTATAACTTGGAAAAAACTTTATAAAAATATTTCATAAAATAATTGGATACCAAATTAATACATTCAATGCTATTTTAAAATACAAAAAAAATTCAATGTACAGTATAGTAGTAGTTATTTATTATTTTGGTTTACCCAAATAAAAAATTCAATAATATTATATATAAATATCACTATTATGAATAAACTCATCAAAAATACATTACACAAGATGAAAACGATTTAACTAAAAACTGTTATAACTTTCGATACAATTATAATTTTGTTAAATTTTTTTTAAATAATTTATGTATTATTAGGCTATTTTAATCATTTTTTGTATTATTTACATAATAAAAAAATAACATTTTTTTATTTTTTGAGTTTATTATTAAATAATAACTCAAAAATTACTTATAATAGTGTTAATTGTATCAAAAATTATAGGAGTTGTCAGTTAGATCTGTTTTACTCATTTATAAGTAATTAATTTGTTAAAATTTATATTTATATTTTATCATTAAATAAAACATTGTCTACTAATAATTAAATTTAATTAAAATTTATATGCACCCAAAAAAACTTAAAAAAATATCAATGTCTAAAATCCAAAAAATATCAATCTTAGAAAACTAGGACCTATTAAACTTTTATTCATAAACAACTGTAGCACCAGTAAAACCATAAACCGAAAAAAAATTGTTTTGATTTGAAGTTCTGCAATATAGTGGAAGTGCTTTAGCAGCCAAACATTCCTACTAAATTTGTCACTTATCACATTTATTTAATAATAATAATAATAATATAATAAACAGAGCTTACTCAAGATATTTTTCTATAATTTTTCTTAACTCTAATTATAGAAGACATCTTTTATATTTTTCGTTAATCTCTTTTCTCTAAATATCATATATTTTGAATGAAAACACCAAAGAAATTTAAAATGCCCCAGAAAAGTTGCATTTGTGTTAAGTTGACTCCAATAATAATTTACTTATATTTTCTTGTAAAAATAGTTACTAGTTGTTTGAATATCTAGTTAATGCCTCCTATAATTTTATTTTATTTTATTTTGTTCCTAACCTTAATAATCAAATTTATATATTGACCTTGGTTATTTATGTAGATCAAGAAGAACGGTCTAAATCTGTTGAAGCGTTTAGAAAAGGTCAAAAGGATGTATTAGTTGCTACTGATGTTGCTTCTAAAGGTTTAGATTTTGAAGATATACAACATGTAATAAACTATGACATGCCTGATGATGTAGAAAATTATGGTAATAAATTATACAGAATGATTTTTTATCATAACAAACTTAATTACTTGCAATAAAATCATTATGAATTATTTTTTTTGACACTTTTAATAACATAATGTTCTCGAATTATAAGATAAGTAAATTTATTTAAGTTCATCCTTTAGCTTTGGAAGGGTGTCAACATCGTTTTTTTTTTAATGGGAACACACATTTTGATTTTAATAAAATGTTTTAGGTTTTATTTTAATAGTAAATGTTGTTTGAATTTTTTACATAAATTCATCAATTTATTAAATATAAAACTTAAAATTTTCAAATTTTTGAATTAATACACGAGGGATTACAAATACAGGTAGCTAATTGCTTTTTTATAATACTTTTCATAGATAGGCATCGTTTATTGTCAATTATGACTTTATCAACAGATATACCTAAAGTTTGATAGTATATAAATCACAAGGTTATGAATTAATATTTATAAATACAACAACTAGCAATATAGAAATAATATCTATCAATAAAGTCATTATTGACAATAAACACTGCATATCTATGAATAATAATGTAAAAAAGCAATTAGCTACCTATATTTGTAATCCCTCATCTATTATAAATGTATATTAACTCAAAAATTCTAAATTTTCAGGTTTTATATTTAATAAATGAATAAAGTTATGTTAAAAAGTTTTATAGTTTAATGATTTTTTCCTAGCCTTCAGGATAATTAAAAAAAAATAATAATAAAAAACCCAACCCAGCACAGTGGGGTTGTGGCATAGTTGGGTCCAGTATAGATGATATCTGACAGTGATTAAAATCACTATCATAAAAAACGCTTCAATGCAAATTTGTAGGTAGTGTTTAATTAAAAAAAAAAAAATTTGTTAAAATAGCATATTAACACGCTTTTATTAGTTTCACGTGTATGTTTGTTGTTTGTTTGTAAGTTTGTAACTCTCCAAACGCCACGCGTTATCGCATATTCCGTTGTCTAGACTAGACTGTTATACGCATTCACCCCTCCCCACGCCTCGCTCACAATACGACGGTACACTATTCCTATAAAAATTTATTTTTAGTTATCGTACCCGTACACGCGTGCTTGTCATCAATATTATATATATGTAAACAAATTTTTATTTTGACTGACCAATAACGCCCGCGTCTAATGCGCCTTACGTATATATATATATATTCCTACCGCCGTTTATACCTCGGGTATAACGTTAGTCCGACCCGCCCGGCCATAAAACACAGCTATACTTAGTGCATGATACTTTTACGTAGTTAAGTCGCANATTTACATGCAGAAGATAAAGTATCGGGACAAATTTTTTTTTTTCATTTTATAGCACATAAAATAAACTTTAATTTGATATATGTTTAAAGGACGCAGTATTTCCGGAACATTTTCAAAAATTAAGTTGAGAAAGTTAGTTTTTGTAAAAAAGTTGCTATTTTAAATCCCCCCCCCCATGAGCAGGTTAAGTGTTCGATTTTCAACAAAATGATATCAAAGGAAAGGGAAATATCTAAGGTTTTAGTAGAAAAAAATATTATGTTGATTTGTTTATTTTTCAAAAAGTTATGGAAGTTTTAAGAAAAGAAAGTGAAAAAAATGACAAGATTTACCGATTTTTAAATTTGTAATTTTTTTGGATATTTCCCCCATTTTCGGGGAACGAGGGAATTTTTTTCAATTTTTAATGGTAATGTCTTCAACTAGATACNGAACGAGGGAATTTTTTTCAATTTTTAATGGTAATGTCTCCAACTAGATACAATTTGTGATCTTTTGACGTACTTTTGAAAGAAATTATAATAAGAAGTTATGAAATTTTGGGATTATTATTTGAAAAGCTTGAGGATTTATCCATGTTTGCAGTTGATTGCTAACATTCCGGACTCATTGCAGAGTCCATCTTCGGAACGATAGTTACTGATCGGTGACTGAAACTATACTGGCGGATTATTTTGTTATCGGTCTGTTTTTATACGTTGATTGTTTATCATATCAGTTGTTTACCGTATCGGTTGTTTATCATATCTGTTTATGACTCATCATGTTGTTTTTGCTGATGTTTTTGTTGACGACTTTGTTTTTGATTATTGTTGTTGTTTTTGAAATTCTTGGCTTTTTGGTCTTCCTTTTTTCACCGACAGTTTTCCATTACGTTGATAGTAACTTTTTCTTGTACTGAAATGTTTTCAGTGTTGTTAGTTGATTTTCTTTTTGTCTGGTGTATGATGGGTAACCAAGTTTTGCTTATTTTCCATCCGTCTACTCTGTTGANTGTATGATGGGTAACCAAGTTTTGCTTATTTTCCATCCGTCTTCTCTGTTGAAATTCTCAGGACATTGTTGGATTTCTATTTCCTCTTTGTTGTACATTCGTTTGCCAAAATGAGTTTCTTTGTTTAGTATTTTTACTTTATCAAATTAGATGTCATGTCCTTTGTTTTTAGTATGTTCGGCTACTGCGGAATTTTCTGTCCTTTGGTAATCCACGTCTTTTTCGTGTTCTTTTATTCTTGTTGCAATAGCTCTTCCTGTTTGTCTGATGTAGGATTTACCACAAGAGCAGGGTATTTTATATACTGCGGGTGTTTGCAACTCTGGTAGCTTATCTTTCGGGTTCCGAAGTAGTGATCCTGCGACTGTGTTCAGTTTAAAAACAGTTCTTAGTTTAAGTTTTTGTGCGATTATTGAGATGCGGTCAGTGATTCCCTGTATGTACGGAAGTATTAAAGTTCCTTTCTTTTCATCTTCTTTGTTTTCTTCATCGTCATTGCATGTTGTGTTTTTTCTTTTCTCTGTTTTTCTGATTGCCTTGTTGATATTTTTGATTGTGTATCCATTGTTCTTGAGTGCTTGTCGTAGGTATGTTTTTTCTTCATTCACGTGGTTTTCATCAGCTATTTTGACGGCTCTTGTTACCATTGTGTGTAATAGTCCCATTTTTTGTGAGGGGCAGTGGTATGAATCGGCATGTAAATATTTATCAGTATGTGTACTTTTTCTGTATACTGCTGTGCCGAATTTTCCATTAGGTTTTTTATTAACCATTACATCCAAAAATGGCAATTTGCCGTTTTCTTCTGTTTTCATAGTGAATTGTATGTTGGCATGTATGCTGTTTAAATGTTGCAGGAAAAATTGTAGTTTGTCAACGCCATGTTGCCATACGACGAAAGTGTCGTCTACATACCGTAGCCACATTTTTGTTTTTTGCGTATACATGTTCATTGCTTCCACTTCAAACCATTCCATGAATATGTTGGCGAATACTGGTGCTAGTCTTGATCCCATTGACATTCCATCAGTTTGTTCATAGATGTTGCCTTGGTATGTGAAAACTGTTGTTTTGGTGCACAATTCCAGTAAACTATGTAGTTTTTCGTCTAACCATTATTGTTCTTTTATGATATTCAGTGTGTCCTTTACTGGTACCCTTGTGAATAACGAGACTACGTCGAAGCTAACCAGAATGTCTCCGTCTTCCCAGTTGGTTTGTTGCAATTTTTCCACAAAATCAGTCGAGTTTTTTACATAGGAAGATGTTTTTCCAGTGTAGGTTTTCAAAATTTGTGCTAAGTGACGTTCCAGGTTATATGTCGGCGAGTTTATGATACTGACTATTGGTCTGAGCGGCACGTCATTCTTGTGTATTTTTGGGTCTCCGTAAATTCTTAGTAGTCTTGGAACCGTCACTAGTAGTTGTTTTCATTCTTTTTCGTCTAGTATTGCTTTCTTTGTTTCATCATCAACAGAGTAGACGGATGGAAAATAAGCAAAACTTGGTTACCCATCATACACCAGACAAAAAGAAAATCAACTAACAACACTGAAAACATTTCAGTACAAGAAAAAGTTACTATCAACGTAATGGAAAACTGTCGGTGAAAAAAGGAAGACCAAAAAGCCAAGAATTTCAAAAACAACAACAATAATCAAAAACAAAGTCGTCAACAAAAACATCAGCAAAAACAACATGATGAGTCATAAACAGATATGATAAACAACCGATACGGTAAACAACTGATATGATAAACAATCAACGTATAAAAACAGACTGATAACAAAATAATCCGCCAGTATAGTTTCAGTCACCGAGCAGTAGCTATCGTTCCGAAGATGGACTCTGCAATGAGACCGGAATGTTAGCAATCAACTGCAAACATGGATAAATCCTCAAGCTTTTCAAATAATATGACAATCCATGAAAGTTTCAACACATTAATTTTTTTTCACTTCAAAGAAAAATAAAAAATCCTGGGAACAAAATTTTTCGAAAACGACCAAAATATGGGACACCTTAATATACAAAGTAGTCTACAATATTTTGACAAATCTAATAACAAATAATAAAAATTATGATTTTAACGTTATCTAAGAATTCATAAATTATTATTTTATTTTTATTTATTATTAATTTTTATTGAAACAATCATGAATCTTAATCAGTACAATTAAATGTCTTTTATAAATATACAATTAATAAATGCACAAGTATACTAATTAATAAAGATACATACAAGTACAAAATGAATGGGACTTACTTCCCGTGAAGTGGTCCCTAATTTAGTAGTAACAAAATAATATTTAATTTGTAAAATAAGTATTTATAAATTTAAAACAAGTCATATGATTTGACGTATTTTTAACGTCTTAGGTCATTGGAATTATCCAAAAGTTGAATTGCCACAAAGTTTTCATGGTGTTTCAACCTTGTTATATACCCACGTGCAAATCAGACTTCATCTGCTATGGTTGAAAACATTATGATAAATTATTTTTAAAAAAATTATAACGAAATGTTAATTGAATCAAAAGTTATTAGAGTTGTCCGGTAGACCAATTTCATTCTATATGTATATATATATATATATATAAATTTATATATGTATGTGAGGGGATTAAAGCTAAAGTAGAATAAGTCAATTTTTATAATTGTTCAGAAGTCATTTGTAAAATTTTAATCCAATAAGGACAAATATGTAGTAATAGTATTCTTTCAAAACATGATTGCTATTGATAATACCAAATAAAGTGTTAAGTTTGATATATTTATTTTCAGGCAACTCATTTTACTCAAAAATTTACTTGTACTACTTTTTCTCTAACTATCATTTATAAATATGTACAGGGTGATTTTTTTATCATCTGTATATATACATCTTATACTTTATGTTTATCAAAAAATTTAATTTCAGTTCACAGAATTGGTAGAACAGGTCGGTCTGGTAAGAGGGGAATAGCTACTACATTTATCAACAAGGCAAATGATGAATCTGTTCTATTAGATTTAAAACATTTACTAATTGAAGCACGTCAAAAAGTACCTATGTTTTTGGCAGAATTAGAATCAGAAAATGAAAAATATTTGCAGCTTGGAGGTAATTTCATTTATAATTTTTAAAAAACCATGATAATTTTTCTTGATTCTAAAATTTCTTAATTTTAGATGAAAGAGGTTGTAGCTACTGTGGTGGTTTGGGTCACAGAATTACTGATTGTCCTAAACTAGAAGCAATACAAACTAAACAAGCGTCAAATATTGGACGAAGAGATTACTTAGCTAATAATGCAGCAGATTACTAATGAAATATTTTGGAATTTATGATTACTGATTATTATGTTGTTATTAAAACTATTTGTAACATTTTGTATATAAAATTTAATTGTAAAAAATAATAATTCAATAAATGTTTATAATTTTTTTAACTTTTTGACAATTATAATCTCAATGCCTTAGTCCACTTTTAACCTCAAACTAGTTTGAAGTGAAACACTATCACAGCAGTAATGATGTTACTTTTAAGTAATGTAGTTTACAAAAAGTATTTGAATTACAACTTCTAATTAGTCTTACAAGTTTGCTTAGGAAAACAAAATTTTTAAGTGCTATCCATAGTTGATTCCTGTTAATACTATCATAAGCCTGCATATTTTAAAATCAATAAACATCATACATAAGTCTTTGTCATATTCATATTTTTCCATCATTTGTCATATGATATATATATGATCACTGGTCGATTTTCCTTTTCGGAAGCCACATTAGTATTCACCAATTATCTATGAGGTACACTAATTTTTCATATGAACTTTGACTGGTATTTTATTCTGCGCTGTCATAGATTGTAAAAGTACTCTTTGAAGTTTTCTATAATCATTTTGGGATCACAAACTATATTGCCGTTACCATATTTCTTAATAATCGTCCGTGTTTTAAATTCTTAACGGATTTGCAGTTTACAAAAAATAATTTTTGATACTTTTTGTATATTTCTATTTTTCTAACGTGCTGTTCTTAGCAATTATTTTCTATAATTTTATTATTTTATTTACTGTATACGTAATCTTTTGAAGTTTTTCACGTCACATTGGAAGGGTATTGTGTCATGATTGTTCTTGCTACCTGGCGTTTTTTAATCACATTTTGACATTCATCGTTGAACCAGTGGTTTTTCCTTCATGTTTGTCTCGTTTCAGATTTTGTTGGGTTACATTTAGCAATTTCCGTAGTTACTTTACATCTAAACGTTTTAATTTCAACCTCACTTTTTATCTTGTCTGTATCTAATTTAGTATACTTCCATTTTGTTGATGTATTTTCCATTTAGCTTAAAGTTTGAGGGAGAATTTTGATAGACAGTGGTACCTCCTGTATGTTCTCATATTAATAATACTTGGCTGATGACGTTTATCTATTATGACATGATAAATATAAGTTTTAGCTTCGATGCGAAGCTGAGAAGGAATTGGTTTTACTAAGATGTGTTTATTTTTTTTTTGTGTCTGTTACCACTTTTTCTCAGCTCTCACTGAACCGATTTCTTTCAATGATACGTCAAAAGATCACAAATCGTATCTACACGAAGACATTACCCTCAAAAATTGAAAAAAAATCCCTCATTTCCCGTAAATGGACGAAACCTCCAAAAAAATTACAAATTTAAAAAACGCTAATTTTCGAAATTTTTTCAATTTTTTTTACTTAAAATTGCCATAACTTTTTTAAAAATAACCAAATCAATATAACTCTTTTTTTTATAGATTCATGATGTCTTTACCTATCATTTGGTATATTTTTTTTATAAATCTGACTTTTTACCTGTCCACAGGGGGGGATTTAAAATGACAACTTTTTCACAATAAATTTACTTTTTCAACATAGCTTTTGAAAATGTTCCGGAAGGTCTGACACTTTTATATATATCTTAAATTAAAGCTAATGTAATGCACTTTATTATGGAAAAAAAAAATTTCGGACTTTATTTTATCTTCACGGTGAAAATGGCTACCGAATGCTATTTTTGTGTGAAAATTTTCGATTTTTAACTATATTATAGTATAAATTTATGAAAAATGTATGGATCAATACAATTTTTTCATGAGAAGTAGTATATATGTACATCTTTCATTCGACATACTGTTTTTTGAAATCGGACTATTTCCCTATATACAAGGGGGGTTTAAATCTAAAAAATGCATGTAGAAAGTAGAACTTTTTCAACTTAACTTTTGAAAGTGTTCCGGAAAGTCTGACACTTTTATATATATATTAAATTAAAGCTAATGTAATATACTTTATTATGGTAAAAAAAAATTTCGCACTTTATTTTATCTTCATGGTAAAATTGGCTACCGAATGCTATTTTTGTGTGAAAATTCTCGATTTAATTTTTTTATTTTTAACTTTATAATGCTATAACTTATTGAAAAGTGTATGGATCAACATAATTTTTTTATGAGAAATAATAATTTTTAATAATCCCTTTTTTATTCGATATACTTTTTCTTAATTAGGATATTAATTTCGAAATAGCAGATCATGTTGCTTTTGGAATAATCCACCAATTTTTTAAAATTAAACACTATCTAAAGATTTGCATCGAAGCGTTTTTTTTTGATAGTGTTTTTAATCACTGTCAGATATCATTATACTTGATCCAACTATGTCGCGACCCCCCTGTGCTGGTTTTTTTTACTTTTTTAGAGTCGAAAAAGTAATTTTTAAATTTTAGTTGGCTTAAATATCCAATTTTTTAGCTTCGATGCGAATTTTTTATATGTAAATACTAATTTTTGATAATATTAAAACTTAGAAGTGATAGAAAAAGTCTAATTGCAGATTTGAAACACATCGCGAAAAGTTTATTTAGAATGGTATATTTTTGTTACTGATGAAAGTTCCTTGTAATTCAGTGCATTTATTTATAGTAACAAATAGTTTTTATTGAAATTTATTGTATCAAGCCCTTTAAATTTTTATACACGTAAAAATAAAGCAAAATACAACTTCTTTATTATTTTTATAATTTCTCCGTTTAAATTACAATATTAAATTATTGAATATCAATTTCATACTAAATTTAATAATTATAATTAGTATTTATTCATATATTATATTTTAAAATCAAAGAACTGTTGTGTTACCACCACTTTATAAAATAATTTATTTTGTGAATATAAATATATGTATGATTGATAGGGACATCCGTATGCGGATGTCCCCTTGATTTCTTGGTATGACTATTTTGCAGCAATAGTCAGTCTAGTGTTGATAGTCTAGTGTCTAGTGTCTACCATTATAGAACTAACATTATAATTGTAAAGCATATTCTTATTTTGAAATGTTATTATGAAAGTTTACTTTATATCTATATACACATTTATATTAATTGTTATATTTCTCTTGTAACGTGATATTTTTCATATAATATATATTACTATTTATAACCAGTATTTCTATCGAAAGTGTTAAATTTATTTCTTTATAAATAATCACTATTTCCTATACACATCTTGGAGGACTCTGTGCGGATAGCTCAATAGGGAATCCAGACGGTAACCCGAACAACAAATAAATATTAAAATTTCCTCAGGCGAGCCTTACAGGTCCGCCACAGAACTACTAATTAGGATATAATCAAAGAAATAAGAGTTGATGTTGCTTTTGGAATAATCCATAAAGTTCTCTAAATGAAACACTATCTACAGATTTGCATCGAAGCGTTTCTTATGATAGTGATTTTAATCACTATCAAATATCATCTATACTTGTCCCATCTATGCCTTGTCTACACTGTGCCTCGACCCCACTGTGCTACCGTTTTTGTTTCTTTGAAGTCGAGAAAAATAACTTTAAAATTTGAACTAGCTAAATTTACATTTTTATTAAGTGACGAATGAAACTAATGTCTTCACCGCGGGCCCGAGAAAACACAACTGATTTTATTGAGTAAGATAGAAGCCATTAATCTTACTATTTAGCCCATAAGTCACGTTCTCACATGCAATATATTCATTGCACTATACACTTATGACACTTTAATTTTGTTTATCTGAATATTTGAATTTGACCCTCTTACTAATTGCCTCGATCGACTTCAGTTTTTATTTTCTGAAATAACTGTCTATCGAATTATAAATAATAAATTTGTCGTTGATTTGTTGTGTAGTTTTCAATTTATCGCTCTAATATATCTATGACTATTTTTATCATTAGACGTTTCTCGGACGCGATTTACATCTGCTTAAGTATAAAAATACTTATAATTTCCAAAGTACTGGTATAATAGTTATTATCGACCAATCATTTTTTAAATTAGACTATTTTCTATTTTATTAGCCAATTAAAAATGTATGTTACTATTTAAAAAAAATAAAATTGGTATTCTTATAGGATAAAGGACAGGCCAATTAAATTAATATTATATTAATAATCACAACAAAAAACATAATTTTCAAGATTATTAGGAGAAATTTAATGGTCAATGATAAGTTAATCACTTTGTAAAGCTAATTAGATAACATATTATATATATATATATATATATATATTTAGTAATATTTCAGGCAATATTTATGTAACAGTCTTATATATTTATTAAGTTCATAACTTTGTAAAAAATTATTTATATTTTTTAATTTTAAACTAATAATTATTGGAGAACACGACATATTAAATTATTATATATATAAATTTATAATTTAAATGTAATAAAAATGGTGCTTGAATAATTTGTACCAAGAATTGTTTAAGCCGACATAATAAACAACATAAATTTTACAAATGCAGTATATTTACAATACTAATGGACAATAAATAAGAAATAGAAAAATAACTCAACCTGACGGTCTATTAATAGCAATACTTTTAGTGTATTTGAGCGACAAATTCAAACAACCGTTTTTAGCAGATATTTTAAAAACGGCGACAAATCGAATAAATGTAATTTAATAGGCAAATAGGCGACGTGTGGAATTCATAAGCCTTAAGAATGATTTCAACGTTCTGTCCCTTTTAAATATACAGACTTATGAAAGCAACGTTGCCAGTTTGCTTATGAACTTATTCCTAAAACGCGGGACACGAAAATACGACTGACTATTGATCGAGACAGATTTCCTTCTATCTTAACATTTGGCCGCAAGGTCACGTTCTCTCATGCAATATATTCATTGTACTATACATATATTACACTGTAATTTTGTTCATCCGATTATTTAAATTCGTCGCTCTTACTACTTGCCTCGATTGACTTCAGTAATGATTTCCTCAAATATCTCAAATTCTAAATAATTAATGAAAAAAATAAAGTTGGTATCCTTAAGGGATAAAGGACAGACATAAAAAGTATTTAACCACTTATAGTTTGATTGATGAACAGTACTGAACAAAGCCAAAAAAAAGTATTTCCAAGATTATTATTACTT